CTACACTGTTTGTGCCAGTCCACGGGGGTGTATCCTTTTTGGGGTAAAGGTTTATGATGCAGGCCATCAGGGCCAGCAACGCCCCATCTGCTGGCCTAGAGATTGTCAGAATAAGAAAATTAGACTTTTATAAAAAAAATATTAATGCCTTATGTTTTTTACAAAGTTCGTTCCCATCAGTCTATTAACGCCATTTCATTGCTACGCTCTTCCTCAGTTGTGCTGCTTCCAGTGCAGCTCGTATAAATTCCAGCTTTAATCCAATCAATGTTCCACCTGTGCCGTCTCCGGGTGAAAAATCTACCCTGAGGCCTTCAGAATGTCGAGTGAATCCCTTCTGCTGTTGAAGCCAATGGGGACGATGTTGTTGATTGTCATTCTTTAACCAATCAGATGTCGAGTTTGCCACGTTGGGTGTATTCTTTGACACACCCGGAGCCTTCTAGCTGGCCGAGCTGCTTACGTTTGCCTTGTTCGTGTGCCATGATCAGAAAGCCAGTTAGCTAACTAAAGTAAAACTAGCTAGCACATAACGTAGCATCATCTAAGACTTACTTAAACTTTCTTTCGTGACGTTTAGATTTTTAGATGTAGACCTTTAGATTTTTACTTAGCCCCGTTGTTTTTTAACGCACAATGGCTGAAGGAGGAGAAGACACGGATTTGGTGGCGGATTTACTCGTAATGACATTGATTTGGGCTATGCGATGTCTATTTGTGATGCAGCATCCTGTCATAGTGCGTAATCGTGGTACATCCTTGATGGTTTCAGTCACCATGTATTCATGTCTCTGCAATTAGTGTATTGTAACTCTCATAGGTGTTGAGCTTCGCGTTAAATCACTTTTTTCCACTCGATAGAGGTTACTGTCGCTGTGAATATGGGGTGGTTACGTCAAATAACAATAGTCTATAGCCCTAGTGTCATATCATAGTGTAGTTATTCGAAGTTTGTTTAATTGTGGGAGGATAGCATTGAATGACTTGGTGTAAAATACACGGCCCGCCACTGGGTTTTAATGTCCACAGCACTCCCTCTACGTTCACACACCCAAGGCTATAATATGAGCAGACTCGTGATGGGGCAGTCCGGATTTAGCCGGTGATGCAAGTGCTGCGATTTTGAATCCACCGTCCCAAGTTCGATTCCTGGCCTTGGATAACATCGGCGATGATATTTGAGCTAGTCCTGGGCCTCCCCTTCACCAACTCGAACTAAACAGTGTTAAGTATGGCCAAATAGCCCCCATGACCGTTACAAAGGAGATATATCTTCATCCAGTAGTGGTTTGACAGGAGGGCTGTATTTTTTTTACATGTGGGCGTTTTCAATGCATTAATTTGAAATAAACAATGTAATACTATGCGTGTTTGGCACGGGTACAGTATTTCAATACTTATTGGTGTGTAAAAATCAAGGTGTTTTAAAATATAAGTGTGTCAGTAATAATTTATGGCTCCTTATTGCTGGAGAAATAGAAAATCCGATGAATTTTTTTCGCAATTGCAGAAATGATCTGGCTGAGAAGAAACACATTCCTGCTGCGGAGGGAGCTGGTAGGAACGTCGGGTTGCTCGGTCAATGGCCAGGGTCAACGGCGGCGTGGTGTATTCCGCAAATATGCCCGACTAGTGAGGGTGGGCACAAGCCGGCGTGAATAGGTTAAACGTTGAGTTTTATAAGGGCACCACGGGGTGACAGCCCCTCCCCACCCAGCCCCCCCAGCCCCTCCCCACCCTCCTCTCCCCACCCATTTTTGGATGCACGACGGACGGACACAATAATCCCCTGTCGGCTGGCGTAACCTGGCGGTTCCTACCAGTATAATGCGCGTCCAGACTAAACAATACGAAACAAAGCAGTAAGAGATAATATCAGAGGTGATGACTCTAGTGGTTTGGACACGTGGCCTAGACGTATCTGGAAATAATCCCACAGATGGCATTACACACGCAAGCACACGGCAAAATAAATACAGGAAGATCACAGAAGCGCTGGATTGACTCGGTGAAATGTGATCTCGACCAAAACGGGTGCCAAGTCGAGTCAGCTGTGAAGCTGGCGCCAGCGAGGCAGGAGCAGGTGGAGGGATATCACTCAATCGGGCCCTAGTGTTTATAAAATGTAACGTAAGGAAACTAAATACGAATACGATCCTTTTATGTACAAATCTGCTTGACTCGCCATCTAGATAAAGTTGCTCAGTCGAACAATAATTGTAATCCAACACGTAGGCTTTCGCGACAAATATTCGCGTTAAAGTTTTTTGGGTTATATCACGTAACTGTAGACTGTGCCGTAAAACCCACCTCCACCCGACAAAGCCAAGCAGTATAAGGTTTGTCACGTGGAACTACATGTGCCAATTTGTCACAAGGTGAGCGCCACTGGTACCGATGCTGGTTTGTAATCACCAGCAACGTCGTACTCAAATTGTAAATGTGGGTTTGCTCTCAAACACACCGGTGTGCTGTAGTCGTAACTAATCGGTACGTTTTATTCACGTGACAAACCTTACTAGTCGACGGTCTCGTGGAGGTGGGTGGAAGACACATTTACACGATCTGACCCCCAGAAGAAAAACTAATTTTCACGAATTATTTTCTAGAAAATTAATTCACCATTCAACCTACGTCCACGCTTGAGTACTGTAAAAGTCGACCTTGTGAGAACATTGTAAGAATGTAAGCTCGCATTTTCCCATCCGTCTGCCCGCGTGCAAAAGTAGGATTAAACACATATGAACTTTTTTTCAACGTCAAAAGCACTAAATTGAGAAATAAAATAGGATGTGGTGAATCCTGTTTGCACGCATTGTGTTTTTTTTAACGATTTTAGCCATTCCGTGATGTGTAAACAGTGCCACGATTCAGTTTCCTTTATAGTGGTCAAAGGTAAAAGAAACACCAAATAAACACTCACTGTTTCTCAAATGTGCAGTTGTGTAATAGCACTGCCGACTTTGATCACTACGACGCCACTGTGCGCAGAAGACCAATCTAAAGAGCTATCAGAGCAAGAGATGACAGTAATCACGGAAATTCTTACTCTCCACAAATCAATCATAGTTTTAAGATTCATGAGTACTTTAAGTTGAATTGCCCAGCTAATAAAGGCTCTTAAATCAGAAAGAAGGAAAGACTATTGAAATACTGTATTCTAGATTTGAAGCTTTCGTGACTGCAATGATTCATATATGTTACTTGATACAGCTGTTACTTGATACAGCTATCGTGCTATGACGGTTCCACCTGAAGACGGAAGCTTGTGTTGCCTCCGAAACGTCGTGATTTTAATTTTATTTTACTTTTATTAATTTTAATTTTTTACCTACGTGACTTTACCGAAAAAAACCTAAGAATATGAAATACTGTATATTCCCATAAAACAAGCCATAAAGATGGGGGGAGTAAACCAAATATGGTTGAAAAATTAACCAACTTCTAATCGACTGCAAACACACACTACAATGTCATAATGGGAGATTTTGAACATGGATAAAAGGAGCATATTTCAAGGTTGGTAAATTTGGTATCAGAGAAAGGAACGAGAGAAGCGGAAGTCTGCTTGAGTGCGCAACCAGCAGCAACAGGAGGATAATGAACTCCTTTTTCAAAAAAGGAGTCTAGAACATTGCCATTGAGGAGAAAAACTGAGAACTTGAATCTCACAACTCAGTATTCCCATCGATGTCTCTGTACTCAGATAATTCCACACAGAAAGTGATCACGGGCTGGTATTATGGAGTTACATTTAAACATTTTCAGAGAACAAAGCTAAATACACGATAAACATGAAAAAAAAATCATCATATTTGGTATTCACGCAATTCCTATGGTGCAAAGCACTATATTAGGCACGCAGGAAGGCGCTATGTTTCATATATAAACAAAGTTTGCAGTCGTTTCAAAGTAGGGGGTGATACTCTTTGGTTCTTTCGGTAAAGTCACGTAGGTATAAAATAACATAAATCACGTTTCGGGCGCAACACAAGCTTTCTCAACTGATGACGGACGCTTGTGTTGCGCCCGAAACGTCGCGATTTATTTTATTTTCTACCTACGTGACTTTACCAAAAGAACCAACGAGTATGGATTCCTGCAGTCACGACAGCTTCAAATCAAGTAGGGGGTGATGTTTCTATGTGGCTTTACCCAATTGTGAAATTCACAAGTAACTTTTCAAATTTGCCACACATTTGACCGCAATAAATTATTTAAAACTAAACTTTTTATTTTATTTTACCAGGTAAGGCCCACGAGCTATATAGATCTTTTTCATCACGACCTGGCCACAAATGAGAACTCAACGAAGTGGCTTATCATGTGGAAACTTACAGCAGCAAAATACTCTAAACGCATGTTTCTAAATGTGGAGGGAAAAACCGGAGAACGTGGAGAAAAATCCCTGGGACCATGGGGAAAACATGAAAACTGCAAATATACAGGCATCAGGATCGGGATCGAATTCACGACCTCCTTTATACCAGGCGAGGTTGTTAATATCTCGTCATGATGCCGAAACACATGGCACACTCTGTTTGAACATCCCGGAATCTCTAACACCCACTGTGAAGCAGCCAACGCATATTCTTTGAATAGTACACCTGGAGCGTTAACCAGGGCGGCCAAGTGAGCCGAACCGCAAAACTCTGCACAAGGTGGCAAATGGGCTACCGCTCAGCCATGTTACCGCAAACGCTTGCAATGACCACAGGCATCTCCGGGCACCTTGAAATCCTTGCTGTACCCGCGGTTCTTCTGTGCAGCAGCATGCGGTGACACCAAGATGGGTGTGGGCTAAGGCTTGTTGCCAAGCTGATGACAGAACGTGCTTTGGCAAAATTGAAACTTTTATGTCTGCTGCCTCTTCAAGGGCTGGTTCATTAAGATATCCGATACATTGATGACAAAATGTTCCCATGTCAAACGAGTGGTGCAAGTTAATTATTTTTATGTTGTGCTCTGCAAGTCAATTTTAATGATATAAAAGCGGTGCCATATTTCATAAACATAAAATATACTTGAGCAGCGAGCTGAGAATAACTTGGTGAAAGAACATGTGAAGAGTATTTTTTTTTAAATAAGTGCCAGTGTTTATTAGGTGCTTTTTTTATTATAAAGTAACAAATGTCCAGATGATGCAATGATATAATTTCAAATGTTCCACAATCAACGACAATCACTGTATTTGGCAACTTGCTCAGAAATTCCAACCACGCTCATCACATTCATTACTAAACGGCGGGACTACATTTCTCCGGGTATTAAAAATAAACATTTTCATCTTCAAAATATATTCAATGTGTCGACAAATGAGTGCAATGTTTAACTCTCTTTCTACATCAACACATCTGTTCCCGTACAAGCATAAGGCACTGCCTTGACGCGACTTAAACAGCCTAAACAGAGACAACCAAACATCTTCCCACGCTGCCCTCTGTAGCGTCGCACTCCTTGGAGTGGAAGGGTACCCGGGCAGCTGGCTACGAAGAGCAGGAATTAAGACAGAGGACACCTGCACAAAAGTTAATTGAGATGTCTGCACCCGCAACTGGAAATACCTGAGGACAGCATTGCCTCCTCAACCATGGAGCCAAGCACCTCGACTGGACGGAACGGCTTGCTACACGGCTAAAACCACCTCCTATGTCGATGTCACAACAATCATCGTGTCAGTATGTGTCGTAACCCTACACCACCCGACACAGCCAGAAAGGTTTTTTACGTAAATAAAACGCCGTAATTAGTTACTTCAGCGCCAGTGGAGAACGTCTACAACAAAATTAACAAAGCCCCCTCCCCCTTCCCATTTTTGTCTCTCCATATAAGGTTTACTTTGTTATTAACATCCTCCACAATGACACTAACTCATACCGTGTCAACCCATACGGTTTAACCCATATTCTTGTACAGGAAAATAGCGTTTTTAGGTCCATACGGCGTGTACAGCCGTTTCAATCCGGGCAAAAAGTTTTGTTTATTTGTTTGTGTTTCTCCCTTGTGATGGGACTTTGTAGGGTGAACGTTGAGATTTATAAGGGTACAGAGTAACTAAGGAGGTCTGAATTGGTCTGTAATAATGTTTAATTGTTATTATTTTATTATTTCCCTTCTACGCAGTGGCGGCTCCTGCAAAATCTCTCAGGGGGGGCAAATGTCTGGATGATTGATAAGGATAAGGTCTACCCATGCAATGGATAAATTAACAGCTTAAGCATGTAAAGGCAACTTCACTTCTTTAATATTAATGAAAAATAAAGTGACTCTTACAATACATCTTGTTTGTTTCTATACTCACTATTAATACAATCCACTCAAGTTTCTTTTATTAAAGATTCCACTAGGTGGCGACAAATTATATTGTTGGATGAAACGTGCTTGCGTATGATGACGTAAGCACGTTAGGGCGAGCCCTCCCGGAAGCCATAGAGAATGCATTGCAGCGCCCCCCGGTCGAAAAAAAACATCTTTGAATGTAAGTCTATGGGGCCACTCGGGGCGATTCTTAGCCGGAGTGAAATCTCCCAAAAAGAGGCGGTACTCCACAGAATGTGACATGACGCTGATTGGACTATATCCAGAGGCACAGTGGCGGCTAGCGTGACTCTGTGGTTGAATGACATTGGTGGTGCGTCGCCCAATCGCCCTAATGAAGAAACCGCCCCTGTTTCTACGTGACTTTACCGAAAGAACCAAGAAGGAGGTAGGTACTGATAAAGGGTTGACAGGTATGTTTACTAATGATTGTGTTTTGCATTACATTATTTTGCGTAGAAATAGGACTCGTATCTGACAGGGAGGGTCCTTGCCTTTAAACAAAGGGAAGCTCACCAGCAATGGTTCAAGCAAGCCCGACTCTGCTGATCAGACATTGAAAGTGAAAACCGGTCCAGTTTGCTTGCATTTCCAATACTGCTGATAACGTGCAAAAAATAATAATTTCACATGAAGACAAATAGGGGCAAGGCATTATTAACTCCATGTAGACAGCCACCTCACTCCTTGTGCAAATATTATAAGAAAAATTAAATCACAATTACAAAACACCGTTACATTAATAGTGTCGCGTTTAGCGTGTGGATCAATCAGCATGAGATAAAAGCATTGGCTTACACATCATAAAGGATTAAGGGATCAGGGGCGCACGTCAAATCTGGCAAGAATCTCATTGCCAGTGTCACTCACGTGTGTGTGTGTGATAGCGTAACGAATATGTGCTAAAGAGCTTTATAGCTCCTCGGATTCCTCCAGTATATATTGAAAGTCTGATTCTGAATGACTAACGATTCCCACCACGTTGATTCAATTGTCATTATTACGATTTACATTTACTATTGGAATTTACATTACGTGCAAATGCAATTGCAGTTGAGAAAAAAAACCTCTCCGATGCGATTTCTGGATGTACCACGTGTTGTTCGGCACAATGTCCTGACGTTTCGCTCCACGTGCTCCAATGCCCGCCGCACATGGTTGTTTTTGCAGGAGTCCCAAGCACAGCAACATGGAGAGAACTGTTGGACACCGTGCTGAACTCCATGTGGCACAAGCCGAAATACACATCGGAGAGCCGTGCAGCACAAGAGCGAAAACCACTCGGTTGCATTTAAAAACATTTCGAAGATAGAAAACCCCCACATGATGCTGATGGATCGATCCACAAATTCGGTAACCACAAAAAAAAAAAATCATCCTGAAATTACTCTTGGAGTTTTACATTAAAGGTGGTAATCTGTAGTTTTAGAAAATATGGCTCGGTTATGGATGGAGTCAATAGTTTTACACGGACAAAAAATTCAATGCTTGTGTGAAAAAGTCAGTTCGTCCAAGTACGCCCAACACCGCGGTATATTATGAAAATTTCTCACTTAAGACGGACATATTTCCATCTGAATTACAGAGTCCCGAATTGGTTAACATACCATGCCCACATAGAAAAGCCACTTTATGTTTATACTAATGATGAAATCGTGGAACGAGAACTACCTTTATTACGTGAAATGTTATGCCCTAATCAAGTTACATTTTCTCTGCAATTCTGTTACCGTGGAATTGGCCCACATCTGTTTCGTATAATCTGGGTGAATGCTTACGAACCCCACCACACCAAAACCTTGAGTTATAATTTCACAAAATGTATCCTCCGAGACATTGGAAGTGCAAGACACAGTGCGATTGGTCAGGCTTGTGTTTACAAATACTTAATGGTAACGTTAAAGGTGCGGATTTCCATCGGCTGCAGAGTGATCGCCAAAAGGGCAGACTCGGTCTCTCCCTGCTGCCATGGTTTCTCAACGTCGTTCGATTCTGTTGGGGCAGAAGCAAGTGGTGAGAAACCACGCGGCGCAAACACGCAAAGCAAATCGACCGCATCTGAAATGGGACTGCCTCTTGGTTTTTCCCAGGTAGCTGTCTTGGGAAATATGAAAGTCCATGTTATTTCTATTTGTGTAGTAGTAGTAATAATTCACTACTCGAGACAATGTATTGACATGTAGTTCTCCCTTCTGCTGGGATTGTGACAATCCTATTCCCATAACATGTCCCAGCTTTTGGCATCTCAGAGGTGGCAACCCGAATCCCAACACAGCTGGGCGCTAGCCAAGATTAACCAGCGATTAGTTTAAAGTGTGACGCGGCATCTCGCTCAGCTCTCAAGGTGGCCCAAAGTTCACGATTACGTAACTGCAGTTGTGCTTTGAACACTGAAGACAAACACGGAGACATAAAATATTGCAACGCATTCATGCTGGCATGTGATACAAAGGGGAGACAAGTACTCTGTATAAATGACCACCTTTTGGCTCCCCAGTACTGATTACCACAGGTATTATATTTAGGCCAAGCTGACCAAGGATAGGCTTGAGATGCCAACTGAAATTTAAGTGCACGGTCAGAATGAAACTCTGGCTTGTAGCATTAATGCGCAGTACTCCAATCACTGCACTATTGGAATCAGCTCAAATACGCACTCTCAGTCTCCTGCCATGAGCAGAAAATAAAACAAACATTTCTAGAGGACCCAATCATGCTTAATGTGTCCGTTTTCTTCCGATCTTTCAAACTATACAAAGTTAAGCCTGGTCAGTACTTGCATGGGAAAGCTCCCTGGATATAATCAGATGTTTTAGGCTTTGGCTGAGAGTAGCCAGTGGATTGACAAAGGGCTGAAAATGACTAGAATATAATTATTAACGATATTAAAAAATATCACTGCGTTTTAAAACAAATTGATTCAAGGTGGCCGGGTGGCTCAAGGATGACACCACTGAGTTGACAAAGCTGACAATCTAGGTGTGAATTTGGGGCAGCCACCCATATCTAAATCTCAGCCCGGGTCACCATTAATAAGGCACAAAAGAAATCATATTAACACCATTGGAACCTCATTTGCCAGTAAAAAATATGATAATTGGATTTTTACCCTTCTATCTGGAAACAAAACTGACATCTTTTTTTACAAGGAGTCATGGGTGTGGACCAATCAACTTCAAGGACAGTGCATATATTATCAGAGTTATGTTTTTTGTTTCCATTATGGCTGCAGGTATTGTGGTCTATGCAAACATGACTCCTTGTAAAAAAAGGTGTCAGTTTTGTTGCCAGATAGAAGGGTAAACAACCAATTATCAAATCAGATTAAATTGAGTTTTTACTTCACTTAGATCAATTCCAGCTGTGTGAATTAAAACAAATATCGGACAAAATATTTCTTTCCGCGCAGGTCAGATGGAATAGTGTGCCCTCTCTTGTGCGTCCCCTAGTCCGCAGATAGAACATCGTCGTCGTCATCATGGTCCATGGGCAGGGAGCCCGTAGATGTCCATTGCACATTTCGTCATGTTTCCACTTTGCTCTGCCAAATGCTCAAGTAGTGCCACGTATTTCTGGCACCAATTACTACTGTCGTTATCAATCCATTCTCTGTTAGGTCTTCCTCTCTTTACGGTTCCTTACATTTTTCCGAACAACAAACTTTTACATTTTCCTGTTGTTGTCCATCCTACATATGTCCATAAAAAACAGACTTTCAGCAATTTCAGAAGACATTCTCCGAAGCCTGCTTCTGAAGGCAGTTTCTCCTATCGCATGGCGGTCACACCGGCCTGCGAGAGGTTTTAATGAATTCTCAATAAATTATGCTGATAGCACAATCGTATTACAGGTGGTGCATCACCAGCGCCGCGCCTGGCGATGGGGGACAAGTGTCACTCACCTGTGCTCCACCGCATCCTCTTCATGTCGGCCTTGCGCTGGTTGGCCGCTAGGGTGAGCTCCTCCAGCGACGTGATCTCGAACCGCGAGAACAACCCCTGTGAACGCAGGTGCTGGGGTTTGGTGAACTGCCACATAACGTGTGCACTGTTGGATATTGTGATTTTTTATACAATAACGGCGTCATTCATCAAGCGACCAAGCGTGAGCAAGGTAACAAATAACGGTTTCAGCCTTTTACACTAAATTTGCACAAGCTATGGTTGTGGGTGTTAATGGATGTGATGGAGTTTCATGGGTTAAGCACTGAATTGGTGCGAACGTAAGTGGATACATATATCTTCTTGGTTCTTTCGGTAAAGTCACGTAGAAGGGAAGTAATAAAATAATACAAATAAAACATAATAAAATAATTCTCACGACGTTTCGGCCACACCGCAAGCAGCCGTCCTCAGGTAAAGACCAGGTCTGTCGGGGAGACAGCGTCGACAGACCTGGTCTTCACCCGAGGACGGCTGCTTGCGTTGTGGCCGAAACGTCGTGAGAATTATTTTACGTTTTATTTTATTACTTCCCTTCTACGTGACTTACCGAAAGAACCAAGAAGATGAATCCCTGCAGTCACGAAAGCTTTAAATCGAAATGGATACATATGCATGTATGTACCGATATAGGTGTGTGTGTAGGGGAGTGGTGGTGTAGCGGTTAGCGCGCTGTGCTACGAACCTGGAAACCCGATTCCCGCTCACGGCAAACACGACTGATGATTATCTGAACCGATCCTGGGCCTTCACTAGGTTGACTCAGCCTAAAATGAGTACCTAGTGCAGTGTGTAAACATTAGCAATGGGGAGATAAAAGCAATCGGATGTGGTGCTGGCCACCTAGCCTCTCGTGTACTGTACTTCATGGGTACTCGCTAACAGCACTTGCCCCAAAAGTCTCTTAAGGCTATACGGGATATTTGTCTTTGCATGCATCAGGGTACGTCTGTGTACGTCCATGTAACTGCAAGTGTGTGTATCCGTGTCGGCGCATGTCCATGCACGCGCGTGTCTGACCGTGAGCTCGACGGTCACTTCTCCCGACAGCGCCGCGTCCTCGTCGCGCTCAAACTGGTTCTCGAGCCGCAGCAGCACCGAGCCGTCGCCCCATGGCGCCAGCGTCAGGAGGTGGACGCTCGGCGGCAGTGGCCGGGTCAGCCCCGAAAACTAAGTCAGGAGGTGCAGACATGAGAAGGTGTCAGGTCGAGCATCGTTTCTGCCAATGAACACGGTGGTGTGTGTGCGTGGAGACTGGGTTGATAGATATAAAACAAGGAGCCTTCTTAAAATGTGCCTTGAGAATGAGAGACAGGTACCCAGTCATTATAAGCCCTGCTGAGCCATGCCTCTACCGGGACAGATTCACATCCGGATTAGAAAGAAAAAGCACTTTTATTTGGAGGAAAATGATAGAAGGAACACCGGAGAGAAAAAGGCACAGAATGAAATGGATCAATTGGACTGGACTGGTATAATTCCTGTGATGCTTGGAACTTTGAGAGTAGCACAGGAAGGAGCTGGATATGAACATATTTATGTAGAACTTCTTTCTAATCGGAGGTGCGGGGGGGGAGGATAACGAGAGAGCGGCGTGAACACCACGTGTACCACCAAGGTGACTGAACTGATTGAATCTTCACGCCCCCTCGGAGGAGGAACGTCATTCCGCTGCGAGTGAGGCCGTGTCGCAGTGACCTGTGCCTTGGTGTCGCTCTCAAACAAAGCTGGTGCTCTCGCTTATGGCTGCTCTCCAAGCCTGACGAGCTGCTTGAGCTGCCACTGGAACGTCGGGGAGCCGACTCACCTCCACGCTGGGGTTCCCCTCCCTGCTCTTTTTTGGGTTTTGCTTAAAATTTCGGTAACCCGAAGGGATCAGTGAAAGCATTCAAACTGGGAAACGACGAGCAAGGCTGTATACCGAGCATCACCTGGGTGAGCGTGGATGATGGCCACGCCTGCACAGGCGGCCCGATGAGTGGCATGGGCGCCATGAACTCGGCCTGAGCGAGCGGACGATGCAGCGCGGCCGATCGTGCCGGTGCCTCCAGCACCAGCAGGTGCCGCCCCCTGACGACCAGGCCGTTGCCCCACTCGCCCGGCTCGTTGAGAGCCTCGTCCACCCCGCGGTGGTCGTCATAAAGAAGCCGCCGGTGGAGCTGCGGGGCGGCAGACACGAGAGCAAGGCGATCTTGCAGTGACGAAAGCTACTGGAGCGTGCGTAAGTCTTATTCGACCCTTGATATACAAGGAGTAAATATGCACAACATGACACGCAGAGCAGGCATAAACAAACAGCCCAGCGACTATCGCCTTAGATTTAAAAACAGAAAGATCCCCAAAACAGAATCCCGGTCATTGCGTGCTTCACCATGAGCTCGAAGGACCCGTCGCGAATGCTGGCTCCGCCCTGAGAGCGATCCGTCAGAGCTGTCAGCTGCATCTTCTCGTCCTGGGGGAGATGTCACATGGAGAGGAGATGAATGAAGGGCATCGAGTAGATGGACAAAGGAGCATGACGAAAAGAGAAAAGAGGATAATGGCATCGGGGAGAGGAGTGTGAATGAGGCCCATGGAAGAGTATGGAATATGAAAGGGGCATGTGGGACAAGAGGGTAGGGAATAAAGGGCATGGAGACAGGGGACTAAGGTTACAGTGAAGGCACCTGAACACCTACAAGTGTAAGAACAGAGGGACCGTTTACAAATACATCACAGTACTTTAATTCATTCAAGCTTGCAATAATACATTACCAGCACCATTGTTATGCGAGAGGAAGAGCACCTCCGAAAGCCCAATTACAGCCCCTTTGTTTCACTGGACAAGAGTCCAAGTTTACTGCGCCGTTGGTGACGGTTGTACAACGCCCCAGTGCTGCCTTTACCTTGATATAGATGCGGCTGTTGACCGGGTAGTAGTTGCCGGCCACGGGTTCCGTCTGATTCAAGGGCCACGTTGGCCTTTTGTCTCTCCTGGGTGAAACGAGTCATGCCACGTTTGTGGAGGTCACTTTTAAAACAAAAACACTTTCCCAAATTTTTTACATCCTGGATTGTGCCATCGGCATCACGTGTCATGACATCCGTTAAGATCCCTCGCAGAGCAGTGCAAGTCTTCCCGTTAGAGAATGACCCGTAGAAGTGGACATCACAGAACTACCACTGACCTCTCTTTCGGTGACCTCTGGTCCACATTGTAGTGGGCACAACTTTCCTACCCATCTTGCCAAAGCAAGTCAAGCTTGTTGCACACAGTCAACCTGATATATTTAAATCTTCGACCCGGACTTTAGCCTCATTTAGGGGAAAAATCTATTTAATATGTGAACCCAAATTTTTTTTGCGCATTCATTGATGCACTTGCGAGACTGGTTAATCCATAGGCGGTTGAACAGATTCAAACAAAGCGTCTTAACAAGTTTCAGCTCAGTGTTATGACCTCCGAGCCCACCTGGACCCATTACGGAGGTCACTTTTTGAATGGGGGAAACTATGGGCTTAGTGTCGAGTATTTTAAAAGGGAAAATACCTCTACGCGAGCATTGAACACGGTGAAATGTCAAGAATCATACCGGCGCTCCAGAATCTCCCTGCCGTTCGAGTCGGTGAAGAACACACCGTCGGTTTTTAACGGAGTGTCAAACCGAACCAAAACCTCCTTGCCAATTTTGTCCCTGAAAGAGAAAATTCAGAAAATCGAAATTCGCACTACGACATGTACACACAACGCTTTGCATGTATACAATACACACAAATTTGGACTTCGTATATTATTATGTTTGTTTAAACAGAAAATTAAATGCACGTGCACCTCATGATGCTGTTAACTGGTATAAATGTACACGTATAGGTATTGTGTCAATCCACTGCTGGATGAGAGCTGCCAAGACATAAGGGTTCTCGGTGTTATTTGACCATACTGAGCATTGTGGGTTGGAAAAGTCGTCCTCTGGTCTAACACCGTTTGAGACGAGGCTCAAAAGAAAGCCGTCTCTGGTGTGGACCAATTAGTTTAAAAGGCAATGCATATATTATCAGAGTATACATTTTTTTTTGCATTCTGATCACAAGTATTGTGGTTAATGCAGACATGATTCCTTGTAAAACTTTTTTTTGTTGCCAGAAAAAAGTGGAAAAAAGACTATTCTTATAGTATGTATTTTTCTGCAATATCCTCTATCCAAAATGTAGCATTGCAGCAGCCAATATCACCAGTTTTATTCATGGCAGTTGCCAATCCAAGCTCAACTTTGCTTAGATTTCGTCATCTGATTATAGGTGCATTCTGGCCGATTACGTCATAGGTCACACACATACAAAGATCCCCCTTATAGCCTACACAGGCTATTGTGGCAAGTGCTGCTCATGAGTACCCATTAAGGTTGACACTGCACGAGATGGAGTGGTGTGGCCACCACTGCATCCGACCGCATTTGCCTCCCCAGTGTTGAAGTTTACACCCTGTACCAGATTCTCATTTAAGGCCGAGCCAGGCATTAGCCATCGATGGAAATTTTTTAGATCATTGGGTTCATAGCACAGTGTGGCAAATACAAAGATCCCCCGTATAGCCTTTCACAGACCGTTGGAGCAAGTGCTGTTAGCGAGTACCCATGAAGGCACAGTGCGTCACACACGTGCACACAAGCGGACCACGTGCGTGCGCGCACAATCACAACGGTGGGACCCACTCACGCGAGAGGGATGGGCCCCACGGTCCACTCCAGCTCCACGTACGGCTTGCCCGGGTAGAGACGAATTACCTGCGAGCACCAGGGCGAGAAGACTTGGCGCACCTCCTGTAGCAAGGGGTCCTGCAGTGGCGCAGCAGCACAAACCCACGCACGGACGAGTCAGGAGCGCACGGGGCAACAATAACCGTCACAGAACAATCACACAACGACAGGGTTGGATCGCAGTGCCTACAAGCACCACACAGTACTTGCTGTGAAAAACCCCAGCACACTGGGTTCAACAGACATTGAACAGCACAGACTTAGATCCCCCTTATAGCCTTTAACAGGCTGTTGGGTAAAAATTCTATTAAGCAAGCACCTATGAAGGCCGGCACGGCAGGCAAGGGAGAGGATGGGTGGCCAACACCACACCGGGCCGCCTTTGTCTCCACAATGTTGACGTTTATAAACCGCACGGCCGAGTCCACCTAGGGCAGTGGTTCTTAACCTTTACTGCAGCCTGGCACCCCTTTAGGTTCTCAATCATAAAAAAATTATATATGTGAATTAATACACAGGTTTGATGAAACAAAGTAGTTGTACATACGTGCCCGTGCTTAATTTGTGTTTCGGTGATTAACCTAAACAAATGTGGCATGTTTCACACCCCCAGAAAGGGCATCTTGCACCCCCAGGGAGTGCATGCACCCCTGGTTAAGAACCACTGACCGAGACTTAGGGAGAGGCCCAGGACCAGTTAAAATATCGTCGCTGTTACTGGTCATGAGCAGGAATCCAACTCGGGGTCGCTGAATTTGTAGTGCAGTGCGCAAACCAGTGCACTCCTTGGTGCACACTTTACAGGAGGTCAGAATATTCATACTCTTTGGTTCTTTCGGTAAAGTCACGTAGGTAGAAAATAAATTAAATCACGACGTTTCGGGCGCAACACAAGCGTCCACCTGATGACGGACGCTTGTGTTGCACCCGAAACGTCGTGATTTATTTAATTTTATACCTACGTGACTTTACCGAAAAAACCAAAGAGTATTGATTGCTGCAGTCACGAAAGCTTCAAACCAGAATATTCATACTAAAGGTTTTTGGATTAGATCGCGTTCTAACCCAAAAAAACCTTTATTTTGAATATTGGTCGCGAAAGCCTACGTGTTAAAACGGACTAACCTCTATGAGCAGAATATGCCAACGTTTGTTTGAGGTAGAAGTAATGAAAAGGGAGGGGCAGCAATTTCCCACTTATCCTGCCACGAGAGCAATGTTCCCCGCCCAACAATCAAACAGATATTTTTGATTCTCAGAGCTGGAATTTAGCCCAAATTAAGTGCGGAGTGAAATTTAATCTGATATGGGTGATATTTCTTTGCAGTCATTGGTGACCGGCATGAGACTATTAATTCACGACCAGGTCGACCTTACAAAATAAATAGTCTTTGCATGTGCCTGCCTCACTGGATTAATTTAATCTCCTGGATAAATAAAGGAAATAACAAAAAACAACACACTCTGAACCCCAGTTTAGTCAGAGGGCAACCACCTGGAAGTTGAGCCCAGGATTGCATGGCTGTCACCTCGTCAGAATCATTTATACTGGAGGAACCTGATGAACTACAAGGCTCTTTTTCACAGATGTTCAGTAGGGGCACGGAGTCAGAAAGTTACAACAAAAAAAGACGAAAATACGATAGGAGTGCAAAGTTTAGGAAAGGTAAACAAATCACTTATAAATATACAAATAAAACTTTTTTTTATCTTACCAGGTAAGGCCCACGGAGCTATATAGGTCATTTTCAGAAGCGACCTTCGCCACAAATGATAGCTCAAAGTGGCTTATCACGTGGAAATTTAAAACAGAAAAATGATCTAGATAATCTCAAAGCATGTTTCTAATGTAGAGGGAAAAAACAGAGGACATGGAGAAAAGACTCCATGCAACCACGGGGAGAACATTCAAACTCCAAATATAGAGGTGTCAGGGTCGAATCCCAGACCTGTTGTATACCAGACGAGTAAGATAACATCACACCGACCTTTCCGTTTTTTTCAACAATTCTCCCAGAAATGAAGCCCCCACTCACAACGGTGAAGTGCGTGACCGCGGATTTGGCGACAGGGAAGGCTTCGGAGGAGTTTGGACGGAAGATGTATGCGCCGGAGGCCTGACCGTTGTCCTCCTCACCCTTGCTCGATTTGTACCTGTATACACAGAATGCCACGCCACACGGCAACACACAGAAGCACGGCAGGACACAAAAGCACAGCAGCAAAGTGGCACGTATCAAGAATTATGTGCTACATAAGACATCTGCCCAGATGGCAATGCTGTTAACTCGTGATCTGAAGAAGTTTGAAAGTTCAAATCTGGGATTACATTTCTAGGAAGATTACAGTCAATACTTGATCATTCTATGGATGAATTGGGCACGTTATTGCAAAATGGATTTCTATCAGAAGGGGTTCATTAGCCGTGAGCTGTAGCTGCAGCTGCCAAGCGTTACCAGTAGAAGTTCTGTGTTACAGGCAGTGACAGGGAGCTCTTCCTGTTCTCCACGTTGCTCAGGAGTCCCGAGATTCCATCAAAGGTCAGCGTGTAGTACTGCAACGCAACAATTATTATTACAATTAGCACGGCAGGTATCAAGCAAATACTGGTATTTTAAGAATTGGTGGACAACCCATTTACTTACATTCAGCTTGCTGCAATACGCGATATCATTACGTAGGGCTTATTTCGCACCGTACGTAGCCAACCGTGAGTGCGAGTCTCAATGAGAGCCCACTGGTCCTGTGCCCCTCCCTTCACCAACCCACACTGACCAACCAACATCATGCTCATAGTCCCCACCTACTCTTCTGCTAACACCGCCCACTGCTCAGGTAGCACACGCCCACTGCCCATGTAGCTCCACTTACTACTCAGGTAGCCCCACCCACCGCTGAGGTAGCCCCCGTCCACTCCTCATGTAGCCCACTACTTTGGTAGCCCCATCCTTGCGCACATCATTAATTTTTTGCATGAAACCAATTTTTTTTTACTCGAAACAAAAATCCCAATTTTCTCAAATATTTTGGAGGGAAACCAGTCCAGCCTTTCTGAAAACGGGACCGAGCCTGCCAAACCAGGTCGTCCTGTACTGTAGTCTTAACCTTGTGGCGGCCCTGATCCTGACCTCGTTTTTGATGTAGATGGGAGCCCCTTTGCCTCCGGCTCTTGGGCCGCGCGCCACAAATCCGGTGAGGGCCTCTGCGGGCCGCCGGGCGGCTCGGCTCACAGAGAAGCGGGCGAATCCCAGAGGAGGGATCGCCGCCTGGAAGACGAGCTCGCCGGAGGCTGTGCCCAGGGTTCGGCGAACGGCACGCGTCGCATCCGACACGGGGAACACCTGTGGCACGAAGACGGCACGAGATTGTGCGTATAACGTGTCTAAACCTTACATGCACACGGTGGCAAAATGTTAACTACCTCATATACAGGTCATGGGTCAGATCCCGATCCTGGTATATTTGGAGCTTGCATGTTCTCTCCCTGTGATCTTTCTCTGGGTCCTCCGGTTTTTCCCTCTACATTTTAGAAAGATGTGTTTAGATGATTTTGCTATAATAAATTTCGACATGATAACCCACTTCGTTGAGCTATCATTCGTGGCCTGGTCGCTTCTGAAAATTAGCTCTATAGCTCAGTGGGCCTTACCTGGTAAAATAAAATTGTTTAGTTTTTGTAAATTCTAACGCTAAAGTTAAGCGGTGCAGTTTTCCAGCAATAATGATACTATGATGATAAGCCTATTAAGTTTAAGAAGTGGCTAGAATTTGTAATCGCCAAGTTTTTTTTGGTTGATTAATCAGGCCGCTTAAAAAAAATGGCAGCTTCCTGGACATCCTGCCTCCCGAAAGCAGAAAATCCCATGCAAGCTACTTTCCAGCACAACGCGGCCGATGATGCACATGAAGTCTTGGCCTAATCTTTTTCAAAAAGTCACGAAATTTTTTACATCCCCCGTTTAGCCCGTGTGGTATTTGTCGTTGACAGACCCGAGTATTAAAACAGGGCATCTGGTGGCCTCGAAACCACGAACCTCTGCGCCGAGCGGCAAAACGCTCTTACCACTCGGCCGCGTCACGACGAAAGCTTAATTTCAATATCCTCAATTTGCATCCGAAAGTTATTTCACAGAAATGCCAGACAAACGGCGGTCACGTGCGACGGGACCCTCCACTCACCTTGGACACCATGGTGGCCCCGCTGGGATCTTGCACCAGGTAGCGGGAACCATTGACGGGCAGACGCACGTTCTCCGTGACGCTTCGCCCCAGAGGATTGTACAGCACCACCGTAAACTACGCACGAGACGCGTGTGCATACACACACACACGCATGCACGCCCCACATTAACAAACACACTCCTCCGTTTGTTGTGAGACTAAATATACGCGTACTGCCCTCTTACTGAATGAGGGTCTCCCAACCACTGCGTGGGCTGTGCGAGTTATTTGACCAATCTCACGAGGCCGCAAAGTGCTGGTTGCTGAAGGTAGGGGGCAGAGAAATGGGAAGATCCTCATCTAGCAGTAGTTTTGTGCGAGCTACACAAATAAATAAAAATCACTCACCGCGCCAGCACTCTCCGTGGCCGGGCAGACGCTGATGTTGAGGTAGCGGCAGATCTCCGTGGGCTTTCCACTCCCGGACAGAGCAGCCAGCGCATTGCTGATGAGCATCTGGCACAACAATCGCACGTGCATACGTCAACGTAACGCACGCTGAACAACACGCCGTCTTGCAGGTGGCAGTACGGCAGCAAGTATGTTTCTTGCAGGCTGCCCTGGGATCAATCCACTGCTGGATGAAGGTCTCCACAAGCCATCGTTATCCGTCACAGTTCACGCGATGCAGTAATGCGCGACATGTTGTGTGTTCCTCTTCATCCCCCAACCCACCCCTCACTGTCCTGCCCCTATACAGAGCCCGTTGCCCTCCACTGTTAGCGATCGTCATCAATCATCATCATATCCCATCCACTGATGATTCCATGTCATTTCCCTCCGTGCTAGTGCCTCCTCCTATTAATCCACACTTTTCTCCATTTCCTTCCACTGGCATTGCCATTGCTTTTAGTTTTTTCCTTTTTGGTGAAATTCTTCTGACATGACCATACCATAGCAGTCCATGTTCCTCAATTCTTGACACTTGCTGATGATAATCATGACAACTTCAATAGCAAGCCATTACATGGGCACTTATTCATTCTACCTTTTAGGTTATTTTGATTGTCTTAATTTCTTCTGTACTGCACGTGAGAGCATGCTTTAATGGTTGCAATGGGTTGGGCACCTCGCAGCTGTCCCAGCCGAGGGAGAGACGCATGGCGTAATCGTAGGCGACCTGCTGCTTCTCCGTGCCGGACACGGCGTCGTGGTGCTGAGCTACCCCCATCGCCTCCCCTGTCGAACACACAAAGTATGTATCTTTAACATTTGTCGCACCGAACGTAGGCAACCGTGCTAATTGGAGGTGCGGATCTCGCCGTTTAGCCTTGTAGACCAGCGGTTCCCAACTGTTGAGTGTGCGGGCCCCCTTTTTCAACCACAAAAAATATTTCGCAGACCACCACATGCGAGAGGTTTGAGTTAAATCGCGTAAATATAAAATGTGCTGTTAAACCCGCCACCACCCGGACACAGCCAATTAGTAAGGTTCGTCACGCAAACAAAACGTGCCAACTCGTTTCTAGTTTAGCACGCCGGTGGATTGGAGAGTAAACCCACAACATTTACAACTCGTATAATCAGGTGGACAGCCAGAGGTGTTTGAAATTGTACATTTCCTTGGTGAGGATGTTATTATTTTTTCCGGACCCCCTGTAGTAGTAGCCTCACGGAACACCACCGTAACCAGCCAGTAACTGCAAGCGGATAAAAAATAATTAAACGGACGCTCTGCATGCATGATATCATTTGTTCGTACTCTGGTACTCTTGGAAACCACATTGTTCGTCATAAATAAGTTTATAAAGGTCTTTTACATCGTTCTAGGTTCCCATATGGATTTACATTTTGCCGTAGTTAATATATTGGCATACATGATTATTCATCAATGACTCATGTATGATATAATTTCACACATTTATAAATCACCTCGCGTACCCCCTGGGAAATTTCCACGTAGCCCCAAAGGTCTGCGTACCCCCAGTTGAGAACCACTGGCCTGGATCATAACACAGTGCTGTCCACTCTACGACACCACTTCACATTAACACGCAAGCACGTATACCACGAGTCTCATAAGCTGCTCCCACATCTCCAACATTCGAATCGAGGAGAACTCCTCTTCCTTTGTGTGTGCTGCACAGGAGGAAGTGTCGGACAAGCGTGAGCGCTCAAGGTGCACTGGAAAACGACGGAGGCACTCAGAATGAGAATATTTATTTATACTGCAGGAGGAATCCGATGAGCTATAACGCTCTTTCTTTTACAGATGTCCAGTAGGGGCACAGGGTAAGAACGTTACAACAACCAGTACAAAAACATGATAATAGTGCAAAGTACAAGAAAAGTAAACAAATCACATGTACAAATTAAACTAAACCATCCCCATCCTACCAGGCAAAGTCCACTTCAGTACAAACTTATTTTTCAGAAGCAACCTAGACAAATGATAGTGCAACAAAGTGGCCCATCATTTGGACATTTATAGCACCAAAATAATCTAAAATGATCTCAATGCATGTTTCTAAATGTGGAGAGAAAAACCGGAAGACCCGGAGAAAGAAACACGCGACCACAGGGAGAACATGCAAACTCCAAATATAAACGAGGCGTCTGGGGTCGGGATCAAACCCGTGACCTCGTGCATGCATACCAGGCAAGGAAGATAACAGCTCGCCACCGTGGCGCCCCTTTAATAAATAAATAAAATATACAAGTTCTAATTGGATCATCAATTTCCAAGATTCGGAAAGGCAGTAAAACAGCAAAAACAGTCCCAGACAACACCAAGACAACACACAATACATTCTCTTTGGTTCTTTCGGTAAAGTCACGTAGGTAGAAAAATAATAAAGTAAAATAAAAAATATATATATAATTAAAAAAAAAAATCATATTTTTGTATTATATTACTTTTCTACCCAAGTGACTTTACCGAAAGAACCAAAGAGTATGGATTCCTGCAGTCACGAAAGCTTCAAATCAAGACAATACATTGTTCAGGATTAAATTTACTCACACAGCAGGAAGCTGGACCCGCGTCCCAAGGGTCCTCGAGCTGCGCCGCTCGCCACAATCACCTCCAGCTGAGTGCACACCTGCATACAACGACGCGAGAAACTAGCGTGGGAAGGGGGCTTTGCTTGTCAATCGTTAACATGCCTAGCCTTCATCAACATTTGTCGACGAAGGCATCCGATTAGCACGGTTGGCTACGTGCGGTGCGAAAGAAGTTCAACGTACGTATATCAACAGTCGGCTTATACGACGTAAAAATGTAATAGTTCTACAATGTTTTACCCGTGCACTTTAAATACTGCTGCTGAAAAGTGAAACTAAGTTGGTGGTTTCAAGGCACATGCATCACACGGTTCCTGCCATCAACTCATTAGCAAGGAATTTCCAGCGTGGTTGTCGCTCTTTAGCCAGTGTTACTGCTTCGTTCAATCATCGTATAACCCAACCAGGATCATGTATCTTTCTGGATAATTTATCACCACATTAATCCACCTGATTTTCTGTCTTCCCCTACTACTTTTGTATCGCATCACCAAGAACAAGCTGTTCCTGTCCGGCCTCATTCTCCTATTAGCACGGATGGCTACATACGGTGAAAGCAGAAGTTAAACATACCATTGGAACCTCATTTGCCAGTAAAACATATAATTGGTTTTTTACCCTTCTATCTGGCAACAAAACTGACACCTTTTTTAATTTAAAAGGTGTCTTTTTTAATGAGCTGATGGCAGGAACCGTGTTTTAAAAAGGTGTCAGTTTTGTTGTCAGATAGAAGGGTAAAAAAACAATTATAAAGTTCAACATACATACATTTCTCTTCTTTTTGGGGTTGGCCCAACTTTGAACAAGTGACAGAGGTGCAGAGAAGGGAATGTGGATGCCGGGATCTGGGCTACCGGGGGAATATGGTCACTCTGGTACAAGCACCAAGCCAGCACTGTCTGTGCACAAACGAGGCACTGGGTAAAGCAGGAGTTGCGACCTGCAGGAGAGGACCCCTGACCTCTAGGAGGCAAGCTCTGACCTGCAGGAGGTTATTGCTGCGCCTCTCAAAGAGCTTAAGGGCCGGGCGACTCGTGAAGTATCCAGTCCAGAACTGGTGAGGGCCGTCTGCGTACGGGAAGAAGTCGTCCTCCTTCACAGTCCTGATAATGGTGAAAGCATCCACGGTAAAACCTTGCCAAGCCAGACTCGAGTCAGCCAGAATTTGGGGTAAGCTGGAAAGGCTACCCGAAATAAATAAATAACTCATAAAATAATATGACAAAATAAACCAAATAAATTTTGCACGGAACACTCTTAAGTTACACATGATAGGAGAGACCCCTTTAACCTTTCCCGAGTACATGAAGGATTACTAATAATGATTGCAATCCACAAAAATGCACAAAGTGCGATGAATTAGCCCCGATGAATGGACTCGTTGTCAAATGGACTCACCATGTGAGGTTTGCTTTGTTTAGCTCGTTGAGGTAACAGGTTGGCGTGGAGTACACCAAGTTAACCTTGCTGCCGTTCACTTGCTAAGGAGACAACAGAACACACACACACCGCGCTTAATTTTGCTTGTGCAATGTTTTTTTCGATTACAATTTTGACTAAATTTATAGGGCAGAGGTTCTTTAAAAACTTGTATGAAAATGCACGTGAAAAAGTAATTAATTTGTATGTTTCACTGACCGGTTGAGAAAAACAGTGTCATTAAAAATACATATGGAAACATTTTTCTAGGAAGCAATGTATTAGGTGGGGTAAATGTTAAGTGGCCCCAAAATACAGGTATTATTAGTCCATTGGCCAGAGCAGAAATCGATGCCCACCTAAGGTAGCAAAACTGTAGTAGTACCAATTTGTTTACATGGCAAGTACGAGTGAATTATTTGATAACTCACTCATATCAAATGGCCAGGCTAAATACATAAACTGGAACCACGAAAGTTACACCACCTCAGGTGATACCGACAAGTGAAATATCTGCACTGGGACCATGGACTATACAGAGAGATGAACATGCACACAGATGAAAGTACAAATAAGCAAATCAAACACAGATCCAAACGGACAAGCAGTCACAGTCATACACAGTCGTAAGTAATATGACATCACACCAGCTGGTTGACATAGGTGATGAGCTTGTCCAGATTCTTGAACCAGAGGTTGGCGTTTTCGTACTGGAAGTCAGAGCCCATGGTCATGATGATGTGGTTTGTGCGGTAAAACTTGGCCTGCAACAGAAAAATGCCTCATTAGCAGACGCAAATGTTATTAGCGAGCACCTATTAATTCTTCCCTGTTCTGAGTGCGGTCTCTGCAGTGAGTCTTTAAAAACAATGGCGCTATGCCTCTATACCTGGCTTATGGAGAGGCGTCGGACTCACCTGTTTGGCAACTTCCTTGAGGAAGTCACGCGTGCGAGAGTCCACGTTGTAGTTGAAAAGGCTGGGGTCATCCTGGATGGGCTCATCGTCACAGAACTGATCGAAGCAGAAGCCGGGTGGCGGGTTGTAGCCATTGAACAGCACACCTAGATGCACAAGGAATCTTTTATGCCATGGGTTACACACACACACACGTGCTGCGAAGGAAAGTGCTGTTACTGAGCACCGACTAAAGCTGGCACAGCACATGATGGTGGTATGGCCACAATCATAGTGCCCGCTCTCCTTCATCACCCCATCGCTGATGCTCATAACACTGCAGCAGATTCTCATTTAGTTCTAAACAAGCCTAGGAAGGGCCCAAGGCTAATATTGATACCACTTGTCACCAGTGTTATCCATGGCCATTTTGAACTCTGGGTTTGTAGTGAACCTGTCGCGAGCCACTGCGTTTGTAGTGAAATACTGTACCACTGCTCCCCACAACAAAGATCCCCCGTATAGCCTTAACAGACTTTTGGTGCAAGTGTTGTTAGCAAGCACCGATGGAGGCTGGCATGGTACACAGGGGGGTGGGTGGCCAGCACCACACCTTTGTCTCCCTAGTGGAACATGTTTACACACCGCACCAGGTCCCCCTTCAAAAATAAAAAAATATTACAAGCAAACTCATTTATATTAAAAGTAATATTTAAAAATTTTGCTAACGCATTGCATTGTGGAAAATGCGTTCTTGTGAGGACAAGGCACAATCCACTCAGCAATGTGTTCCTGGGCCCAATCAGCATTTCAATGAAAAGGAAATTAACTGCCCTACATTCTCGTGAGATGGCAAAGTCTTAGAAAAAAATGTGAGGTACACATATAAAATTAAATTTAAGGAAATTAAACTAAATAACCTGTGAATAGGTCGGCCACAGGCGGTCCCATGCTTTTGCTGCCCCTCCACACCAACTCCATCTGCTTGTCCTTCATACGCTGCTCTTTGTCTTGGTAATCCAGTCGCCCAAAAAAGAATCCATCAAAGCCCATCTGCGCACCGCACACAAACACGTTACTCACTCACGTTCGCCACGCTCTAAAATTACTCGAATCGTGGATTATACGTAGCAGGCTCATGCCCGATTTCAGGTCAGGTGTAAAGTCACTTTGTGCCCACAGGGACAGCTGCCACTGAAGGGGTACCACCCTTTCAAATGTTTGAGGTAGTTGGTAGCCAATTTTAATTTGTCACGCAAGCAACAAGCGAGTCTAGTTTGCGATTATTAGGCATGTACCATATTCAGTCGCCGAGGGATCTCATGAATTGTCAAAGCTTTGGGGTTGTAATTCAGTTCTATAACGGATCCTTTCTCACCGAGTTTTTACTATCCCGTGTTGTCATTGTCGTTTGTATAGTCGAATAGTTTTGTTCACTCAATTCGACTAAAATTAGCATTGGGATATCATTTATGTAAAATATGCATACATTGTAAATAATCAATTCTTACATGCATGATTCGATGCATATGCCATGAGCATAAGAGGCGAGATTAATCTATAAATCAACGTTTCACCACATGACAAGTAATTATCTCAAAACAGTACAATGTCACATCTAACTCGCTCGGGACTCAGGTTTAAGGGTATATCTGAAAAGGTCAGATACGAGAAGAAAATAACAGAAACAACAAAATGCACAAATAGGTTACTGGACAAAACTAAACACCAGCTGCTTTAAAACACACGTAACATGCTTTACTGTGCATTAAAAATATATGTAGGGAACAATATTAAGCTTGTACGTGAAAAAGTCTAACTTGGGAATGTCTTTTAGAAAATGCCAGTTATGCAAATGTCATGTACTGCGCTGGGCGTCCGGGGTTAACTGGTCATAGCGGATAAACGACGGTCGGATACGGAACATTGTACTTTATAGCAAGTTCAGTTTAACACGTAGGCTTTCGCGACCAATATTATTCTGGCGAATTGTCCGATGATGCTGCATGCAATTACCAGCGAAACGTCGTACTCAAAAATTGTAAATGTTGTGGTTTCACGCTTCAACACACCGGTGGGCTAAAGCAGTGAACTATTTGTCTTTTGTCAACGTGACACATTTTTACTGATTGGCCGTGTCGGGTGGTGGAGGGTTACGACACATTTATAAATAACGCGATCTAAACCCAAAAACGTTGATTATGAGCAAGTTCAGTGTTGCATGAGAGGTGCTTGTGAAGCCGCCACCACCTGCGCGAAGAGGGATGCCTGCTCGCGCGAATGACCGAACGGGTCGATGTGCCAGGCGACACGCGGACGGGCGCAGCCCCCGAACTCATCGCTCACGAAGCGCAGCCCCAGCGTCATCTGGTCGATGATGCCGTTGTAGTGCGTCGTCGCCTCGTCGTTCATGCACCAGCCGCCGTTGATGATCTCCAAGCGTCCTGCGATCCGGACGGCATTTGAACACGTTGCCAAGTTCTCTCGTGCACTGGTAGCTCCGTGTATAAAACACACGGCACCGAGCCCACAGAGTCCCCCCCCATTTAACGAGGGACCTCCATGAGGTGGCCAGGTGGCTCAGAGGTCACCGAAACAGTAACCCTGAGTTCGTGGGTTCAAATCCAGGCTTTAGCCCCCTGTGATTATACCAGGTTGTCATCCCAGTCACCAACGATTAAATAAAAAAACTCAATTCTAGATTTGAAGCTTTCGTGACTGCAAGGATTCATACTTAGGTTTTTTCGGTAAAGTCACGTAGGTAAAAAATAAAATTAACGTGACTTACTGAAAAAAACCTTTAAAAAAAAAACCTTTAAAAAACTCAACTTTATAAAATTTAGTTTTCACCGAATTTAGCAAAAAAATCCAGCTCAGCTATGAGAATTTGTAAAAATATATCAGTCAATCTTTCATGCCATGAATGTTTCTCTACAAGGTGTGTAGGTACGTGCAGTGCCCTGGTTACTTGAAAGGATCTAATAAGTAATAGATCATGCGCTATTCTATATTACTGGTGATGCACTGCACTGCACGAGTTCCAAATTGATATTTCATCCCAAGATTTCAGAAGGCCGCTTCTGGGTGACTTACCCATCAAAAAATGCAAACAATAGAAAATAATGCAACTGCGAATCACAGGATATTTTGCAGCTCCATTGGGACCACAAATAACAGGAGTTGTTGGAGGGGAACAGAGTTGTGGGTTAGAGGAGTATCACTGTTGGTGGTTTTATAGTGACCAAGCCAGTCACTGCGAGCACACCTTGCGATACAAGTGCACGCACACGTCGCCGCATGGCTTCTCCCTGCTGTTTCCACCAGCGCTTCAGGAAGGCCATCTCCACATAGATAAAGCGACGGGACGGGTTCTGTTCCAACGCAGGAATCACCGAATCCAAGATGTACTGGACACCCGCGTGCTGGATGTCGTTTTTTTCTGCAGTCCAGACACACACAGGAGACGCCTAGTAATCATGACAGCTACGTAATGTATGTTGAACTTCCTTTGTACGGTACGTAGCCAACCGTGCTAATCGGAGGTGCGTAAACATCACACTTGCCAGAAGATTGCCCACCATCCATGAATACAATAATCTTCTGGGACTGTTACCCATCGTGGTGTGATTCTCTGCTGAGAAGGGTTCCCATAGGACATGTGTATACCTTACAAGGGTGGTGAAACTCTGGCCTATGGATCATATCTGACCTGTGACTTCATTTCATAAGGCCCTGTGACAACTTGAAGCCTACCACTGTGAAATGGCCCACAAACAATATTTTTCCATATTTGCAAATACATTTGCCACGCAAATCAGATATTAGAGGGGGAATGTTTGAAAATTAGCAAAACAGTTTTTCGAATTTTTGCAAGCTCAGCCACTTGCGTCAATGCAAGGGTTTCTTGCTGTGACAGAAGGGTACATTAAAGTGTGGCCTGCCAGTCTATTTAAAATTTATTTTCAGCTCTCAGTAATAAAAAGGTTCCTCGTCCCTGTCTTGCGACATGAGTTTGTACGTCAATTGGGAAATATTAATATCAGTAAAACAATATAAGCGGCACGCACCTCCATAGTAGTACTCGTCGACGGTTTTGAGCCACCCCACGTCGTCATGCGTGTGTGGAACGAGGTGAACGTTGATCATATCTGGATGGGACGTGGGACAATTCTGCTCGCACGCAGACACGACACCCAGCACACGTGCACTTAGTCATAAAAGTTTTTCTTGGGTTAGATCGCGTAAGTATAAATGTGTCGTTAACTCCCCACCACCCGACACAGCCAACCAGTAAGGTGTCACTTAAACAAAACGTGCCAATTAGTTACTACTTCAGCCCACCAGTGTGTTGGAGTGTAAATAGTATTCTACTCACACACCGCAATCGGTAGAAACAGACATTAAACAATAAATACGGGCAGACCTCGTTTAGTGCCACCAAGGAGAAAGCCCATTCGTTATAGCCCTCTTTGTCGTGGACATTTTTACAACAAAAAATTTAGAAAAATCGAAACATATACAAAGGGCACTTACAAGTGAGAACACGCAACGCTGGACGAGGAAATTTACTCACCACCATAATCCTCTCAGCCAATTAAAGCGACATACTTGGAGCCAACCAAATCCCACCCCACACGACTGGATTATCACAATTTGTGTCACGATTAAAAAAAATTAGTATGGATTTTTTCCCCCAATGTTAGCCAGGTGAGAACTCACGAGACCAGGAGAGAGTCTCAGGCTCAACCTAAAAGAAACCTTCACCACAAATTTAAGACTGAGGGCATCAATAAGATCACGGAAATCCTGCAGTTCTTCTCAGAGAATGACTCTGACTGGGATCTCAGCAGCTCTTACAACATCACCTCTCACCGCTGCCATGTAGGAGTACAGTAGAATGCACTCTTGAGTATAGTGCGTAATGTTTACCGATATTATTATAATAAATTATTCTTTTTTATTCATGAAATAATGTTGACCATTTGTGTTGTTATTATTAGCACTAAACCTATACCCCAATGAAGCCCTCATTTATTGCTCATACAAAAGAAATAACGCTGCCAGGAACGCATGGTATAATGACCGCTTTCAGCACCGATTCGATTCTCGCTCAATTCTCCAAGAACGCATCTTGAGCGTTAAGCGAGGTCTGCCTGTAATTCACTTTGGTTGACCAGATACTAAAATCACTGTAAATGTACCCGATCTTGCCAGATCTCGGAAGCGAAGCACAGTTAAACCTGGTTGGTACTTGGGACGGGTGACCACCAAGACTTGCCAGGTGTTGTAGGGTGGGACTGAGGCAGAGGTCGCGACCGGGTACCCAATACCTGTACCCTACCCGATACCCGGCCGGGTACGGGTACCTGTTTGCGACCCTGGTGCGGCCGGGTACGGGTAGGCCGTGAGTCACTGGTGAGTAACCGTTTGTCACTCATTTCCCAACCTCTTGTCTCTTCTCACAATTCAAGTTCCTAGAATCAACCCACCCACACCTGCAACATTGCTTCATCCCAGAGGTCGCAATCAGGTACCCGATACCCGTACCCTACCCGTACCTGGCTGGGTATGAGTAGGGTACGGGTACGGCCGGGTACGGGTACCCGTTTGCGACCCTGGTGCGGCCGGGTACGGGTAAGGAATCAAAACCCGTTTGCGACCTCTGGACTGAGGTAGTCAAGATATAGCAATGCTGGGTGTCATCCAGAGTACTCCAGTTTCCTCCCATACATTAAACATTCACTGATGGTACTGGTCAAACACCCCATGCAGGGCTCTCTTGAAAAAAAAAAGTCTTGAGACTATGGGAAACTTTTCTGGATAAAACATTGGGATTGTTGTAAATATAAGTGGTATTTGCCAAAATAATTCCACCTCAACTGGTACCGATTTCTATTCTTGCCCGTGGACTGTTGATCACATGCAAGCCCGCATGACTTCAGTGGCAAAAACTACACAACAGATAACTTTACTATCGTCACGAGGGCCAAATGGCAGCTTCAAAGCCACACGTTTTTGCAAGCGACGACTTTTAGGTTGTAACTGATCAGCCGATTACATTTAGATCCAGGATTTCTTAACTCTGGCCTTATGAAACTCCAGCGCTTGCACTCCACCATAGATGCATGCAAAGACACCGACTTTCGTCTTACATTTGAGCTGTCAGGATTGGTAAACTTGCAAATTCGGACCGTTGGCGGGGTTTGACGAGTACTCGAGTTGGGAGGTCCTTGTTTGGAATGACTTATCATTTTCTTGGTTCTTTCGGTAAAGTCACGTAGAAGGGAAGTAATAAAATAATAAAAATAAAACATAATAAAATAATTATCACGACGTTATTATGCTTTATTTTTATTATTTTATTACTTCCCTTCTACGTGACTTTACCGAAAGAACCAAGAAGATGAATCCCTGCAGTCACGAAAGCTTTAAATCGAAATTTGACTTATCATTGTGAAAAAGGTGACTTCAGTAATATCACTGCAGGTGTGGAGAAATAATCTTGAGTCTGGCAACTAATATCTTCGATTTTTTTTCCATTAAAAGTCCAGATTTGTGTCCAATAATTACAGGCCTCCCTTGGGTTGTGCTTAACTGTTAGTGGGTCCTTTCCATTTCCCAGTTCGTTATCTTTCAATTGATGAATTATAGTATTAAGGGATGCCACTGCTTTATTTTGTGTAGGGTCAATAATAATAATGAAAACAATGCATAAACGCACACACATTTCGCGAATCAGATGGCTTAAGAATTGGAGGTTAGGATAATGGTTGGGGTTTATGATTGGGAGTCAAGGTGTAGGTGTATTGACTGCTGTACCCAAGACCGGTTCGTCTTCCCTGCAACTGCGAGGACAGAATTCTCAGCCAAAACAACGTTCTGGTTCTCAATTTAAGGGAATAAACCTTGCCCGCACCACCGATTAGCACGGTTAGCTACGTACGGAGCAAAAGAAGTTATACGTACACATATCAGGGCAGAGATGTCGGGGAAATAACCTAGATTTTTGTCAAAATGAAAGTTTTGCAAGAGGAACTGCAGTATGCATTTTTCAACATTAATACATTTGCAAGTTGTAAATGTGTACATGTTGTGGATTTGCTCTCCAGCACACCGGTGCGCCGTAGTAGTAACGAATTGGCATGTTCTGTTTACGTGACAACCCTTTACTAATTGGCTGTGTCGAGTGGTGACGGGTTTAACGACACACATTTATATTTACACGATCTAACTCCCCCCCCCCCCAAAAAAAAACATGTGTTGTGATCAGGCTGTGATGTTGACGGTGATGTTTGTGCACGATGGTCTCGGTACCGGTACCGGTGATGGTCTCGGTACCGGTGCCGGTGATGGTCTCGGTACTGTGCCGATGATGGTCTCGGTACTGTGCCGATGATGGTCTCGGTACTGTGCCGATGATGGTCTCGGTACTGTGCCGATGATGGTCTCGGTACTGATGATGGTCTCGGTACTGATGATGGTCTCGGTACTGATGATGGTACCGGTACCGATGGTACTGGTACTGATGATGGTACCGGTACCGATGGTGATACCGGTACCGATGGTCTTGTTACCGATGGTCTCGGTACTGATGATGGTCTCGGTACTGATGATGGTCTCGGTACTGATGATGGTCTCGGTACTGATGATGGTACCGGTACCGATGGTACTGGTGATGGTACCGGTACCGATGGTGATACCGGTACCGATGGTCTTGTTACCGATGGTCTCGGTACTGATGATGGTCTCGGTACTGATGATGGTCTCGGTACTGATGATGGTCTCGGTACTGATGATGGTGCCGGTAAAGACGATGGTAGTAACCACAACTAACTAACTACACTAAAGCCCAGTACGAATCCTGTAAAAAAAACACAGATTCAGTGGATCGATGGGGGAGCGGTGGCGCAGTGGTTAGCGTCCCTGCGTTCAGAACCGGTCCACAAACACGAGATCAGTTCGCCGATCCAGGGCTAACATCGGTGGCAAGTGATATCTGAATCCCCATCATTGCTCCTACTCCTCTTTGCCACCAAACCCGAAGCGACTCAGAGTGGTGAAGTATGGTCAAACACACCTCCACCCCCACCACGGTCACCGTATGACTGACACAGCCGATAAGTGGGATTTCATCCAGCAGTGGATTGACAAACCCCTCGGGGGGGATGTTGTTGATCTGTGTGAAGTTTAAAAATCGGCAGTAGTTGATGTTTGTGGAACTTCTAAGCCACGAAAGTAGGCCTTGGGTGAAGTTAACGCTCAAAACAGCGGGAACGATATGTAAAAAAAAATAAACAATTATGAAACACTGACGGAACACGAAAGAAGACGCTTTCAAGAGAGATCTCCGCCAACAATCGTGGCAAACGAAAAGATAAAAAAAAAACTCTTCTGCCCTCAATACACGCCGGCTACAGTGCGGTACAGTAACCTATACGACAGGGTGGTCCACATGTCTTGTGACCCCCCCTCCAATTTTCTTTCTCCGATGCGGATTCCTTCATATTTTAATTAAATATTACTTTAGATATATTAAGTTTTAGATAATTCAATTGTGGGGGGCGAGGGAGGAGGGGGTCACAAGACATCTGGACCATCCTGTACAGTCTACAACAACAGACTTCGCTTATTGATTGCGAGGCTCTCACCTCGTAGCTGCAGGCTCGGCACATCGCCACCATCGCCAACATCACCAACATCTTCATCATCATCGTCGTCGTAGGCAACATCTTCTCGTCGAAAGATGAAACCTCTTCTGGTGAACGAACGAACGAGGGAGGAGGAAGAGGAGGAGGAAGCAGGCCGCGTGATCAGCCCGACAACGATCGCTGAGGCTGCTGCTGCTGTTGTTGTTGTTGTTTTTCTAGTTCCCCAGGTCAGGTGATTGCCGATTTTAAACAAGATCCACGTGAAAAGCAAGTTAGATATATAATAAACAAGGTAGACCCGCCTTGTAACACGCGCGCGTGTCGCACAGAGCGCAAGTGCTGTTCGAGACTGCCACCACTTGTGTCCCAAGTGGCACCAGCTGCACGGTTGAGGCCGAGTGGACCTAGGAGAGGGCCCAGGAACGGTTCAAATGCGCCACTGATGTTGGCCGTGAGCAAGAATCGAATTCGGGTCGATGGGTTTAGTATAACTACACCTACACTACCCCACACAAACACAACGTTGATGATAAGTTGGTTCTGTGGCATTAAGAGACCACAAACAGGACCCTGCGGGGTGGGCTGGTAGGAACGAATAACCAAAGAATATAAACATAATGTATTATTACACTTGTTTAGCCAGGAAAGCCCCACTGAGTCAAAAGGTTTTTGTAGGGTCATGCCAAGTGTTTGCAGTAGGGGGCGATGTTGCTACACGGACGGACGGACAAACGGACGGACGGTATAATCTATTGTAGGCTGGTCCACTTCGTTCCTACCAGTATAAACAAGGTAGACCCGCCTTGTAACGCGCGCGTGTCACACAGAGCGCAAGTGCTGTTCGAGACTGCCACCGCTTGTGTCCCCAAGTGGCACCAGCTGCACGGTTGAGGCCGAGTGGACCTAGGAGAGGGCCCAGGAACGGTTCAAATGCCACTGATGTTGGCCGTGAGCAAGAATCGAATTCGGGTCGATGGGTTTAGTATAACTACACCGACACACTACCCCACACAAACACAACGTTGATGATAAGTTGGTTCTGTGGCATTAAGAGATCACAATAACAACGTGATATACTGTATACACATTTGATTAAATAAATGTAATACAATCTTAAATATTTTCCATTAAATGTAATTTTATAAAGCCGTCATGACGGCAAATTACAGTATAGGTTTAAAATAAAGTGATAAACCATCGAATGTCACACGTACCACACAACGAAGAACAATGCCGGTGTTTGCATTGTCCTCGGCGTCTGCCAATTAATTAGCGCAGCCTTCTTACTGAAGGGTGCTGCTTGTTTGATTTCGCGGTGCGTGCAGAGGTGGAATTTAATTTACGCGGAAAATTCGAGGTCGTTAATGGAAGCGTCCAAAATGTTGTCAATAATTGCGAGAACGTGAAATTAACCTTATGGGGTCTTGAATAAACGGAAGTCTAAATCGTAATTAACTACTTTATTCTTGGCGACTCCGTCCCACTGCGCACATAAACGCCGCGACCCACCTGGCGCGGATCATTGTTGTCATGTCGTGTCCAAGCGCAGCAGCGAGGACGAATGCGCATAAGAAACAAAACTTTTAAACTTTGATTAGCGCATCGTGTCGAGCTCATCGAGAGGAATAGATTGCTGTGTCGTTCGCCTTCAACAGACATAAAATGACGTCGCAACGCAATTTACGAACTTTCGTAAATCGAGAGATACCCCCAGTGTGCATACGATGGGTGCTTACTCGTGAATGTGTTAGAAATATGATTTGTAACTTTAATCCTTACCCATGTGTAATGACAGGGTGACACCTGCTGGCCTGGGAAGGGATTCACAAGTACGGGCACAGAAGTAGAAACCAATCAGCAAAGGAGGTGTATCTGGGGCAAATGTAACAGCAGGTGGGGGCTAGCCGAGATACACCAAGAAAATATTGGGGTCAACCTGCTCGAAGGTTCCACGAGAGGGCGTGGCCAGAGGCGGGGCCTAGCCGAGCCACGCCTTGGGGGATAAAAGGGGGAGCGGACCCGGTGCTCTGGGCTCATGTGTGGGATCCTGGCTCTGTCGCTGTTCACCGACATCTCTCTCCGTCGTCCGGTCAAGTGGAAGATCTCCTGCGTGGTTTCCATCACCGTCGTCGTCATGTCACCAGCCAGCGGTGTGGCCGAGGGCGAGGGGATCTTGCCGAGTGATCGGCTGTGCGTGTAGCCAGTGGAGGTGTTATTACCTGGAGTTATACTCCGTGAGGAAGAGCAAGTGCTGGCCTGTGTTGTGCCCAGTGTAATAAAGTACCCTCAATATGACGTGTAATGGAAGTCGATCATCACACATTTATCGATAGTTCAATGTTAATGTGCAATTTTGAGGGACTGTTTTCTTGGTGTGGTCTTGGACTGTTCTTGCCGTTTTATGGCCTTGCCCAAGCTTTGGAATTGTACTTATAACATTTTTACTTATATACTTTATTTGATGTACAGTATATATTTTTGTGATTTGCTTTCTTTTCTTATACTCCGATCGTTTGTGGTCTTTCAGACCCACCCCTACTGGACGTCTGTGAAAAATATCTTCAAGCGTATCGGATTAATCCAATATGGATATTCCGATGCCTATTTCAGCAGGTGACTTTACGCAATGCTATAAAAATTGGCCATCGTCAAATATTGGGGTCAACATTCCACCAACACACACTTGCCTTCTTATCCAGAAACGCCTCGCAGAGTACAACGGTTTGTTTAGTCAACCCCTTTAACGAAACACTTTATTTTTTTCAACAGTATTGCATTGGAATGTTGAGCCAATGCAATAACGGTGAGTGCAATGAGAACGTTTCTTAAAATGTCACGCCTCTTGTCCACCCAGCACCACAAATGGGTACAGGACATCAAGTCAATCTGCTGGTCACGAGTGATGGGGTAAAGTATGTACATCTGACAGTCTACAAGAGTAGCAAAAAATACCCTCCAGTGGAGTGCATTAAGAGCTCCTTTAGGGGAAGCCCACCAGCAGTAGCATGAGCAAGAAATTGCAAGGGCTGCGCCTTTCACCCAAGTGTTTGGTTTTGTGCGTGAACACCAAAGCAATCAGCGAAAACCCATATGCACGGTGGGGTAACGCACAAATGATCCTTAAGGCGGTACCCCGGGATACCAAATAATACAAAATGGTCGAGGCAATTAAATATTTTATTTCTGGGACTATTTTTTCCAGGGGTGTACTTAACTCCGCGACTCGGGTACCAATCAAACCGAAACCAGTGCTACTCCGCCATGTCGAAACGGAGCGAGGACGATTGCGCTGAAACCCTGAACGCTCGTACGCACCGTAGTGGTGCATCGTGTACAGCTCATCGAGATGAGTCGATTGCCGCATCGTCGACCATCAACAGACTAAAGATGACTGCATCACGGACATTATGCGAGAGCCGGGGTACTATGGTATCCCGGGGGAGCCGGGGTACTATGGTATCCCGGGGGTACCGCCATAAGGTTAAAATGTTCACACGTAGCAACTACGTTGCAATTTACAAAGCTTAGGCTTTGTAAAGCTTCGGCTTTGTAAATTACAACATACAAAAGCACCTAATGGTTATGCGCGTCAAGTTTTATCTGTACATTTAAACATCCCAGTATTTCTGGGGTTTGGGTGGGGATCGCGACAGCATTTTTCAATCCAAGGCATGCATCACTTCAGTGCAAAAGGGAAAATGTGCTTGTGGTCTGAAATCGCTTCCTCTCGTCAGCGGTAAGCTCCGCGTTGCCCGGTCTCTCCACCACCATTGTTCGTATGCCTGCCTCCTCAGCCGCAGCCGCTTCTGAAACGCGAGAATGGACAAAGGTTTTGCATCGTGACAGTTCGACATCGCATATCTGTCCTGACCAATTCATCGCTCACAATACCACCCCCCATCCCTCAGAGCGGTATTTATGCATAGAGGTGTAACTGTAATTCTGTACATTTCAAAAAGAAAACATTTATCAATAACAATGTGGCTTTAAAATCAAACAAATACATACTATGTAATAGACAATGTTTCTGGCAATGACCCCTCTTCATATCACATAGCTGTTCAAAATTCTGACCGTTTCACGTAAAGTAATGCATTCAAAGTGCAGTTTGCACTTAATTATTGTTCAGTAACTTATGTGTGTACGGTGGTGTAACCGATCTTCTATTGACGTTCTCACAGCTGATCTTTTCACATATCCACCTACACCACCGAGTCAAAAATGTGCCATTATACTGTAGCTTAAAAACAAATAAAACGTCGGAACTGCAGCGTTAGTGGTATACAAGCTGCTCCAGGACAATGTGGCCACAAGAGGGCAATACAGCAACATTTGATGTACAGTAGTCCCCCGGTTTAACAAGTAAGCTTTCGCGACCAATATCCACAAGAGGTTTTTTTGGGTTAGATCGCGTAAATATATAAATGTGTCGATAAAACCCGCCACCACCCGACACAGCCAACTAGTAAGGGTTGTCACGTAAACAGAACATGCCAATTCGTCACTAGTACAGCACTAACCGGTGTGTTGGAGAGCCAAGCCACCACATTTACACTCTGAGTACGACGTTTTGCCAGTAATTACAACTAGCTTCATCAGGCGACAGCCAGATTTGTGGAGAATTCTTTTAACAATACATTTATATATTTACGTGATCTAACCCAAAAAAACCTCTATTATAGTAGTCCCTCGGTTAACAGCGACATCGGTTAACGGTTTTTCGGTTAACGTTTCGCCTCCCATAAGACCCAATGGTTTCGACTAAAAAGGGGAAAACCTATTCTCATATTTTGGTACTGGCAAAGGAGGTCCCATGAGGTTTCGACTAACGTTAACATTCTGATTCACGGTACGTTTACGTTCTGCACGCGGGCGCGAATTTCGGCCAGAGTGCTCGTAAGTGGGCTGAGCATGCCTCAGTCAATCACCGATGTCCATGAGCGTTTAGAACTTGACTGGCTTTGTTGACATTGCGTTTTCTGTATTGGCAGTGGAAACAACTCTCTTGCAGACTCAGTGATTTTCACTTATTTTGCAACTTATAATTGAATTCTATTAACAGTTATTTCGGTTAACAGTAGATTTTGTGGAACGGATTATAAACATTAACCGAGAGACTACTATACTTGTATGTATGTTGAACTTCTTTCGCACCGTACGTAGCCAGGCTTGCTAATCGGAGGTACGATTGTATTTTTCGGTATTGTACTGTGATATGCTCCCACATCTACCGCTGCCGGCCTTCACCAAACCACATAAACCAGCAAGGTAAAAAAAACAAAGACCCGTATGGCATGGGCAAACGAGGAACTCTCTTCGGCAGCAGATTGACAAACGGGCCGTGCATGTACAAATGCAAGGGCTAACCGCAACGATTTCACCATTCGCGTTTTTAGCATGGTGTTGTAATACAGAAATACATCCTGTATAAAAGGTTCAAGTGCAGGGCTGCATTTACTTATTTGCGCCAATGCTAGCAGAAGGGCCTTCATCACCACAAGGGAGCTCTAGTGAGCCCCTCCGGAGGGTATTTTGGCCAACTCTTTCACGCTGGCCAGGTGTCTTGGAAGAAGTGGGAGTAGCCAAACTATACCCCGCCATATGCTACCTGCCAATCGAGTAACTGTGATGTAACAATTTATATTGCTGGGTGGACAAAAAGGCGAGGGGTTTAAGAAACATACACTATTGTTTCAACTGCCAGCAGGTCTTGAGATTGAACATGTGACTTCTGGATTGCAAGTCCTGTGTGCAGCTTTGTGAATTTGGGATTATGGTCTGGGATGCGACCTCATGGACTAACTTCTTTATTGTGATAACTTTTTTGTTGTTTGTGCTTTTTCTTTTGGTGGCATTCCTTTATGCTTATTCATTTTGATTTTGATTGGTAGTGGTTGTATATGAGATTTGGTCCTTATGTATAATTAATGTACAGCATTATGGGATGCTATTAGCTTGAATAATGCTATTGGTAAGTATCATTATGGCCATTTCTCTGGGTGTGTCGGGTGGTGGCGGGTTTCCCTCACTTAATGTGGGTTCCGTTTGTGCGGTGTCGCATTCATGCGGCTAACCTATTTCTACCCAAAATTCACTACACGTATGCAGTTTGAATTCACTCGTATGCGGCTACTCATTTGGTTGTGGGAACACATCGTGTGTTTATTGTATGCGCTACTCGGCAGACATCCATCTCAAAGCATAACAAACCTTTGGTGATGTCCGTAAGAAAGAGGATGCTGCTCGCTGGGCAGCCAACGGCAGCTGAGATCTGCTTGTAACTCTCCGCCTCCACTTTTGCACCGATTTTGGTGTCAAAGTGACCGTCAAGAAGCTGCACCACAATACACATGCAGGCTCACATGTAAATCCGTGTCCCGGGAGACAGCCCGGTCTGCTTGATGGGACCATTTTATCAGGTAACTATTCCCAGCATGTTTTAGTTCTTAGTTTTGAGTACCAGACAAAACCAAGCGAAATGTTCTAAGTAAGAAAATGTGGGGAGAGTTAAATAATCCTATTTTGGTGACACATAGTCCAGTTTGTACATAGCTCTGGAAGTCCAAAGCAGCAATGGTATAATGGTGACATACTTGCCTACTTTCACAGCTGCAGGGCATTTCCTGTATAAGGATGGTCAAAACTCTGGCCGAGTCAATGCGCTAGCTCTGCTGACAGCAGCATATTTTGAAACGTTTACTATCGCCGGCCTCAGTCCCGGCTGCTCGATTGTTGGTGCCTCTCGATTTAAAACTTTTGTGACTGCAGGGATTCATCTTCTTGGTTCTTTCGGTAAAGTCACGTAGAAGGGAAATAATAAAATAATAAAAATGAAACATAATAAGGCCGAATTATTCTATCATGTTTTATTTATATAATTGTATTATTTCCCTTCTACGTGACTTTACCGAAAGAACCGAGAAGATGTTGGTGCCTCGCTCAGCCAGTTTGATCCCTACCTCCAAGATGCTTCCGTCTGTTGTGTGGCCAAACAGAAGCTTTTGCGCCTCCACGCTTCCTGACGAGTAGATGTAGACACGCTTCCCGGCTGCCCTCCACGCTCGCAGAGCCGGCACAACGTCGGCATACACCCTACAGCGGCAGCAGCAGCAACAACGCAACTCCGTGGAGTGACATCGCAACATTTCTAATACAATGTGGATTTATTGCACGGTGCACTGAACATTTTTGCCACGAACCCATGTGTCAAGATAGATTAGTATAAAGCAAATAAATGTATCTCTTCGACACCGTACAAATAGGCGACCATGCAGAGGATCTGGAGGGCTCGTGAGTAGGCAACAACAGCATGGAAAGGTGTCAATTAAAACAGCTCATGGGGATAGACAGTTATAGGCAGAGGAGAAAAGTCTCGACCCTGGGCTTGAACATGGCGAGAGAATCGGCAGGCAAGGGGAAAGGAATTTAATGCTGAATGCAGCGGGTTGTTCCAGACAAGAGGGGGCAGCAGAGCTACAAGTAAGAGCATGATGACTGCACAAAGATATGACAAAGCCCTTCTATTGCAAGCAGTGACAGAAGACACCAGAGGTGTGGACTCGAGTCATGTGACTTGGACTCGAGTCAGACTCGAGTCATGAATTTGATGACTTGAGACTCGACTTGGACTTGCATAACAATGACTTTGTCCCACCTCTGAGGTGTGGACTCGAGTCATGTGACTTGGACTCGAGTCAGACTCGAGTCATGAATTTGATGACTTGAGACTCGACTTGGACTTGCATAACAATGACTTTGTCCCACCTCTGGAAGACACTACTATGTAGCTTTTGGCGGTTGTGCTGTATATTTTTCTCCGATGCATTTTGCAGGTTGTACCGCATTTTTATCGTCACCATGTCCGACTATTTCGCTCCAACGTGCTGGATAAGCGCCCAGCACGTGGAGCAAAATGTCGAACGTCATACCAAAACGCGCGGCACAACGCGAAAAACAATCGGTGGGCTGCGGCGAGGAGATGCTTACTCTCCCTTCACCTCCCCGCAGGCGTACGCAGCCCGCCACATGTGTCCCTGCAGCTGCTTGAGAGCCGTAGTCTTTCGGTCAGCGGCCATCTGCCAGAGCACGCTTGCCACGGCGGCATCCAGTACCGCCTGCTTCGCCGCGCCATCACACGGAATGGCCACGGCGCCCGGAAGCTGCGCGTCGGCCTCCGCCTGAAATCATGAAAAGCAGCCGCCGCCCGTCAGCTGTTTCCTGAACGGTGGTACACAGGAGGGGAGCCCGCAATAAACGTCGTCTCGATGTTGTTTCGCACTCACGTCACCAACTTTTGGTGGAACACAATGTCAAATTTCCCCGCATATAGGTCGATTTGAACTCCGTTGAAGGTGAGCTGAGTTGATAACATTGTGCGTGGGTGTTTGGCGGTTAGCGCACTACGAGCCCGGTGACCCTACTTCATTCCCGCTCACTGGCCAACACCAGTGACGATTATCGTTTTCGACTCTGCTCAGCTAAACTCAGCTCTGGAAAAGGGGGGGGGGGTGTTTAAGTACTGTACAACTCGCCATCTTCTCAGTCCCATCGTGTTCTCTCGTGTGCGTACTGAGTGCGCATTGTAATCGGCGCAGATATTTTGGCAAAATATCGCCGCAACCCTTCAACACAACTCATTCACTACTAAAGATCATCATAAATATAGGTAACGTCATTTTTTTTTACAAATTCTGTTTAAGATGCTGTGCTTTACACTGAAATATCACGAAAATACGTCTTTTATTAAAACAAGTTGTAAAGTGTACTGGGTTGCTTCGAAAGACTTATAAAACATTTTTTTAATTAAGTGTTTGATAAGTATAAATGCCGTTTAAAGGTTCTTCAACTTCGAATTGGTTATAAATGTGTACATTGTGTTGTACATCCATGTAAAGTACGTATTTTGCATGTAAATATGTATTTTGGTTGCTCGGCATGAAAGACATTTCCCTAAGTTACGGTCCCTATCCCTACCTTATTCCATTGTTTCTTACGGGAGAAACTGCCCCTTGCTTTGCATCGCATAGGCAATGTTTACACTCCTATGGTCACTATCTCTCCCTATTAACATGTATTCCTATGGGGCGAAAGTCCCCGTTATACATCGTTTCGTTAACCCCGACGTATATCGAGGACCTTTTTGTATATTTAAGCTCCAGCCCAAATTTGTTATTAAAGTCGAGGTTTTTTCATTTCACGAAGCAATCACTGGTCACACTAAAACCATAATATACAAGTGTAATGTGCATAGAAATATATTGTTTACAGCCTACTGTCAAAGTGCATTTTAATCAATGCATGTTTTTATAACAGGATTAACCTGACAATTTTAGCGGTATAGTGAAGTAAAAATGGCAAACTAATTACGTTTTGGTTTTTTTTCATGTTGGTACTTTTGTCAACATGCAATTCGGGCCCTCTGTGTTCACATGCTCAAACGGGTATTCAACACTTATTACCATAAGCGGTTAAGTGGAAATATAATGTTCTCAGGGTATGGAGAGTGGCTCTACAGCACAGCCACAATCACCACTGGCTTTCCAAGACTTCTATTACGTTTTTTTTTTAATCTGTAATTGTGGAATACTTTGACGATGTCCGCCAACTGAGTCGCCCTTGAAAAAGAAGCTTCTTAGCTCAATGGACTCCATTTCGAGAAACAAACTTCTGATTCTGAAAACGAAGTTGTGCAGCTTTGCTCTTACTAATTTCACTTATCTCTGAGGGACGATTAACAGAATTGACCGTGGCAGGTATCTGACCTCAGGACCTCATGATTTGAAACCTACTGTGCATGCGATGTTGCTACCTGTTGTCTTAGCAGTTGCACATCAGCCTGGCATTCTTCTTCCGCCCAGTGTTCTGTCAGGTAGTCGTGCACATGCTCCTTTATGTATGGAAACAGCACATCCTGCAAACACACACGTGACCTGTGTTTAATTGCAGACATTGTCATCTTCACACACAAACTTTTCCCTGAAATTGGCTGGGGTGTTAGGATTGGCCGAGAAATATTCTTATGTTTCATGAAAATCCATGTAATTATTGGTTTACTATATAAATTACCTACATTTATACTCCACGAGGTATTTGAATATTTACGTGGCAAATATGGGAATATGGCAGCTGCAAGAACATTTGCTATATTTGCCATTGACTGGATTTCCGATTATGGGCAGTCCTCGGGTTACGAATCAAATTCGTTCCAGAGACCCGTTTTATAAGTCGAATTGTTCGTAAGTCGGAACACAACAATGCACTCTATTGAAATGCCCATAGGTCAGTGTTATGAAATGTGTTATAGGGTTTAACAAAAAGTCAAGCATTGTCATAAATAAATATATATTTGCATATAACACAGTAAAAAATACTGTATGGTAAATAAAACATAACAAAAAATAAAGTAACATAAATAGAAAAACACTTATTTTCACTTGAGTCCTGATGCTCGCTCGTAGTCGGAAGAGGAAACGGAGTCACCACAATTGCACACACACGGGTCACAAAGGCACACCAAGACACACACACACAACGACAGACACAAAGACACACACACACACAAAGACAGACACACACAAAGACACACACAAAGACAGACACAAAGACAGACACAAAGACACACACACGGGGCACAAAGGCACACCAAGACACACACATAAAGACACACACAAAGACACACATACAACGACAACGATCCCCCGTGTCGCCTGCACAGACTGAGTGGTCAGCGCCACGCCCGGCCGCCTTTGTCTCCCCAATGGCGATGTTTACACACCGCACACTTCCAGCGCGAGGCCGACTCATTGCGAGTTTGCATTTGAAGTCAGTCCCTCGGTTAACGTTTTTAATCCGTTCCGCGAAAACTACTACTGACCAAAATAACCGTAAAGAGAATGCACTTATAAGTTGAAAGATAACAACAAAAAATCGCCGAGTCTGCAAGACAGCCGTCTTGTTTGCACTGACGAAACAGAAAACGCAACATCAACAAAGCTTTAAATCAAAAAATAAACAAAGCTCACAAATGGACGTCGCTGATTGGCTACGGACATGCTCAGCCACACCTACGAGCGCTCGGATTGGTCGAAATTGGCGACCGCAGTTGCAGAACGTAAATACGTTACCGTGACTTTAACACGCAGTAAGGGCTTTAGCGACCAATATCATCCATAACATAGGGTTGATTTTGGGGGGGTTTATCGCGTAAATATGTGTCGTTAAACCCGCCACCATCTGACACAGCCAATTAGTAAGGTTTGTCACGTAAACGGAACTTGCCAATTCGTTACTGATCTGGCAAATCTGGCTTCAGCCTGATGATGCCGGTTGTTAATTACTGGCCAAACGTCGTGCTCCAATTCTAAATGTTGTGGATTTGCTCTCCAACACACCTGTGTTGCTGAACTAGTAATGAATTGGCATTTTCGTTTACGTGACAAACGTTACTAATAGGCTGTGTCGGGTGGTGGCGGGTTTAACGACACATTTCTATTTTTACGCGATCTAACCCAACAAAAACCTGTATTATGGACGTTACCGTGAATCAGAATGTCAACGTTAGTCGAAACCATGGGGTCCTATTGGAGGCTGAAACGTTAACCCAACAAAAACGTTAACCCATGTCAGTGTTAACCGAGGGAATATTGTGCATCAATTGTCTACACGTGTACGATGCTAATCCATTGGGCTGTAGGTCTACTGTTTAAGCATTGGTCGAATGCAATAATTTAAGTTATGGTCCTGAAGGCCTTCCTTAATCAGGATACTGGAAGGGTGCACTTCCACGTTACAGTTTTTACAATTGCCTTACATAAATGTGAACTTGCCAATTCTTCAATGAAACACACTTTTAAAGGCTTTGGCCGTTTGAATCCCACCTCTGGCCTAATTGACAGACCACGTTTACAGTCTTCTTCTTTCGTATGGCAACAGCATTGTACTGGTAGGAACCTCCTGGTTACACCAGCCCACAGGGGATTATTGTGTCCGTCCGTCCGTCGTGCAGGGAGGGGCTGGGTGAGGAGGGTGGGGAGGGTGGAGAGGGGCTGGGTGGAGGGTGGGGCTGGGAGGGGTGGGGCTGGGAGGGGTGGGGCTGGTCACCCCGTGGTGCCCTTATAAAACTCAACGTTTAACCTACTCACGCCGGCTTGTGCCCGCCCTCACAGTCGGGCATATTTGCGGAATACACCACGCCGCCGTTGACCCTGGCCATTGACCGAGTAACCCAACGTTCCTACCAGCTCCCTCCGCAGGAATGTGTTTTTTAGTGCCGTCACTTGACTTGAGAATCCGGTTTTTATCAGGGAGCGGCTGGAATCCGCATTCAAACCCAGGATCTCAGTGGTGACAATTGCCTTTTGACTCCTGATTGAGAGAAGATCATTACTTTAGTTTACATCCCATTGTCAACCCAGTTGGATGAGGCCTCCCACGTAGTTATGGCCATGGGGGTTGTTTGACCATTGACCAGTTAGTGCGGGTTTGTGATTTATACTACGCGTTCTTAATGTTTTGAGCAATATATACTAACAATTATAATAATCCTAAGCATTATCAATTAAGGAGTACTGTTGTATTCTTGCGTACGGTTATATGTTCAGGAGCTTAATGGCAATATCCAAGGTCTGCTAGCGACGAGAGTTCGTGTAGCTTTGTTAGTCCTCCTCACCTGAAGGAAAACATTCCACAGTTTTTGTTTTTACTCCATGGTCCAAAGCAGGGATTGAATGGCCTTTAACCGCACCAATTTTGCTTGTCTTTATTGTTTAGTGAGTGAACTCTGTGCTTCCCCCATCAGCCCGGGTTGCACCAAAACAATAAACATTATGGTACATTTCGCACGCACCATTCAAAGCACGTGTCACACATCCCATCCACATCACGTCCACCATCAACAACCACCACCACCAATCATCATCATCGCGATTGCTTAAGCTTCACGAGGTTGATGATGGCTATAACATCCACAGCGGTTTACACTACGAGACCTCCTTTACCAGTAGCAAAATATAGTTATAGGTTTTTACCCTTTCATCTGGTACAAAAACTGACACCTTTATACAAGGGGTCATGTTTGCAATAACCACAACACAAGCAGTCAAAATGCAAACAAAAAGAAACATGATAATGATATAGGACAATGCATATCATTATCAGAGTTGTCTTGATGATATAGGACAGTGCATATCATTATCAGAGTTGTTTCTTTTTGTTTGCATTTTGACTTGCTTGTGTTGTGGTTATTGCAAACATGCCCCCTTGTATAAAGGTGTCAGTTTTTGTACCAGACGAAAGGGTAAAACCCCTATTACTATCCACAGCGGTGTTGGTGGTCTTGATATTTCTGGATCCGCGTGTTTAAACCGCGCGTCAACAACAACAAGCAAAGATGCTTCGCACTCCGACTCGCCTTCACGAAAGTGATGGGCGTCGTGCAGCCCTCGATGTCCAGCAAAAGGACGAGGACATTGTCCACCATGAGCGAGCGATCAGAAGGAGCCTCCATCGTTTGTTACCGTCCACCGCTTTTCGTTCACCACCGTCCACTCCCTTCCACGTGGTTGAGGGCTGCTCACAGCGTGGCGTGCCGGGATGTACCAAGTCGGTCTCACTGGCAGGGGGGGAATTATTTCTTGTTCCTTTACTGGCCGGCGTGGACTCGTCCACTTTCACGATTAGGCGAGGGGTGTTTTTATTTCAAATGCATTTCATAGATATTTTTTTTTAACGAGTAGGTTTTGGTGACCATTATTATTCGTAATAAAGGGGTATAAATATCAAGGCCGTAATTATAATATATTTTGGGGGAGACACATCCCCCCCAATATTCAAATATGCTCAAAATGTCCCCCCCCCCCCAATATATTGCTATAAAAAAGATTTCTGTTTTATGTGATTGTGATTATGGTTGTACTTTATATGTCCCTAATCTCTGCCATTACATACAATGAAACAAGAAAAGGTAAAAAAAGAAAAACAGAAATGTAATACAATACACTATTAGACATTATTTTACAAAATAAAAAAGTCCATCTTATGTGTAAGTGAATTTTTAATATTTTAGGCAGGAAATTCGTTTTCAAATTTAGATATTTTTCTGGGGGGGGACCCCTCAGACCCCCTGGAAGATTTGGTCCCCCCCAATGTTGACTCCATGAACCAAACTTGCCAATTAGTTCCTTACTGTTAGCCGGTCGAAGGCGGTTGTAATCACTATCGAAACGTCGGACTCGAATTGTAAAATGTTGTGGGTTTACTCTCCAACACACCGCTGTGCCGAAGTAGCAACATTGCACCTGCTGCAGACTAAATGTTAAACATACGTGTTAGTACATACATGTTGAACATGCATAATACAAACATGTTGATACATGTTGATACATGTTAATACATACAGCCTGCTGCAGGTGCAATGTTGGTACTTCAGCACGCCGGTAGTTTAAGGATGCCATGAATATGTACTCAGAATTATTATCCACGTGTGGACGGAAATAATTCATTTGTACAGAGATCTGGTGGTTTCCCGTTTGAACTGTATCACCGTTTTACTGCACAATACCTAAACGTTTGTCTGTGGTAAAGATGATAGCTGTTATCCACTCCAACTGCGATTCAATGAATTGTTGCAATGATATTCGAGATTCGATTCGTTAAAAAAAATAAAGATTAATGGTAGTGCTTCTAGTGGCTGTACGGATCACATAAACATATTACGACGATAAAGTCACGTAGAAGGGAAATAAGAAAATAAAAATATTAAAACATAATAAAATGCAAGAACAGGGCTGTCTTTCCGAAAGCCCTGTTCTTCACCTGAGGACGGCTGCTGAGGGAGGGAGGGGGGGGGGGTAAGGGGAGGGGCCTAAGGGAGGAGGGGTAAGGCTGGCTACCTGGCTGTCAGCGTGGTGGGGATGTAGCTCAGTGGGAGAGCGCACGCTTTGCATGTGTGAGGCTCTGGGTTCAATCCCCGGCATCTCCATGTCGGAAGCTTTTATTTAATTCATTTCTCCAACAAAGGTTGAATTCCAAAATCAATTGGCTGTGTCCATGTCCCTGTAATAGGGGTGCACATGAACTCTCGTAAATATTACCCTATATGAACGATACCTTCGGATGAATTTGTATTGATTTCAGGAACTTGCTATTTGTATAACTAGCGATGCACACAGTGATCAAATTGTTTACTTAAACATTTGTAGATGAAAGCAAGTGCTTAAAAGTATCCAGAACACTTTTATTTCCGAATTAAATATTTCCAAGAATAAATAAATTGGGAAGCATCATAGTATCCATCCACATGTATGCTTATTATTTCTATTTCTTTCAAAGAAATACTTTTTTCTTGGACTCTGTGCAGACTCGAGGTGTCCAGGGCCCAGGGCCAACAGGAGAGTGAGTGGGGTGACGAGGGAGAGGAAGAAGATGATGACGAAGTTTCACCCCGTACCGAGGTGGAACTGCGCCCAGGTAGAGCCACCATGGGGATGTAGCTCAGTGGTAGAGCGCACGCTTCGCATGTGTGAGGCCCCGGGTTCAATCCCCGGCATCTCCACGAGGTGATATTTTGCCAGCGGATAATTTTACTCGAAGGAATATGCGTGGCCTGCACAAAACGTCTGCTTGTTTTCATTCGTTATGGTTGCTGAGCATAGATCTAGAAGACCAACATGTCATACGGTCAGCAATGAACAACACTATAATCAAAGTTGTAGTCGATAAGAGTTAACATGAATTCATATTCTTGGTTCTTTCGGTAAAGTCACATAGAAGGAAAATAATAAAAACATAAAACAATAAAATTCTCACGACGTTTCGACTGCAACACAAGCAATCATCATCAAGTGTGAAATCAAAATATGTATGGAAATTAGCAAGATAATTAGAATTGAAACCGTAGGATGGACTTCCAAATTTGAGCAGTGCGTGGAGGAAGCCGAGAGAAAAGTGTTGTGACCTGCCGAGTGGTGGTCGAACGGAGTGGGTGAGAAGAAAATCAGTCTGGAGTCCTCATCGCTGAAGGATAACTCAACGAGTGGAATTATACAGGTAGGAACAACAGTTTCACACTGCCCACCAGGGATTATTTGTCTGTCGTGCATAGCCCCTCCCAAACATGTACGTTCCAGGATTGGTTGAAGTGCATCACGTGACCGCGAGCTTTCTGTCGTGCACGAATGCGCTGTCCAACCAAGTCAGAATCAGAAAGGGTTTTATTCGCCATGAAAGTTTGCACAAACAAGGAATTTACTATGGCAGGAAGGTGCATACATTCAACATGTAGGAATCTTAAAACTTAAATAAGTGGTATACAGTCTAACTATACTAAAATTACAAAGTCTAACTAATACTCAGGGGCTAAAGAATGTAAAATTTTCAATATGTATACAATATAAAATGTAAACCAGCCGTTATATACAATCTTAAAATACAAAAATACAAATAGGGTAACATGTTGTAAATATGGCAAGGTGTAATTTTGTAGATAAAATGTTAAAATAAGTGTAAAAGTCATTTTTATTTCATTTTCATTTTTTCCTACCTGCCCACTCCGAAGGAACGTGTTACCAGTATTATCAGAGCATGCTAGTTTGCATGTTCAACACAAGTACGTGTTTGAGAATCTTAACATCGGTTTTATTGCCAGAAAGGGTAAACCCTATTCTTAAATCTTGACTTAAAGCTTTCGTGACTGCAGGATTTCATATTCTTTTGGTGTTTCGGTAAAGTCACGTAGATAGGTTCAAAGAAAAGAATACACCTATTCTTAGAATTGCATTATTGGAGGGAGTCGAGGTAAATTAATTCCGTGCCTTATGACTCCTAAAAATTATGAAGCCTGTGCACATTTATCTTGTTGCATAGTTGGGAGCTACGTTGTCAACTTGATTCCCAATACAAAAAGTCCTCTTTTTTTACGTCGCTCCAGTTTACCAACGGCTTCACGATAAGGTTGTCAATGAAATAGGGGATATAATTCGATTTTAAATACATCGATTCACTACCAATGTTGTGTTTAAAAACTAAATTAAAGCAATATGCCACGGAGCCCCCAAGCGGCCGTCAAACCTCAGTCTTTACACCATCGCCACACTCAAATACTGCCAGTTTAACACGTGGGCTTTCGCGATCAATATCCACAATAAAGGTTGTTTTTTTGGGGGGAGCTGTATAGATATTTTTAAATCCTTTATATTAAGTTCACTTGCTTGCTTGCTTGTTAAATCCTTTATATTAAGTTCACTTGCTTGCTTGCTTGCGCGCTTACGACCGTGCAAATCTTTCGGTCGTTTTTTAACCCACTTCCCGTGATCCAATCGAGTTGACATTTTGCACACAGACTCGTTGTGTGTGACAATTAATTTTCGTGAAAAAATTTTTCCTAAATTTTCCACATTTTAGGAAAAAATAAATTTCATATTTAATTTAAAATACCAATGTGATAAAAATGAAACTCTTACTCAAGAAAAACAGAAATGAATAATAAAATAAAACCGATGCCACGCATATAAAGGATTTATAGTGAAACACTTTGTTTTACGGGTTAATTTTTTCACAAGCGATCTGACCATCACGAATGATAGCCCAACGAAGTGGCTTATCAATGTAGAAATTTATAGCGGACAAAATACTCTAAACGCCCGTTGATTCTAAATGTGGAGGGGAAAACCGTAGGGCCCGGATAGAAATGTACACAACCACGGGGAGAACATGCAAAACTCCAAACATACAAGCATTAGGGTCGGGATCAAACCCACAACCTCCTGTATACCAGGCGAGGTAGTTAACACCTCGCCACTGTGGTACCTCATAAATGTGTCGTTGACCCACCAAATAAAAAAAACACTTTATTATGAACTGTATACTGTACTATCCTCTGTAAACACAATCTCAAGGTATTTTTAAAGATAAAGGTGCAGCCCTGCAATCGTTTACCAACACCACTGCTGGTAGAAGGGGCTCCCATGAGAGGAAGCTCTCAGAGGGTATTTTTTGCATCCTCTTATCACACTGGCTAGACGTCTTAGAAGAGGTGAAAACCCATATTTTATCACGCGACATTATTCTTTTAATGGAATATAATTGCAAATTAGATATAATACCATGAATACAATATCACAAAAACACATTTCATAGCACATTACATTTATTGTAGTTTAAGTTGACGGCTTTTTATGCAATGGAAACACGTTCCAAAATGTTAAATATTTCCTTCCTGTGAGTATATTATATCTTCAAGTTATTGACATCATCAAGGCTAAGGTAAAAAAAATAAGATTACAACAATAAATAATAAAAACTACATCTACATATCAAAATCAGCTGAAACCTCCAGTAAACCACGCAACCTGTGTGTGGTCTCACCCACTCTCCTGCCTCTTGTGAAAACAGACCGCTCGCTGCTCCATGCAGCTCACCTGCGCAAGCTAACCATCTAACAAAGACGGTCACTACATCGCGTGGGCATGGCTATGTAAAAATGGGTGGGACTGACCAAAGCACGGAACGGCTGCCAGCTCACCACGTCCCAGTTGAGCCTCGCAAAAATTCGCTAGCCTTACGCAAACGCATTCTGCCACGTATGTAGTCACTCTACGACTCATCCCGTTTTACGCGGGGCAATCTATATTTTGGCCAATAGCATGCACCGCCATGGCCACAGCAAAAAAGAATACCAGGTTTCAGACAGAAGTCCGCGCTGAACCGTCTCTATGTCTCGTTGCCCGCTGGCATGTTGAAGATGTAGGCAAGCGGCAGACGAGGGCAGGGCAAGATGCAGCGCTCCACATGGTCCGAGTGGAATGGGTGCTTTTTCAGCCGCGTGGCCACCAGCGTGGGGAGGTCCGGGTAGCGGCAGTTATCGTCATCCCCGCCGTAGCGCAGGGCCAGGTTCAACATCGGGTTCCCGAGGCTCGCCGTGCATGGGTCGCCCTGCCGAGTCAAATGACCACATGTGGACAGGTGCTTTTGGCAATCACTCGCAAGTCAGGCGTTATGGTTGTGCGCAGTTACAATGTGGGAGGAGGCTTTGTCCAGTAGTAGATTAAAAGAGCCCAAAGTTAAGCTGAGCAGAGCTTACTTAGATGGAGTGCTGTAGCCAACAACGTCTGGTAACTCAGCAGCATTTGTTTACCAAGCCTGACTCTGGTGATGTGAACCAGAGGGTCAAATCTGATCCAGAATTTTATTAAACAAACGCTGCTGGATTGTATTGGTCTGGATAGCCAATAGGAAAATGCAGAGACACAACATGGAGTTCTAATATACATGCTTTTAAACTTCATGGGCATCTGATCCAGCAAATGGATACAAATAAATGACTCGCTGAGTTAATGAGTTAATGACCGAGGGGCGGCATCTGGGGCCTACGACTGTGACTCACATGGATGCTGACGTTCTCCGGTTCCCCACTGGCAGTGGCGATGGAGAGTGCGAAGCTCCCATTCTCGGCCTGCGACTCGGAGAATCGGATGAGGAAAGTCCCGGGAACAGCCCCTTTGAGCAGCGTCCATGCCTCCGTTTGCGTCATGTGCCCTGCAAACCAGCTGTGAAAGAGAAGGAAGGGTCCAACTGACGTCATTACGTAGCTCCCGTGCCGAGGTCTGTATCAGTTTTCAAGTTTATTTTGCTCAATCAGGCGAGAACGCAAGGGACCTGGGACATTAGTCTGCCACTAGGAGGCGATAATTGTCATGTATAATCCCAACTGAGTAAATTTGCGGGCAATTTTCAAATGTGAAAAATTTGGGACCCAGCTGATCAGCTGATCTTTAAAAGTCCACGGTGAAGCATGCGGCGCGTAGCATTGTTACTCCGGTTATGACGCCCACAGTAATAATCAGGGCGGCCGCGGGATTTTCAAACCGTGAACCTCTGTGACGAGGGGTGAATGCTCTGCCGCTAGGCTACGTCACCACCCAGAATAAGTATAACCCGTAAAAACAAAGTTTTTCACTGTAAATCCTTTATATGCGTGGCGGCTAGAGTCCTCTCGTCCTCTGGCTTGAGATGGCTGCCACATATGGATAATTGTCATGTATAATCCCAACTGAGTAAATTTGCGGGCAATTTTCAAATGTGAAAAATTTGGGACCCAGCTGATCAGCTGATCTTTAAAAGTCCACGGTGAAGCATGCGGCGCGTAGCATTGTTACTCCGGTTATGACGCCCACAGTAATAATCAGGGCGGCCGCGGGATTTTCAAACCGTGAACCTCTGTGACGAGGGGTGAATGCTCTGCCGCTAGGCTACGTCACCACCCAGAATAAGTATAACCCGTAAAAACAAAGTTTTTCACTGTAAATCCTTTATATGCGTGGCGGCTAGAGTCCTCTCGTCCTCTGGCTTGAGATGGCTGCCACATATGGGTCAGATGATTGTCTGCAGTATTAAACAATTGGTAATTAAATATTTAATTTGTTTTCCCTAGACAGTGTAAAATTTTTGCATTTTTTTTCACGAACATTAATTGTCTCGCACAACGAGTCTGTGTGCAAAATGTCAGCTCGATTGGATCACGGAAAGTGGGTTAAAAAACGACCGAAAGGTTTGCACGGTCGTAAGCAAGCAAGCAAGCACGCAAGCGAACTTAATATAAAGGATTTAAAAAGGGCCATCGTCAAAAACATCAACCTATGATATTCGGTATTCTCCAGGTTATAAAATGCTCTGGAAAGTAAGACATGTCCCGAGGTGTCAATAAAGTTCTGAACATCTGGTGTCATGTACAAAATACAGCTCACCGAATTATGAGGCGCACCACCAAATTCGGTTTGAGGGGAAAATAGTGTGTCTTATAACACTGTGAATAGGGTGCATAATATCTTCAATTTTTTACGGTGGTGGTAATCACATGAATGGTTTTGAGTTTAGTTTATTGCCCTTCCCCCCCAACACCGATTACCGCAGTTGGCTACGTACGGTGCAGAAGAAGTTCAACATACATACAATGGTGAGAGGTCTATGGTTGCACATGTACAGCCCTTCTTCCTTCAAGCTACTGCTGGATGAGGGCCTCCGCAAGCTGTGCGGATTGTACAGCTTATTTGACCAAATCTCACTGCACTGGGCAGTGCCGGTGGATGATGGCATCGAGAAAAAGACGTGGAAGCATAGTCCGGTACATCAATCACTTTTGCTACACTGCTGCCCTCATCATGGCTCTGCCACAGCCTATAACACCTCTTTCTTTTGCATGGTGGCCACCTATCCAAGTACTATCCAGGCTGACTATACAGTCACAACGTTTCCACCCTGGACAGTTCTCCACCATGGTTGGCGCACGTACGGATCCCGTTACAGAGACGCGGCGAGTGCTGGGCATGTGGGCTCACCTCTCTGGCACTCCCAGACAGCTGGAGAGCATCGACTTCTCAAACAGTGCCTCCAGCTGCGGCAGAGAGAGAGACACACACGGAGCACATTGACACATTCTTCAAGGGTCCTGAGAAGCAAGCAGAAAGACAACTTATCGTAGCCGATCGTGGTTGCGATAAAGATCTGAAACTCTGGAGATCACACATAGATAGCAACTTCAGTGTGTGTGTGGGTTATTTATGGTACTTGCAGGGGCAATGTGATGGTGTCTGTAAGAAGAAATAAAGCAAGCGGGTTTATAGGCTATTTGTGTGCACTTTGAACGTTTTTATTTTTCAGAGTTTTTCCAGACTTTATTGTTTTCTTCAAAAACACACAAATAATTCATTGGCAAGAACCCTCCTGAAATGTATTTTCGAGATTCAGTGTGACTTCCTGGGTAAGCAAGTCATATTACTGTTGCATCATTCGTTTGTACGTTTCTCAATCCGCTTGTCCTGCATCATAATAAAAAAAATTAGTGGTGTGTCTGTGGAAGAATTATGATTTTACGTATTAAAAAAAGAACTACAGGGTGTTTTAAAATGATGGACCCCATTTGAAATAGCTATATCTCTGCAACCACGAACCGCCCATGAATGAAACTCTTACCACTGGAAAGGGCGGGGCATAGAGTTTCAAATGATTACCGCTAGAATTTCTCTCCCAGTGCACAAACAGCCCCTAGCCTCAGTCATTCGCAAGACGGTGACCCCACAACACACAAGGGGCGTTTTGCGTTCTGCAGTTCAGCAAGACTGAATCCGTAATTGCGGTGCAGCGTGCGTTTCAACGGCGTTTTTGCATTGATCCGCCAATGTCAAAGAGCATGGTGGCACAAAAGACCGTGTTTTTGTGCCACTATTAGCGACTAATCTGGATGACCTCAAAAACAGAATCACGGCAGCGGTGACTTCAGTGGAAGAAGCCACTTTGAGAGGCGGTTGGGACGAATTCTACTATCGTCTCGATGTTGTCCCTCCAGCAGGTGGAGGGCACATAGAGCATTTATAAAATGGGTAGTAAAACTTGATAAACTCATTAAACCGTTTACAACTTTTTGTGTAATTGTAACATGTTGCCATCGTGAAAAATACTGCTTTGAAATTGGGTCCATCTATTTTAAACACCCTGTATAATTACCTTTTTGTTTGTTGATCGTTGGTTCACAAGTCAGTGTAAGATACACTGCAAAGTGTTTCTAACCTATAACTAAACTACCTTTTATTTACCAGGTAATCCCCACTGAGCTATAAAGCTCTTTTTCAGAAGCAATCTGGCCACAAATAATAGCCCAGTGAAGTGGCTTATTACGTGGACATTTATAGCAGCCAAATTCTCTAAATGCACGTTTCTAAATGTGGAGGGAAAAACTGTAGGACCCGGAGAAAAATCCACACGACCACAGGGGAAACATGCAAACTCCAAGTATACAGGCGTCAGGGTTTCAATCGAACCCATAAAAATCCTCTATACCAGGCAATGAATTTAACATCTCGCCACCCTGGTGACCCTGAGATAATCATCAATGGAACAGAGGTCATGTTACACGATCACAGCATAAAACTGCACTTCATTTAAGTATGACATCACGTGGAACGGTTCTGACTCACAGCTTCACTCCCGCAATTCGGGCTCATCGAATAATTATAATGTTGGGGGGGTGGGATGAGGGGACAATAACAAAAAACAGCTCTCACGTTCTTTAGGAGAATGCAGGTCTGCCTTCCGTTAATCGAACACCGGTTCAAAGGACCAAACCACCCGACGAGCCTGCAGAAGCTGGAGAGCGAGAGGTAACCGTCCTCTTCTGAAACAAACAAAACAAAACAAATCTCGATTGTAGAACGAAGTTATTTTACTCCGATCGATACAATTGAGCCTACACAGAATTCGCCCAATCTCATGAGATCTCAGAAAACCGAGCAGGTTTGGGCCCTGGGAGGGCTTTGACGAGTGACCACGCCGTGTAAGCGAGGAGGTGCGTTGCAGGCTGGTGCGTTGCAGGTTATGCTGCCAGCACGGGAGACAAAGTGATTCAAAAGCAATTGTCGTGCTCTGCTTCTGTGCTGCCGCGTCTTTGCTCTTCTCATTCACCCACCGGCACTGACGCATGCGGTGAAATGTGGTCAAATAAACCCTCGTGACCAGGGGAGGTCCTCATCCAGCAGTGGGTTGAGGAAAAGCGCTGTGCATGCACAGTGCACTGCAGGCCTAAATTGTGTATGGCTAGTTGCCAAAAAATCATAAAGGCTAGCGAAGTTCCTGTGCATGACACATGCCACATTTGCATCTACAATGTAATGGAAATGAGACTTTGGCATTCAGTGATGTGTCTCATGAGGTATGACAGCGTCTGTATGCTCTGACTCATGCTCTGCACACACTATAAATGACGGGCAGATTTTTAAAAACCTCTCAAAGTCCCATGATATCACTCTCAAAGTGGGAAAGTCGACACGTGGTCCAAGTCGAAGTTTCCAATTTGAAAAGTACCGAGAATTATTACATTCGAACATCGTCCCTCACCCCCTCATAATTGCCGATGAGACACTACAAAATGTCATAAATCTACATCTCATTTCCCCAATGTTTCCTTGTAGCTAAACTATGCCAAGGCAACAGTCGACATAAGTAAAGTACAATAATTCAATATCCTGTACTGTAAAAAGGTCAAAGTGCAGCTCTGCAATTACCTGCTCATGTAATTTCTGGCAGAATGGCCTCCACTATAGGGAGCTCTTGAAAGACCCTTTCGAAGATATTTTGGCCTACTCCTCCACTCTGCCCAGTACTCACACTTAACCCCACTACTTGGGACATGATCATCAACTAACCGTGGCGTAACCAATTTTACGGCTGCGTGGACGGAGGTGGAAAGGGGGTTTAAGAAACCTGCTCCATTAAATTTCGATTTAAAGCATTTCCCATAAATATGCTAAATTCATATTGATATGCAAATTCCTTTGTCAAGGCGCTCTTCCCCCTCCAACCCAGCTTAAATATACGCTGCCAAGCCTGGTGGTGTTCATTCAGACGCTGTCTTTCCGACAGACCTGTTCTTCACCTGAGGACGGCTGCTTGCGTTGTGGCCGAAACGTCGTGAGAATTATTTTATTATGTTTTATTTTAATTATTTTATTTTTTCCCTTCTACGTGACTTTACCGAAAGAACCAAGAAGATGAATACCTGCTCCATTGTTTAAAAATGGCACGCCAGGCACGATCGCACTGGTGACCTCTGTATTGAAAGTGCAGTGTGCTAACCATTACTCCACGGCAGCATCCACCAAACGGTACCCTATTTCTCTTTAACATTTTCACTTCTTCTTTAGATTAACTTTTTTTTAATTTCCCGAACCTACTGTATCGTCCGTCGCCTTCCCAACACACTCAATGTCACGGCAACAACAAACTGCGTTTTCGCAACACTTTCACAAACAAGAAGCGCTGCAAACTTCCCAAATTGGGTGTGGCCAAGTGATTTGTGAAGCAACAGAGGAAATGTTGACTCCATTTCGGTCACAATTCAGAAATGACAAGAACCCAGGAGTGGGGAAACTTTTTCATTAACAACGGCCAAACTGGACTTGAAATATCTCTGGCGGGGCTAGACAAAGTCAAAGACTGTTAGGGCAAGTGCTGTTAGCGAACAACTATGAAGGCCCGCACAGCACACGAGGGGGTCGGTGGCCAATACCACGCCCACCCGCCTTTGTCTCCCCAGTGACGATGTTCACACACCGCACCAGATACTCATATTTGAGGCTGAGTCGACCTAGGGGAGGCACAGGACTGGTTTAGATAATCGTCACTTGTGTTGGCCGTGAGTGGGAATCGAGTTCCGGTCGCCGGGTTCACAGTGTTATTGATGTACGTGTTCCATTTTCCCACTTATATTGTTTATACATATATGTAACTTACAATACAATATAACTTGGATTTATATATCATCTAAATGCAACTAAATCTCAAGATGCTGTACTGAAACATTAGGCATGTTCATTTAATCGAGCGTAGGAGTCAGTCATAGGCCGAGGAATAAAGGCGAGTCTTGAGCCTGGACTGAATGGAGCAGGAGGTCGATAGCGCGGATGTCTGGGGGAAGAGAGTTGTAGACTTAGGGGGCAGCAGGAGAGAAAGATACACTTCCCTCTGAGTGGTCGTTGCAGAAGCGCGTCTGAAAGCGCGCAATGCCGTAGCCGTCTTTGTTCGATGGTCAGCCAAAAGCCGCTGCAAGGATGACCGGCGTTCACGTGATGGTTAATGCTATCTTAACCAGACCGTAGAGGAGACATTTGCAATAGTCGTGGGTGGTAACTCCGGAGAACACAGGCGGTATCTCACCATATGTGCGTAGCAGCGCAGCCATAAGCTTGACGAGCCGGCGGGTGAACTTGACGTCCGGGAAGCTTTTGCGGAGGCCGGCCACCAGGTCTGGAAATTTCTGTGCCGCAGCAGAAGAAAACACAAAGTCGACACACACGCCACAGTTATTATTATTATTATTTAAGAGCCGATGTGCGGTAAACAGGGTTCATTATAAACACCGGGCAATCGCATACATTATTTATATTACAGCTTAACAGGACAAAGGAGTGGAGTTGTATTATAGGGTGGCGGCGGTGGTGTAAATAAACAATAGTATTACCTTATTTTCAGCGTTTCCATTAAGATTCAGCCAAAAGCGAACATTTTCTTTGCTGTGCAAATCATACTCGGTGTTTCTTCGGAAAACTGCAAGAGAACAAAAGAAAATGCCACTAGCGAAGTCTCGTTTAATTTTCAATTTTAAACAAAAACATTGGCGATGCTGCGCCTGGCAGCAGTGTACATGCACAAATAACGGAGACGCGCCACTTTTCATCAACGACGCTGCCCCTCAAAAAGCGGAGAATGTGGATATAATAATTGGCGACGTTTTGGTAAATGACCCATTCACTCTAGATTTGAAGCTTTCGTGAGTGCAAGGATTCATACTCTTAGTTTTTTTCGGTAAAGTCACGTAGGTAAAAAATCATAAAATAAAATAATAATAAATGAAAATAAATCAATTAAATCACGACGTTTCGGAGGCAACACAAGTCTCCGTCTTCAGGTGGGATCGTCACAGCTAAATTTACTGTATCAACTAAATTTACTGTATCAACTTGATACTTGATACAGTAAATTTAGCTGTGACGGTCCCACCTGAAGACGGAGACTTGCGTTGCCTCCGAAACGTCGTGATTTAATTTCATTTATTATTATTTAATTTATTATTTTTTACCTACGTGACTTTACCGAAAAAAACCTAAGAGTATGGACCCATTCACTCTTCAGGTGAGCATTTGATACACTCCCCCCCCTCCCCCCATCGTGTTAAGACATGGAGGGACGCCCGAAAATATTTCGACAAAAAATCGAGGTGACATATATAATTGCCGATTGCGCTGACCGCACAGCCTTTAAATACGCAGCGGGGCACGGGCAACAGGCTCCAGACTGAACCCGTAGCCAGTAGCCACGTCGATTTGGGATAATTACAGTACAGCAGTACGCCGCTTTAACACGCAAGGCTTTCGCGACCAATATTATTCATAATAAATGTTTTCGGGTCAGATCGCGTTATTTATAAATGTGTCGTAACCCTCCACCACCCGACACGGCCAAACAGTAAAAAATGTGTCACGTTTTTCAAAGGACAAAATTATTCACTTCTTTAGAAACGTCGTACTACTCAAATTTTAAAATGCTGTTGATTCTCCCTTCAACACACCGGTGGGCTAAAGAAGTGAATTATTTTCTCCTTTGAAAAACGTGACACATTTTTTACTGTTTGGCCGTGTCGGGTGGTGGAGGGTTACGGCACATTTATAAATAACGCGACCTGACCCAAAAACCTTGATTATGAGTACGCCTCTTATCCGCAAACTATTCACTAGCAGGACACACGCATTTTCCCAGGTGTGACTTGAGCCCCTGTCCTCACCTATATGAAACACAACTGTACGTATATTTAATTAAAATTGGTGATGCATGTTGCAACACAGCCTTATAGGTGCGACATCATCGCAGTAAAATCTGTTGCCATTTCCGTGAGTTTGACATTCATTACATAACGCACGCTCCCACCAGCTGTGGGAAAATAACACCTGTGTCAATTGGGTCTTTAAATACTATAACTCCATTACATAACAGTATTGTGCAATTTTTTACATGTAAAACAAACAAAAAATCAGCATGCATTGCCAAGCGGAATGGTGAATCACACGCTGTACAACTTAGCACACGTACAGCCCCTTTTGTCGATACACCACAGGACGAGGTGATGGGAGTAATTTCACCACGCTGGTCAGTGCGGGTTGGTGAAGGAATTACAGCACGACAATTGATCTTTCTGCACTATCCTCTGCTGCTCAAAATGCGTGTAACACCTCTTTTGTGTGGTTGGTGGGTGGGTTCCCACCTAAGCACTATCTCGTTAATGTTTTTTGTTTCGGATTAATTATCAATATGAGCATGTGTTTGTTGGGGGGGAAAAAACATTATGTACGTTTTACCTTGCGGTAACAGCTACTATCACAGCAGTGCCTATAGCTCAACGCAGCGGACTATCCTGCCATCAGCAACCCATACACGGCTTTAAGATCGACTCCAATAATGACGTTTTCCTGGCAGGCAAAGACAAAAATACCCTTGCAGTATGGGTGGAGAAATTTTCCTTACCGAGAGCCAAACAACAGGACTTTCAAATGCCTTTGGCCCGCCACACATCAACACACACGCTCAGTCATTTCTGACACCCCAGGAGGGCCTTGACGTAAGTGACTGCACATGCTAAAATTAAAAAAATATATTCCCTTCTCGTACCAAATAAGTGTGGCCAAGACGCCCACAAGGATGGATGAATATCGTTTGCGGGCTGTTTTTTTAAGTAGTAGGTCTCACGTGGTCGCTGCCCACACAAAGTCAAGTCGCGGGCTTTATTGTAGATTCCCCGTCGCCTACAGGCCTACAGGCTAACAGCTGATCAAAGTATTGTTAGCAATGCAGAGGGAACACAAAGATGATGGTGTGGTTGCAATATACGGTGAGCGATACGCCTGGCGCCACGCAGACAGGGTTTGTGCCTGGGCCAGGAATTGAACCCAGGACACCGAGATTGTGGAGCAATGGACCACAAAACGAGGCAAACTTACTCAGACATGATCCGTTCTGTACAGGGTCCTGACTTGGATTATAAATGATGTACTGCTTTCCATAGTATAAGTTGTTTGGGTCAGATTCTGGGTTCACCTGAAAGTAAAAACACAAACAGAAGCATATATACAGTCAAATACATATCCACAAACTTCAGTTGATAAGCGATTTGAATGTTTCTTCTTAATGATTACTGTAAGTAAAACAATGCTTGTTTGCAGCCCTTATTTCAATCCACTGCTGGATGAAGCCCTACCCCATGGCACTTTATGAACAGAACGTATTTCAGATGTCCAGTAGACTTCACCACGCTGGTCAGTGCAGGTTAGGAAAATGGGATTGAACTCAGGTTCAGTGTGTAGTGAACTGCCACATATATCTGGCTCGTATCATGTCTTTTATTTAAATTGCAAGAAATACGAAAGTGATTTTATTTCCCTTCGACAATGCAGATCTAAAAGTGGTGATCAAATGAAAGTAAAAAGACTTATAGCACTACAATTTGTGATCAGCAGGGAAGAAAGCTGGGTATGAAGTAAGTGGTCTAGTTGACAAGGAAATGATGGCAAGGGCAGCAATGTGAGTGGTCCAACAGACACATGGGACAGTAAATATATTCAATTCAGATTAATTGTAATGTTTTCGGGTGACATATGCCCTTCGTCAGTACCTACGGACTGTGACAAAAGCTGGGTACTAGACAGCAGCCATTGGAGTCTATTAATGCCGGGACAGCACACGAGGTGGGTGGTGTGCCCAGCATCACGCCTGGCCACCTTTGCCTGCCTCTGCGATGCAGTTGTTTACAGAATGCACCGTGTACTCGTTTAAGGCTGAATTGACCTAGGGGAGGACCAACAGAGGGGCAGATATGACTGGCGCATGGTGGATGATATTGCTTCACTCACCGCACGAACTTCCTTGGTGGTGCTGGGGAGGGGGAGGGGAGGAACGGGAAATGGAGAGACGAGAATCAACGATCAGACAAAAGTCTCGATGAACTTTGCCAACAGTACACCGCCCACGACATTGGAAAGTGGCCCAGTGATTGACCGGAATGAATGATTGCATGATATTCTGCTACATTTCGACAGCGGTATCAGTTAATTTTTTTTAGACAATCAATTTCGGACAAGTGATCCATGAAATTTACTTTTAATTGAGCTGGTATATCCGATTTTAGAAGTAATTGATTTGCTCTACCGAATATCGGTTCGATTACTCGACAATCGGATAACTCATAAGTGCTACAATAACAATGATCCTTTATCACGGCTCTATACACCGTGCAGTAAGTCAAAGTTTCTGTCGTATTTTAAACAATGGGTGATGCGTGCATTCACTGTAGGCCACATTCTTGTGGCGATCCGAAAGCCAGCCACGAATGAATTCCCATCAAGCAATGCAGCGTCAACACGTGGTGATCATTATCGTGCCATCCTAAGGGATTCACAATGATGATGATTTTAATTAAGATTGTGGACAGATTAACGTCAGATGTCGATTTAAATAATAATCATAACATAGTGATCATAATAACAACCCCAGTGTTCTATTGAATGAGATATCCTGGCTTTTGATAAAGGCTATATCTCGTATTGTGTATGTTTTATTTTTCTAGATGTACTCTATTAACATACATTTTCTGGTATTACACATTGCACAATTCACTGTTGAACGTGGAACATTTTCACCATAAACCCTGTAACTTGAGCTGGAAACTTGTCAAACGGTAGGAACTAGAGCTGAACGATTTGGGGGAAATATCTAATTGCGACTTTTCTGACAGATATTGCGATTTGATTTGCGATTACATTTTTTAAAGTCAAGCTTCAGTTCAGTATTCACTGTGTAATAGATTTAAAACATGTGATGGAGCATTACCACATGATACCATCAAAATATGAACTGCTCTATATATTCTAATGCAAGGATGAGAACTTATAAGATATAAATTGTTTCCAACATGTATTTATTAAATATTTTTAATTTAAATAGAACAATCAAACATACAACAGTTGTTAAGTTAAATAAATAAAGTTATAGTAATACAAAATTCCACAATTCCAATAAGAAAGTAAGAGGACTTTTCAAATCGCAAAAAATCGCAGCCTTTGCGATTTGCTAATCGCATTGTTTCAAATTGCGATTTAGATTATAAAATCGATTAACCGTTCAGCCCGAGGAGGAACGCCCTTGACTGCAACAGCAACAGTGATTTGATTAAAGTGCTCGAGAACATGGGCGCGTGATCTTTTGTCATAAGGACTGCATCTCAACAGAAAAAAAATCTACTTAACAAAAGAGTGGAAAAACAAGGTCAAGACTCGGTATGGTGCAGGCCTGAACTGGTTTGTGATAAACGCCAATTCATGAGCGGGGCTTTTTAGGGAAGTCCCTAAAAGCTCAATAACCCTGCTTCTGCATTGCTCGTCTACTCCAACATATTCATGTAACGTGAATACAGGATGCAGTACGCGTTAAAATCATGCGTCGAGTAAACGTTTACAACGCTGATACAAAGGGCAATACATTTATCCAATTTTTTGCGTTGTCGACAGTAGTGGACAGGGCAGTTTGCGAGTGCCTATTAAAGCATATATACAGCACACGAGAAGGAGTGGTGTGGCCATCACCGCGCTTGACCGCCTTTGTCTCTCTCTATTGCTAAGGTTAACACACAGCACCAGGTACTGAGGTTAACACACAGCACCAGGTACTCGCTTAAGGTGGGATCGAACTAGGGGGAGGCCCATAAGGGATTATTCAGGTGTACGGTCCTTTCATCTGAAACTAATGAGCACGGCTGGGAATCGAACCTAGGTTTTCTGTAAAACTCAACACATATTGATCATAGTGCATCAGCGATGCATAAAATGCACATGTTCACGATTTGATGCACTCGTTGGGGAATGGGCTGAGACAATGCCATACACGATTACAGTTTCAGCAATTGCAACGCCCAGCTGCTTTGTAATTGCATACAGCGTTAAGCGATTAACCAAATTCCGCTTCAGATTATTCAACGGAATAAGCACCATAGTGTATTCAGGCACGAATGAATCATACTACACACTGCAATGCACTATGTATGTTGAACCTGTTGTGCACCGTACGTAGCTAACCATGCTGATAATAAAAGTGTGGTCTTAAAATATATAGGAAGGGTCATTGCCCGGAACGTCGCCGATATTCTATTTTTTTGTACTTTAAGCCCGATGTTTGTTTTTTTTAACGAATGTATTCAGTTTTGATGTTAATTGTGCTTATGCACCACTGCCAACTCGGCACAGCATCACACAATTAACCAGGTTACTGAGATTGTTAGCATGACACGCCACCTATTACACAACAGATACACGTGTAGCAGGGCCCATGCAATAATTGAACTTCACATAACCATAGCAAAGCCGTTATCATAGTCACAAATGCAGAGTAAAGTGCCATGTTGTTTCATGATCACTGATGAATGATCGACTTGCATCGTCTACCCACGGTCGTATCTATGCCACGTATTTAAGTCTGGCAGTTATGGCCAACATTATGTCTTGTATGTATGTTGAACGTCTTTCGCACCATACACTTACAAGGATATTGTAATACAGGGCAAGCTCTAGGCATGAGCAAACTATGAACAGCTTTTTTAGAAGCGACCTGGCGAGCACAAATGATAGCTCAACGAAGTGACTTAACATGTGGACATTTATAGCAGCCAAATACTCAAAACGCAACAAGGAGCCCCAAGTGTCCCAGGTTCATGGCAAAATATTGTTGCATCAAATGTCACCTCAAATGAAAATCGCAATCAACATAACATGCCAATTAAAACGAATTCCGATTAATCTCATCTCAATACATCTCAAGTTTTGTGTTAATTTTTCTAATCTTACTTCGTTCATATTTCTTGTCTATTGTTATAATCGCTTTTGATCATCTCACTTGGATTTTGTTATTTGAAAGGGGGCCCTCCCTAAAGATAGTTTATGCTTCAGGCTGTCAATGGGACAACGCCATCGCTGGATACCGTGAAGGGTAACTAATCCACTGCAGAACCGGCCAGCAATGATTGATTTAAGTTCATTTTCATTTTTGATTTGGAGCTTTCGTGACTGCAGGAATTAATCTTTGGTTCTTTCGGTAAAGTAACGTAGAAAGAAAAATTAAATTAAATACTAGCATACGACGTTTCGATTGCAACACAAGCAATTATCATCAGGTACAAATGAGACACACACTGTGTGTCTCTGTTATCTCTCTCTGCTTATGTGTCTGTCTGTGTGTCTCCGTGTCTGTGTTTTGTGTCTCTCTCAAATTTAACAATCTTTGGAAGAACGTAATCAACCAGGTAGGGTGTTGACTGTTGAGTTAGCCGACTCTCTGTGTAGTATTGAATTATATTTCTAAGTTTACTAGGTTTTCTCTTTCATTTGTACCTGATGATAATGCTTGTGTTGCAATCGAAACTTTCGTATGCTCTTATTGAATTAATGTTTTCTTTCTACGTGACTTTACCGAAAGAACCAAAGATTAATTTTCATTTGTTCTCACAATTTCCGGAATATCTTTGTTTTAATTAGCCGCGCTAACTAAAACAAACTGAACACTCGTATTCTATCTCACCGCAATTTTATGCGAAAGCAGCAGCAGCAGCACTTTATCATATTTTACTTCATCCGAAGAACAAACTCTTGACAATAATAATACCGTATGCACGAGCTCAGCAGAAGGAGCCTTACGACGCCTCGGCTTACATCACCCACCACAAAGCAATCGTCTCGATGATGTAATTGGCATAGGTGACGTGCACCCACATTGCCTCACCCCAATGCTATGCGGCGATTTCACTACCTGTCAGGGAGACAATGTGGGTCTGTCTGGAGTCACTGTGGGTTGGTGATGGATGAGGAGGAGGAGGTTTACACAACTTGTGTTGTCACGGCTTCTGCCCGACCCTTTGGTTTTGTTTTGATTTTAATGTAATCTTCCGTTTTCGTCTCAATGTGCTGTCCGTGTCGATATGCTTGCTGTGTGCAGCATCTTGAGATCATTTGGGTATTTATATGTGCGGTTAGAGATTGAATGCATCAATGCTATTGTTGTTGTTCCCATGTTTTCATACAATGTCAGATTTATACAAAACTTGTTAATGTATATCCCCACTGTTATGAAAAAATGTGCAACCCTGCAATTGCATGCTCACGTTACTGCTGGCGGAAGGGCTTTCACGAGTGGGTAGTTGGCCTACTCGTCCACGTTGGCCAGACGTGTTGTAAGAGGCGCACGTACCCACATTTGACCTCACCAACACGCGACCTGTGTGCCCGTGGTAGGAGTCAAACTGCGGGGGGGCCACATCGTTTCAAGTGCCGCGCCAAGAGATCGAATCAAACGGGGCGATTGCCAAGTTCATTGCCACGGCAAGCGTCTGTGTCCACCTAACAATGGGTGGCCATCCCCTGAACGAGGCTATCAAATTACTGCTTTGTGTAAAAATTGCAGGTGACAGCCCATTGCAAGGAAGTCTCCTCTTGTTTCAACACAGGATAAGAGTGCGTGGACAAACGTGGACGTGCATTGAATGCGCATTTCTATTAGGCACAGCACATAAATACACTCAGTACTCGCGCGTAGAAGCGCACTTTACAACGCAATGACAACACTGAAACTCACAAACCAATGTCTATCCACTGCTGGATGAAGGCCTCCCCAGGGCATGTGACATCCACAACGATGTGCGTGGCTAATGCACATTGACGCGCGCGTATATATAACACGAAGACAAAGTGGTGTTAAGCGAGCACGTGTTCAGTCCCGACCGCCTGCGTCTCCCCATTGTGATTGTTTACACACCGCGCCGGTTACTCACAATTAAGCAATACGAATAATCAATCATATTGGTCATAGTGCATCAGCGATGGATAAAGTGCACATTTTCACAGTGCCGATGCGCTCATTATGGAATGAGCTGAGACAATGGCTTATATGATGATAAGAAGCAATTGCAAACTCAGCTGCAGAGCAAGTGAATACAGCATGCATTAACCTAAATCCGCTTCAAATCATTCAACAGACTAAACGCCACGGTGTATAAAGGCACTAATGATTAATAATGACATAATACACACTGTAATTCACACAATGTGTGTTGAACTTCTTTCGCACCGTACGTAGCCAAGCGTGCCAATCGGAGGTTAAATGAACCATTAGACGACACACCTCCACACCGCGCAGTTACTTTGTTGTGAATGCACAAGATGAAGAAGACAAAGGCACACAGAGACCCACTCGGAGTAAGCAAAGCAATCAAGGCTAGCTCGTCGTTTGTTAAACACATTTTTATTGCTGTACTTACCCCATGACTTTGAGTGTGTGTTCCCAGCTGCTTGGCTGATATCCGTGCGATGGTTCTAATCTATCCGTGCAAAGACTCTTTCAACCGTGATTGATAACTTAACTATAACCGCAGGCGTCACAAGCCTCTCTCTATCTCTCTATTTGCGCTCTCACTTGAAGAGTTACGAAACGGAATGAACAAATGCTCTCCCTCCTTCCTGGCTGGTCACACGTTACACACGCGCACAGATCCAACGCGCTCAAACAAATCTCTTTAAAAAATGAAAAAATAAACCACGTTTGCCTTCTCGATTCGCCCCAGTATTTCTTACCAGAAATTTATTCTCATTGGACTGTGTCAAGGACGACTAACGCCGCCCCCACACACCCACACACACACAAACATCCACCCACACAAGCACGCTTATGAGAGCGAAGGAAAAGCATGCACGCGTGCTCTCAGGCTGGGAATTTCCAGTGCCCCCCACCCACCGCCGCCTATTGTGGCTGTCTGGTTTATTGAAACTCTCATCACATGCGAGCCACGTTGATGCAACCCTTTCAGTTCACGGGAGATAATCTGTCACGCACATCTACACGAGGTATTCGTGCGCTACGGGCGACGTTGACTACTGCGTGAAATACCGGTCGTGTTCACGTTGTTTTTCATTGCTGGCATTGCTTCTCTGCACTCGCATTCCATGGATGTTGTGGATTTTAAGTGCGCGTGCGTGTGTGTGGATAGGAGAGCTGTCAGCGTGCTGCGCTATGAACTCGGAGGTCACCTGAGTTCGATTCCCACTCAGGGCCACCACCAACACCAGTGGCGTTTATCTGATGCTCCTGCTGTTGTGGAGTAACTCATGCAGCCAGCTATGGCTACAGGGTTTGGTGGTGGTACATGTTGTTTATGTTGTTTATTGTGACATTTAAGTCACAGTTCCTATGATCACTGTTACATTGCTTATGGCTTTATTTTGGTGACTTCGAAAAGTTTTTTGGTTCGGCCATGTTTGTTTGTTGTAGTATGGAGATAGAATGATGGATTTAATCTAAGTTGTCTTGTGGTTGTTGTTGTTTGACTCGCATCCCACTGAAGATTTTGCAGTTTTTTCCTGGATTTTTCTGTTTGCGCATAGTCACTTTAAGATGTTCTTCTTGTTCATGTTTTTGTTTTTTGTTTGCTGCGGTTGCACCCGATTCATGAGTCCAATGGCTCACAGGGCTATACCAAAGAAATGAAACTGAAACTGAACCGTTCGTGGGTCCCTCCCATAGGTTGACTCGGCCTCAAATGAGTACTTGGTGCGGTGTGTACACATCGCCACTCGGGAGATCGTGGTGCTGGCTGACAGCACTTGCACCAACAGTCTTGTTAAAAGGATATATGGGGAATCTTTGTCTTTGTGTGTGGGTCAAATGCGTTGAACATTTCATCATCAGATCAGACTGTTAGTTTTGTAGTTTATTTCACTTGGGGAGTTGTTTTTAATATATAGCGGGATCTAGGTTGAGTTTGTTTAACACGTAGGCTTTCGCGACCAATATCATCCACAATACAGTTCGTTGTTAGTTTGTTGTACATGTTATATTATTAAATAGGTCAGTGCCCCGCGTTGAAATAATTAACATCGTGATGTTGATGTGGTGAAAATTCCCCATTCCCAAAGAGGGGGGGCGGTGGGCTGATCTCCGCAGTAGCACCACGTTTCACTTCCCATAAAGTTGTACTGTCCTTATTTGATTCATCACCTAGGGACGAGCAGCTTCCGATTGCACGCCAAGCGTTTATTACGAATGAGCATAATGATAACGGGGATAACGTGCATCCCTTTGCCTGTTCACTGTTGGTCGATGGCCTTCCCCACACTCTGTCAGTCATAACGTAATCACGCTGCGCAGTGCAGGGACGGTGTTTTAAAACACATCCGGCTGATTGTTAGTCGGTTTCACTTCCTCTATTGCTATGTGCCAAGGGCGATGTTTAGATCACAAGATGATGATGCACGATTCAAGGTCACTGCATCAGTCTCGGGATGTTTTCTTTCCGCGTGTGTCGACTTAAGTTTCAAAAGTTAGTCCGCTTGGTGCCATGTCATGTATCGACTGGTGGTTTAACACGTTTGTCAAATGAATTGCGCTTTAAATGTTCGCACAGTTTTCTCTTTGATTGTGAAACTAATTATGTTTCTAAATTGGAATTACAATGAAGTGACACGTTTCTGGCCCAATTGTTTTAGTGACAAAAGAGCCATTTTGCTGTATGTATAATGGCAGAAAGAGACAATTATTGTAAATGTTTGTTAACAACAAATGGACATTTAATGTTTCCGACAAAGAACATGGGACAATACATCAAAGACAGAAAGAGGAGCACACGGATTAGAGAAAATACGCAGCTTATAAACGGAATGTTGACGATTAAGAAAGGTCACGATAGGTCACAAGAAGGGACGATTTGGTGGGAGACTGGCAGCCAATGGAAGGAACGGAATTGATGATGGGTCACGTGACAGTTTCTACTTGCACTGTTACCTTCAGGATCTTCAGAGTTTGAGACGGCTTGGTGTGTATGTTGAACTCGTTTCGCACCATACGTAACAAACCGCGCTAGTCGTAAGTGCAAGCCAACCTGATAGGTGAGGCCTGTATCCAGCATTGCACTACTCATTCTATGCATGTCCGAGTCATTATTTTTTAACAGAGAGGATAGGGGCCGTCCATAAATGACGTCACGCACCTGGGGGGGGGGGGGGGTCAAACATTTGTGACGATGTGTGACGAGGGGGGGGGGGGGTGAGAAATGTGACGTCACATAAAATGCGCAACTTTAAATAAATATATATAGACAACACTTTCTACTTAATTAAATATCTTCTTTTAGAAATACTTTCTCCTACAACATCAGAGTGCAGCTCCACATTAAATACGCACTACAATGACAATAGTTTAAAGCGATTTGAAGCATGTTTTATTTGGGGGGGGGGGCAGAGCTTTGTGACGTCATATTTGAAGGGGGTCTGACTCTTTGTGACGCCATGTGACGATGGGGAGGGGGGGGATCAAAAATCGTCCAAAATCGCGTGACGTCATTTATGGACGGCCCCATACTCCGAATTACTTGGGCACCCCATGTGCATTACATGAAATAATCGAGGCGTTCCAGGGAAGCTTCATTGTTTGTACATCTTGTGAGGCCACATGTACAAAGGTCAGCAGTATCTTTACAACTCTTTAAAATTCACAACAGTCCCATAGTATTAGGGGCGGGGGGGGGTGCAACATTGAACACCTTAGGACCAGTGTTGAGTATTGTATGCGGCACTGAAATTTGGAGCAGAAATATACTGGTAGGAACGAAGTGAACCAGCCTACAATAGATTATATCGTCCGTCCGTCCGATGTCCGATTAGGTGTAGCAACATCGCCCCCTACTGCAAACACTTGGCAGGACCCTACAAAAACCTTTAGACTTAGTGAGGCTTTCCTGGCTAAACAAGTGTAACATTCCCTTATAATTCCCTGAGATAGTTTTTAATTAAAACATTTAAATTAAAAATTAACTCACAGCGGCCTAAAGCCTACAGCTAGGCCTAAAGCCTAGAACTAGGCCTCAAACTCTCCCTTCGTATCGTACCCCCGCCATTTCATTTTATTATAGCCATTCATTTGTTCGTTCCTACCAGCCCACCCCGCAGGGACCTGTTTATTTTTTATGCTGGTTTAACGTTGACTGCTTTGCAACAGCGTCACGCGGCAAGGGCGATTGACAACCCCATTTGGTGGCACCATAAATCTGAAAAGGCATGTGCTGATATTCAGAGAGGCAATGGCCAGTGGTGCGGTTAAGGGGACATTTCTGATCAGTGAATTTGAGGCCGCACTTCGAGTCACTGGAGTGAAAGAGACCATTTATTGTAATTTTTTGTCTAAATATCCAAAACTGATGTAAATTTGGTTCAGTTAGGCTTTCAGCATTCACTATGAATTCTTCCCACGTATGTTTGTGTGTGTGTTAAACAGGATGTATGATCTCACTTCAGCCCAGCCACCTAAATGTTTTTGTTTTCTTTCTGCCAAGAAGAGTAAATGTATCACACCGACAAGTTCCGTGTTGGCTGAACAACTTAATGAGTAAGCCATTTTGTCCAATCCTGTTCTCAGTTTTACAGGCATCAACGTTCCACCATCTGGTAATGGGCCACGAAACCAAGTGGTGGCAGTGAAATTCATACCCGTCAAACCCTTATCAGTGCCTACCTTATTACAGACCAATCCAGATATTATTGGTCACCCCGTGCATTTTTAAATCGCAACGTTCATCCTACAAAGTCCCATGCCACGAAATGCCATGTCTCAAATGTAAGGCGAGAGCAGCCCAATATAAGAATATGTTTTACCCTTTCTGGCAATAAAACAGTTGTGTTAAGATGTTAAAGCACCAAGGGGCCGTCCATAAATGACGTCACGCACCTAGGGGGGGGGGGAGTGGTCAGACATTTGTGACAATGTGTAACGAGGGGGGGGGGGGGTGAGAAATGTGACGTCACATCAAAATGCGCAAGCTTTAAATAAATATAGACAACACGTTCTACTTAATTAAATAGACGTTTAAATAAATGTTTTCACCTACAACATCAGAGTGCCGCGCCACATTAAATACGCACTACAATGACAATAGTTTAAAGCGATTTGAAGCATGTTTTATATTTTTTTGGGGGGGGGGGGCAGAGCTTTGTGACGTCATATTTGAGGGGGGGGTCTGACTTTTTGTGACGCCGTGTGACTAGGGGGGGGGGGTCAAAAATCGTCAAAAATCGCGTGACGTCATTTATGGACGGCCCCCCAAACAGAAACCTTTTGCAAGGAATCGTGTCAGCATTAACCACATATACTTGTGGTGAACATGCAAACAAAAATCATGCTCTGATAATAAATGCATTGTCTTAGAAACTGATTGGTCCACACCAGATACAGCTTTTTTAAAATCCTTTATATTAAGTTCACTTGCTTGCTTGCTTAGGACCGTGAAAATCTTTTGGTCGTTTTTTAACCCACTTCCCGTGATCCAATCGAGCTGACATTTTCCACACATACTCGTTGTGCGTGACAATTAATGTTCGTGAACATTTTTTTCCAAAATTTTACACTTTTTAGGACAAAAATATATTTAATTACCAATTGCTTAATGCTGCCATGCAAGCATCTGACCCATAGGTGGCAGCCATCTCAAGCCAGAGGACGAGAGGACTCTAGCCGCCACGCATATCAAGGATTTATAGTGAAAAACTTTGTTTTTACGGGTTATACTTGTTTAGAACCTAGTCTTTAAAGAAGGTCCCCCTTATAAGACTGCATTCTTGTTTTGACACACGCCGCGTTGAATTCTTCATCGCTAGGGGGCACGCACGTGCGGCTGATCTTGTGTTTGCTAGCCACTGTATGGCATGCACTGTATGCATTTAAACTAAAAAAAACTTCCCTTTAAAAACCAAGTCGGGTTTTTACAACAATAACAAGAAATGTAACCACCTCTATTCTCTCACCCCTCCTCCGTGTCTGTCGCTCAAAGCTATTGAAGAGAAGTCGTCAAGGCCAAGCTTCGGCAACGATGACGACTGTGGATTTGTAAGAGTATATCGCACACGGACACTTTATTACACCGATGTCGCGTACGGAAGTCTAAGCATGTCCTGTGTGTGCACACACATTGCTATGCACGAGACATTTCATAGAATGCCCTCGAAGCGTCGTTCAAACGTGCACAGCACCTTCTATGAAAGCCATGTCAGTAATTATTCTTTGGTTCTTTCGGTAAAGTCACGTATAAAGATAAAATAATAAATGAAATAATAGCATACTACGACGTTGCTATTATTTAATTTATTATTTTATCTTTATACGTGACTTTACCGAAAGAACCAAAGAATAATTCCTGGCAGTCACGAAAGCTCCAAAATTAAGATTGATTCCATGTCAGTAACTTTTCCAGGTTTCTTTCTCTCACTGCTGTTATGGTAATCGCATCGCTCACAGCTTCTTGTCGTGAAGTCTCACTTCACAGTGCCAACTGGTTTCTCTCTCTAAGATGTGTAGACACAGGAGCTGTTTGTGCTACACAAGCCTGCCTGGTCTGGTGGAGACCAGCAGCAATCCCTCTTGTTTCCTCGTGGTAGAGAGAGAGATTGAGAGAGTTGGTGTGGGGGCGTATGCGAAGGGTTAATAAAGGGGGGTGAGATGATGCTGAATGTAATTAATTACCGTCGAAACGCATACCATGTCAGTCTATACGGCTTAACCCGTGTTCTTGTACAGGGAAATTGAGTTTTTAGGTCCATACAGCCGTTTCAATACGGGCAAAAAAACAATGCGTTTGTCTATTTTCTGTTCATCCCTTGTGATGGGACTTTGTAGGATGAACGTTGAGATTTATAAAGGGCACGGGTTGACCAATGAGGTCTGAATTGGTCTGGAATAAGCGGTATGGGAACGTCACAGAAACTTACATTGTAAATGTTGTGGATTCACTCTCCCAACACACCGGTGGGCTGGAGTAGGAACCAAATTGCACGTTTCGTTTACGCGACAAAAAAACCTGATTTAGTTGGCTCTGTTGGGCGGTGGAGGGTTTAACGAAACGTTTATACTCTACACGATCTAACCCCAACAAACATACAAACCTTTATTATTAATACAATTAGTCGCGAAAGCCTAGCACGTGTCAAACTGAGTGACTGAGTTTTTCTAGAGGAATGTGCTTGCAATGTGTGGTGTGTCTTTTTGGTTCTTTCAGTAAAGTCACGTAGAAGGGAAATAATAAAATAATAAAAATAAAACATAATTAAATAATTCTCACGACGTTTCGGCCACAACGTAAGCAGCCGTCCTCAGGTGAAGAACAGGTCTGTCGGAAAGATAGCATCTGAATGAAACACCCCAGGCTTGGAGCGTGTATTTAAGCTGGGTTGGAGGGGGAAGAGCGCCATGACTAAATAATTTACATATCAAGAGGAATTTAGCATATTTATGGGAAATGCAGATATGGGATTAGTCACTACTTGTAAAATGCGTAGGAGGTGGGTGGGGGGTTTCAGAGTCATATTATGCCCGTGCATTATGCAGGATTAGCAGCATCAAAGGGAGGGGATAGGGGTAGCATTAATAAAGGGAAGGAATGTTAATAGTATGTAGCTGCAGTAACTAAACCACCACGTAAAAAAAACTAAAGTATAAACTACATAGTATCATCAATATACTAAATATACTCTCCAATAAGCTGAGCTACTAACAGTAAGTAATATATTACAATTCTATGTCGCAAAAAATATAATATGCTTCCAGCTAAACTTTTTTCTCTTACATCACACGGGTCTACCCCGTACTATATACTGCCATAGACAAACCCAACATTAAATTATATACTGTATTACTATACACCACCCTATACCTTCGACTATACATTGTAATATTACACTATGTATGTGTGGTGTGGTGGTGGTGTGGCTCTGGAGGAGGCTCGTGAAGCACGGTGCTAATTACTGGGCAGAGGAGCGATGCCCACAACAACGAGCGGAGTGCCGGGTGGCTAAAGCACAGCAAGTTGGCACAGCTGGTGCACCGGCCAGTCATCTCAGTCCGTCGACCCATCGTGGCACCTGGGTCTGTCCCGTGACCTCCTGCCAGCGGGCGTTCGACACTTCACGTGGCCTTAATGTGGCGTCACCGCCACTTGGTGGCGAATGCCGATTGTTGGTGTGGCTTGAACGCTGGTGTGTCTGTCGCGAGCAGGGATGCGGGTGGCATCGCGTGTCAGCTGGAGGACGTCGACCACGACCTGGCTGGGTGCCTGGCACAGCTGCAGGGAGCTCACGCGGCAGTGAGGGCATCGGTGGAGAATGCCCGGGCGAAGATCCGTCGCATCATCGAGGGAATCCGAAACGCCGAAAAGGTGGCAGCAGGTGCGGAGCTATGATTTAAATAGCAATACAAATGATAATGAGATTAGGGGTTCCCCTTTTGTCTGGCAACAAAACAGGTGTTAAGATGTTAAAACACCAAACTGAAACCTTTTACAAAGAATCATGTCTGCATTAACCACAATACTTGTGGTCGGAATGCAAACAAAAAACATACTCTGATAATATATGCATTGTCTTTTAAACTGATTGGTCCATTTGATTGATCAGTTTCAAAGACAATGCATATATTATCAGAGTATGTTTTTTGTTTGCATTCTGACCACAAGTATTGTGGTTGATGCAGACATGATTCCTTGTAAAAGGTTTCAGTTTGGTGTTTTAACATCTTAACACCTGTTTTGTTGCCAGAAAAAAGGGGAAAACTTATTCCCAGCTACACTGGAGTTTTGATTCCTGGCCATGGCTGCTAAGATCTGTGGCAATATCCGAACCGGTTCTACATTCCCCCCCCCCTTCACCAACCCACACTGATCAGCATGGCGAAGTATGGTCAGGAAACCCCCATGACCTACATGGTGTGGGGCAGACCTTCATCCATTGGTGGCTTCAGAATGGCTGAAATGGATGGAATAAAATGTTACATCGTATCTAATGTTCATTAGATGGACTAGAATACCATTACTCAGTACATAATGTACATAAAATGCAACCAAACACTATTATGTCATATCTATTACATCTGTGCACACCGCCACCTTTTTCAAACCACGTTAAACCACGGCGAATGGGCGTAGAGGCGAGCGGGCGGCCAGCCTGTGACGAGGGCGACCCCACGGAGGCCAGTTCGCTCACGGAGAGGCTCTATGACCTGGAGACGCTGAACCTCGACACCTGGCAGGAGCTTGGCACCGGTTATTTCGGCACGGTGTACCGAGCCTTCGTGCAGGGCACCGAGGTGGCGATCAAGGTGCTCACCGAGGACAAGGAGCAGGCCATCTTGAAGGAGTACTGCCAGCTGAGGTGAGCGGGACACCGGCAACGACAGCCAGAAAGGGTAAAATCTATTCTTGATTTTTCATAATTTTGGATACTGGTCAAAAAAAGTCACCGTAGATAATGACAGCAATGGCCACCGTTCGCCATGAAGCGATGCTGAAGTTCGGCACGGCGCTGGTGCAGGGCTAGGTGCTCTTTGAGGCCATGTGAAGTGTCGATGGCTCACTGGCAGGAGGTCACGGGCAGAGGTGGCGGGCAGATGTACCGTCATGGGGTGTGGCAGTAATTTTACCTGCAGGTAGACGTGTACAGCCATGCAATGTAATGTATCGCCCTGTAAGAATCTACTGCTGAATCAAGGTCCCTTCCATGTGCTGGTCCTGGGGATCGTTGACCAACAGCGCTCGAGCAGGGAGACGCTTTGACTTGCCTGTTCAGCTCACACCGCGCGCGACCTCGTCTCGCACGACAGAGAGCTACGCCATGACAACATCGTGGCAATCCGAGACCTGGGACAGCTCAAGGAGGGCTGCATCCCCCGCCTGGGCTTGGTTAAGCCGTTCAGGTTCCTGATGATGGAGCATGTGGGCGTGAACCTGGCGACGTACGTGGCACGGCAGGAGGAGCGCTCGCCGCGGCTGCCACGTTCGCGCACCTGGGACATCACGCGCCAGGTGGTCAGCGCCCTCAACTACCTGCACACGCTCGCCGATCCCATCGCCCACTGCGACCTCAAGCCCGACAACATCCTGGTGAGGCCCCATTGCATGCTCCCACTGCTGTAGATGTGTATGTGTGTATGTATGTTGAACTTCTTTCGCACCATACATAGCCAACCGTGCTAATCGGAGGTGCAGGGGAAGGACAACAAACTAAACACAAAAAGCAGTTCTAAATAAAGGAGTTTTCAATCTAGATTATTTAAAAGTGCATAGCTCCAGTGGCTTCATAATATCGGAAGAGCGTTCCAGACGGCCGCAGAAGTGCATATATAAACGCACGCGATATGGTGGCCAGCCAAAATCTGCTGCGAGGATGACTGGAGTTCATGTGATGGTTTATGCACCTTGACGAGATCAGCAATGTATTGTGGTTCATTTGTGGCAAGCACTTTGTATGCAATGAGTGTGACCTTATAAAACTCGCCATATTATAAAGGTCGCTGACATGGCTAAGAGGCTCTGAATTCGAGCCCCACAGCCGCCCTGGTTAATACTGCCATCGCCAAGAGGCTCTTGCAACGACAGTAGTGACTAGGTGCACGCAAATTAGAATCAGTGTTTTAAGGTGAAAATAAATCCCCTCTAGTAACTGATTAGTGCAGCTAAGATGCTTGCAGTGATAGATAAATATCGTTTGTGGGCTGTTTTAAAAGTGGGATTATTCTGTCCGTCCGTCGTGCATCCAAAAATGGGAGGGGTGGGGCTGGGTGGAGAGGGGAGGGTGAGGAGGGGCTGGGTGGGGAGGGTGGGGAGGGGCTGGGTGGGGAGGGTGGGGAGGAGCTGGGTGGGGAGGGGCTGGTCACCCCGTGGTGCCCTTATATAACCTACTCACGCCGGCTTGTGCCCGCCCTCACAGTTGGGCATATTTGCGGAATACACCACGCCGCCGTTGACCCTGGCCATTGACCGAGCAACCCAACGTTCCTACCAGCTCCCTCCGCAGGAATATGTTGATAGGCTTTAGATAAAGAATTGCAATGATTCATCACTTATATAGAACTTTCATTTAAAAGCACTTTCAATCTGTTGCGAGTGACATTTGCCATACTATTTCCCGATTGTATTGTGGCTTTTGAGTGTTTGCTGCCATCACCGCAGTATCAGTGTCAGGCTAGGTGCCCTATCTTCTGTCCCTCCGTCTCACCCCACCCTCAGATCGATGAGCATGTGCTGGACCTGCGGGTGAAGTTGGTGGACTTTGGGATCTCAAAGAAGCGAGGAAACCTGTCTGAGCTTCAAGAGGTCAAGAGTTTTGTCTTCTCCACATCCCTGGACAGGAATTTCCATCGAACAAGCAGTCCAGTCTGTGTCTGTGTGTGGGAATCACACATCCCACATCCCTCTGATCTTCTCAAGGGCCATGGCACTAATCACCATAAACAACACAACCATCCTCTATCCACCAATGGATGAAGGAAACCACGTCAGTCATGGGGATTTTTGTTGTTTGCCATAATGGACCACGTTTGTCAGTGTGGGGGGAGTGAAGTGGTGGGCAGGAGGGCATGACTGCTTCAGATATTACTCACCACTCATGTCAGCCGTGCCCGGGGAATTGAACTCGAGCTACCGCGTTCATACTGTCGCGCAACCACTCCACCCCCATGGCCTCTATATTTTTCCCCTTTTTTATTTGTCCCAGATCTATGTGGCAGAAAATATGTATCCCTCCTGGGCTTTCTCTCGCGTGGCTCGTCGCAGGTGTGAATGAATGAGTGAACGAGTGGCGTGCGTGTCGTTGTCCCCCTGCAGTTCACGCGCTGGTCAGCCCCCGAGCTCGTCGGCAAAGATATCGCGAGCGATGTTGACCCCATGATGCCGTACATCAAGGGGGACATCTGGACCGTGGGGCTGCTCATATACTTCATGCAAACAGGTTCAGTGTCTGGCTTTACCAAGGGAGGCAGCCTGTGGTGAACGCAATGCTTGTTTAGTGCTACATAGTGATTTATATATGAAACTAAACTAAAAACTAAATTATTTTTATTTTACTAGGTATAGCCCACTGAGCAATAGAGTGACCTGGCCATAAAAAATGGTAGCCCAATGAGAAGTGGCTTATCTTGTGGAAATTTACAGCAGCCAGATGCTCTAAATGCATGTTGATTTTAAATGCGGAGGGAAAAACCGGAGGACCCGGAGAAAAATCCCCGTGACCATAGGGAGAACATGCGAACTCCAAATATACAGGCGTCAGGGTCTGGATTGACCCCGCAACCTCCTGTATACCAGGCCAGGTAATTAACATCTTGCCACCGCGGCACCTTAATTGATGATATACAATCATCAATCGGCCTTAATCAATCCACTGCTGGATGAAGGCCTCACTGAGCCGCAGTCACTTCTCATGATCTTGCAACAATGCGGTCGTGTGGCTACAGTTCTCTGCGGTGAGTACAATGTCTTTAAAAACAACGGCGCTATGCCTCTTTAAATAAAATTAATGCTGAATCGCTCGCGCGTTCCGAGATTCAGCGGTGAACGGGACACCCACCCTGCAACTTGCAGACGTCTCTGAACGGAAAAGGGTTAATACAGGGAAAGGCGCTACAGGACTTACTGCCGTAGGGAGCGATGAAGGAGAATAATGATGCCGATGCGGTCGCACTCCGTTTCAGGCCTGGAGCCGTACGGGAGCCGGACGGACAACGCGGTCAAAGAGGAAGCAATCGAGGTTGCCCAGGCGCTGTACCAGGCGCTCCTCCAGTCCCCCGAGCTGCCCGAGGATGTCCTGCTGCAGATCCAGATGCAGTGCCTGCAGCCGGAGGGAGAGCCTCGGCCTACAGCTAGGCAGCTCCTCGACACCTTCTTCAAAGGTGCTCGATTAGGCAACGCCAATGGACTCTTCTCAAGGAGGCGGTGTGCCTGTGAAATGACAACGCTGGCGTCGCGCCATTGTACTGAGAAATTAGCCCTCGGATCTGGTTTTTTATGTGCCCGAGTTGTTTCAGGAAGGTGTGCTTTGGTGTGTGTTTGTATGAAAATAGGCGAGCAGTAGTGTAACGGTTTGCGCGCTGCGCTATGAAACCCGGCGACCCGAGTTCGATTCCCGCTTGTCGCCACCACCAGTTACGATTATCTGAACCAGTCCTGGGCCTCCTATAGGTCGACTCGGCCTCAAATGAGTACTTGGTGTGGTGTGTAAACATTGCCACTGTGGAGACAAAGGCGGTCGGGTGTGGTTCTGACCACCCACCCCCTCGTGTACATGTGTGTTTATACGTATACATGTGTTTCCAGTGTCTGCCCTCGCTTATTTGCGTACGAGTGTATACGAGCCTATTTGTGTGTTTGTGTGTTTATGTTTCTGTGCACATATGCACGTGCCAGAATGTAGCATGTGCGAGTCGGTATGAAGCGAATGACCTTACGAACTATACGGCATTGTTGAGTCAACATCATTGGGCCTCCATGAGGTGTACTCAGCAACGAGTACCTCATACAGTCGCATGTGAACTTCCGCACCTGGGAATAACAGTGTGGTCAAGCGACATTTTGGGCAAACACCACCGCCTCTTATATGCCTTGACAGGCGTTTGCTTTACAACGCCCTTGTCTTGCCAGGGATACGTCCGAATGCCACTATCTTTGTGTTTCTGTGCTAATCCTCAGACGGAAGGAATCCTTACCTCAGCGAGGAAAAGAAGGCCGACTTTTTCACGTTCGGCTTCCTCAGAGACACCAAGATCTTCGTGGCAGATTCCGTCATCGGCAACGTGAGCCTGTTAGCTGCGTCGTGTCCACGAGGTTTAGAGCTTCTAAAATTATTAATGTGGTGCATGTCCAGTGCCATGAATGTTCCGTTTTGTCCGTTAAAATGTTGCTACCGCAGCAGAGTGATGGTACGCAGTGCACTGGTCTGCCAATCCAGAGGTCACCGGTCCAGTTAGATCTCACAGCGCAGCAGTCAAAACGATGGGGAATGTTTCTTAAATCCCCCACGCCTCTCTATGTATGTTGAATTTCTTTCGCACCGTATGCAGCAAACCGTGGTAATCAGAGGTGCTGGTGAAGGACAACAAACTAAACACAAAAAACAGTTTTTTAGCAATTAGTTTTCAATGTAGATTTAAATTGCATTGCTCCAGTGGCTTCCTAAAATCTGAAGGAAGAGCATTCCAGATGGCTGCAGAAGGGCACCTGAAAGCGCGCGATGCAGTGACCGCCTTTGTTCCACGGCTAGCCAAAAGCCGCTGCGAAAATGACCGGAGTTTCGTGTGGTGGTTTATGCTCCTTGACGAGATCGGCAAGGTATTGCGGTTCACCTGCGGCAAGCACTTTGTGTGTAATGAGTGCGACCCTATAACGTACTCGTTCAGCAACCGTAAGCCAATGCAGCTTACGGTTGCTGGGACGGACATGGTCAGATCTTGCAGTGCCGGTCTACACAACACCCGGTAGTGCAGTGGAACTCTGGTCAGGTAGTGAATTACTGCGTTGTTTGGGGTGAGGCAATGACACTCAACTGGTCTGTGCACGAGTCGTTGCATCACCGAGACAATTCCTCCCACGGGCGTGATGTAAGCTTGTTTATGTGTACTTGTTACTGGTAGGAACCCACTGGTTCCACCAGCCCACAGGGGATTATTGTGTCCGTCCGTCCGTCGTGCAGGGAGGGGCTGGGTGGGGAGGGAGGGGCTGGGTGGGGAGGGGCAGGGAGGGTGGGGAGGGGCTGGGTGGGGAGGGTGGGGCTGGGTGGGGAGGGGCTGGTCACCTGGTGGTGCCCTTATGAAACTCAACGTTTAACCTACTCACGCCGGCTTGTGCCCGCCTTCACAGTCGGGCATATTTGCGGAATACACCACGCCGCCGTTGACCCTGGCCATTGACCGAGCAACCCAACGTTACTACCAGCTCCCTCCGCAGGAATGCGTTATATGTGTACTTGTTTGTGTGTACTTGTTTGTGTGCAGCGATCAGTTGGTTGGCAGCTCGTGTGTGGTGGGGCACAGCGTGGGTACTCTCACCTCTTCCAAGACATCCGGCCAGCATGCGAGAGGAGGCCAAAGTAAATAAAGGATGGGTCTTTAGAACCCACTCTAGGGGAGGCCCTTCCCCCAGCAAGGGGTGTGAGCAAAAAATTGCAGGGCTGCGCCTTGACCGTTAGCCCATTTACCTCTTAACGGCAATGCGCTCTGCTGGGTGAGTCGCGTCCTCACGATGTGAGCCGAGCTGTGTGTCGCCCTGGCAGGTCGTGGAAGGGGAGAATGGACACCGACCGACGCTCGGCTACCGGCCGCGCTACCTGTCATGCGTCGTCGACAAAAAGAAACTGGAAGGCCCCACCCTCGAATATGATGCAGCTGCCTATCGGTACTCGCTCACTCACTTGCCTACCGGGTCACTTGCTCACTCACTCGCCTAGCAGTCCTCATTGTGTACGTAGTTTTATTCTCATTACTAAAGCTTCGATCTTTTTTACAAATGAATACATTCAAAAACAGGAAAAGCTAAGCTTCTGTCCCATGTCAGACAGCCCTGGGTAGTTATGCGGTTTATTGCGCGGGTCACATGACAGTGGCGGTTCGTTGATATCTGTCACCAGGGCTCGATGTATCACTAAATATCACCTGGCTCGCCGATTAGACAGGTGGCTGTTAGCCTCTGTTATAGCCAAGAAGTATAGTACATGTGCAGTGCCGAGGGCGCGGACGTGGTTTTTGGTCCGGGTAGCCGTCGCGGACTTGACCCCGGCTGAAACGAAGGCCGGCTCGGCGACCTTTCCGCTTTGGGTGGGCGGCTCGTGCGCGAGCGCAGGAAGAGGAGGCGGGAGTACGGGAAGATGGTGAAGGAGAACAAGATCTTCGACGGCCAAACGTACGCCCTGGTGGGCCTCACCACCAACCGCTGCGGCGCCATGGAGACGCACGTCATCTCTCTCCGGTGAGCGCCAGCCAGAGGTCGCAACCGGGTACCCGATACCCGTACCCTACCCGATACCCGTACCCTACCCGATATCCGTACCCTACCTGATACCCGTACCCTACCCGATACCCGTACCCTACCCGATACCCGTACCCTACCCGATACCCGTACCCTACCCGATACCCATACCCTACCCGATACCCGTACCCTACCCGATATCCGGCTACCCGTTTGCGACCCTGGTGCGGCCGGGTACGGGTAGGCCGTGAGTCACTGGTGAGTAACCGTTTGTCACTCATTTCCCAACGTCTTGTCTCTTCTCACAATTCAAGTTCCTAGAATCAACCCACCCGCGCCTGCAACATGGCTTCATCCCAGAGGTCGCAATCGGGTACCTGTACCCGTACCCTACCCGATACCCGGCCGGGTACGGGTAGCCGGGTATCGGATAGAGTACGGGTACGGGTACCCGTTTGCGACCCTGGTGCGGCCGGGTACGGGTAAGGAATCAAAACCCGTTTGCGACCTCTGGCGCCAGCCTCGCTTCGCTGCAGCCAGCGTGGGACGTTGTGCTGCTCCCCCTTTCGGGACAAAGACAAATATTCCCCGTGTAGCCTTAATAGACTGTTGCGGCAAGTGCTGTTAGCGAGCACCTATGAAAGCCGGCACGGCAAACGAGGGAGTGGGTGGCCAGCACCACGCCCGGCCGCCTTTGTCTCCGCAGTGACGATGTTTATATATCGCACCAGGTACTTATATTTGAGGCTGAGTCGATCTAGGGGAGGCCCAGGACTGGTTGAGATACTCGTCACTGGTGCTGGCCGCGGGCTGGAATCAAACCTGGGTCGCCGGGTTCGTAGCGCAGCGCACTAACCCCTACACTACCGTTCCCGCGCAGGACAATGCCACCAATCGCATAGTGGCATCACCTACTGCTGTGGCACAGTGCCGTAAGCGAGCGTTTGATTTTCACCGAATGCCTTCTCTCGCCTCGGGTTGAAAGGCGCCACGGGGATTACAACGTCGCTGGCATCGTGTACAGATGGCGTTCATCCGGCAGTGGATTCAGAATCTTTATTTAGACTGAAGGAATACGATGAACCATGATGCTGTTTTTCACAGATGTCCAGTAGATTGACCGTGGCTGATGACGACGACGGTGATGATGATGCCTCTCCTCACCGCTGTGCCGGTGTTCCCCCGGGCGTTTAGGCTCAAGGAAACGATGTACGTGCATCACCGCGTCATGCGGGAGATGTGGATGACCCTGGAGGAGAGGGAGAAGCTAAAGCAGCTGTCGTGCAAGATGCAGGTGCACCCCTTCTACAGGTGAGTCTGCTCGCTGGGGGGGGTGTGGGGGGGGGGCGCACGTGAGAGAGAAAGCGTTTGCTGTCCTCTCTGGAGCAACGTGGGGAGATGCTGCAGGCAAACCTCGGCTGTCGGCGGTCGTCCCGTGGCCTTGACTCGTTAGATGTTGACCCTTTTTGTGATTCAAGGTCAAAGTGATTTTCGCTCAATTGAGCTTTGAGGCTGTGCTCATGTTTTTACTGCCCTGAGGCATTGGTGGAAGTTCACCATTCCTATGGTGGGGGCGAGTCTATCCATAGGACAACACCCGAACCTCCGATTAGCACTGTTGTCTACGTACGGTGCGAAAGAAGTTCAACGTACTTACCCGCAAAGGGGATGCTGATTTTATCGGCCCCGGAGGGATGATGGGCTGAGTCAACCCCCAACCAGGAATTGAACAGTTCGTTTCCCGCTCACGGCCAACACCTGTGATGATTATCTGAACCGGTCCTGGGCCGCCCTTAGGGCGACTCAAATGAGTACCTGGTGCGGTGTGTAAACATCGCCACTGGGGGAGACAAAGGCGGTCGGCCGTGGTGCTGACCACCCACCCCCTCGTGTACCGTTCCGGCCTTTATAGGTGCTCGCTAACAGCACTTGCCCCAACAGTCTGCTAAAGGCTATACGGGGGATATGTTTTTGTGCGTGCGTGTGCGTGCCATGGGCTGTGTTCAGTACGTCACTGGGCGTGCACATCGCCGTTCTCACAAACGAGGGCGGAGGAACGAAGAAATTCATCTTCACCAGGCGCTCCAACCGCACTGGTATTACTGTCGACGTTGTCGTTGCTATTTTTGTTGACAGGCTGTAACTCCCTACTGGTATTTTTGCACACAGCGTTGGTGTACGGTGTTTTTTTTCTGCAATATTTTGCTGTCTTTTCTTGGATTTTCTGTTTGCACTTAGTCACATATTCACTTTAAGATGTTCTTTGTTCATGTTTTTTGTTTGTTGCGGTTGCACCCGATTCAAGAGCCGAATCGCTCACAGGGCTATACCTAATAAATGAACTTGCTGGGCAAAAGCCGCTCTCAATTTCTCCAGTTCCTTCCTTTGGTTGTTCTTGTCCAATCACGGCCTCCGAACTCCGTGATGTCATCGCTTCCGCCATCTTCAAGCTTCTCTTGCTTTCTCTCAGCCTCCACGCCGGAGTAAAATTTTGTCGTCAGTTGTTTTTGACGTCACACATCCTGCCCATATCTGCTCGGATTCTCTGGCTTTAGTAACAGCATCATCTGTGTGCCTGTTCTTTTACTTATTCCTGAACTCCTTAACCCACCAGGTCGACTAACGTCCACGGTGCCAATTATTCACCCATGAAGGCTTCACTGGAATTTACCATATCAGTTGACCTATAATCTCTTTATTTTATAATTGGATCCAAGTTCTCCTTCAAGATAGCCTCTGTACATCATCATCAGCCGTGATCCTCGGTAGTGTACAGTTGTGTCCCTCAAATAATGATTTTGTAAATATTTAGTTTTGTATTATCACATACGCATGTGGATATGCTCACATTACACTTAGGCTAACGAACTAAACAAAGATGTACAATCACGTAGAAGGGAAATAATAAAATAATATAAACATAAAACAATAAAAAAATTCAAATTTTCTTGCTGTGGATTTCACACCTGATGATGATTGCTTGTGTTGCAGTCGAAACGTCGTGAGAATTTGTATTGTTTTATGTTTGTATTATTTTATTATTTCACTTCTAAGTGACTTTACCGAAAGAACCAAGAATATGAATCCCTGCAGTCACGAAAGCTCTAAATAAAAAAAAGCTGTACAAATTCGATTTAAAAAAAATGTGGTGAAAATGTATCGATTCGTTTCTCAAATCACATCCCTTGACTGCTGACAATTTAGTGAATTGCCGTAGGGGTGGTTCGTTCGTTAGCTATCGCACGGGAAGAGGTGCGATCGGTGAAGATCGATCAGGACCGATTGTGACAATTCTGTGCCATGCAATTGGTCAATAAGGTTGAACGTGACTGGCTGATTGCCTGAATTACATAAACCGTGTTCTCGTGAACTTAAGAACCCATCCCCTACAAAACTCAGGGTACTAAAAGCATTGACCTGAGCGTCCATGAAGGACCGTTAAGAGTCCTCGCCACCACGAGCTGTAATCACGATTCCACGTGTCCCGGCCGGCAGGAATAGCGACTCCGTCCATGTGGACGTGCGGGGCGGTGGAGACGCTGTCGGTGAACGACGTGGAGACGAAGGTCAAGGGTCGCAAGAAGAAGGAGATCCGCATGGTGCGGCTGCTGCGGACGGCTGCTCGGGGCCTGGAAGAGGAGCTCAACATCGTCCTGACAAGTGAGGGGTCCCACCCACCACCCCCTCCGTGGCTTGTGCCGCTATCGGCGCTACACACCAGCGGCGTCGTCACCTGTACCTCTTTTTCTACCGCGCAAACTGGCGCGGCGTTACGGCGGTGGTGGTCGTTAAATGTCGGAGAGACATTTCACACGGACGTTCTGAAGTGGAGTGGGTTTATGGTCTGTCCGGTCACCTGCACAACAACAAAAAGCCATAATAGAGGTTTTTTTGGGGTTAGATCGCGTGAATATATAAACGTGTCGTTAAACCCGCCATCTGCCGACACAGCCAACTAGTAAGGTTTGTCACGTGAACAGAACGTGCCAATTCGTTATAGTAAAGCACACCGGTGTGTTGGAGAGCCAAGCCACAACATTGACAATCGGAGTACGACGTTTTGCCAGTAAATACAACTAGCTTCATCAGGTGGCAGCCAGATTTATGGAGAAATCCTCCTGTTACGGTTCTTAAACAAAGGGATAGCCCTTCTTGTGCGAAGCGGGAGGGGGGGGGGGGATTAAGGAATGCATATAAATTACAATGGTTGGGTTATTTATATGGTAATCAACGTTCATTATGCATGCACATTGTTCTTGTATGAGTGAGTGCATTAAATTTGGTTGCACTTAATCTAGCTAAAATCAATCTCTGAGAATTCGAATATTGGCTTGACTGCTCCTGCTGTTGTGGAGTGACTCATGCAGCCAGCTATGGCTACAGGGTTTGGTGGTACATGTTGTTTGTCGTTTATTGTGAAATTTCGGTCACAGTTCCTATGATCACTGTTACATTGCTTTTATGGCTTTATTTTGGTGATTTCGAAAAGTTTTTTGGTTTGGCCATGTTTGTTTGTTGTAGTACAGCGTTAGACTGATGGCTTTAATTTAAGTTGTCTTGTGATTGTTGTTGTTGTTTTACTTGCATCCCACTGGGATTTTTTCACACAGCGTTGGTGTACGGTGCTTTTTTTCTGGAAGACTTTGCAGTTTTTTCCTGGATTTTTCTGTTTGCGCTTAGTGACTTTAAGAAGAAAAATTCTGATATTTATCAAAATAGATAATTTGGCAATTAGGTCATCAATGCAGGTGGTCATAGAAACCTGATAAGAGTGATCAGAATCAGAATCTTTGTTTTTCCTGGAGGAATCCAACGAGCTACAATAATGTTTTTTCACAGATATCTTATCTCAACGAAATGTATATATAGCGCCTTAAACAAGGCGCTTTACTAAGAATTAACAACGGTACAACGACGCTGGTGGATGTGGTGGCGGAGATAAGTTGAATAAACTCGATGACAGGTAGCAATGCGCAAATCTGTGATGGGCGAATTCAGCGAAAGCGAAATTGATGACAGTGAATGATGAACGGATTGAATGGACGGGGAGTGATAGCCATGTAATGTTTCGATTTAAAGCTTTCGTGACTGCAGGGATTAATCTTCTTGGTTCATTCGGTAAAGTCACGTAGAAGGGAAATAATAAAATAGACAGACCTGTTCTTCACCTGAGGACAGCTGCTTGCGTTGTGGCCGAAACGTCGTGAGAATTGTATTTTATGTTTTATTTTTATTATTTTATTATTTCCCTTCTACGTGACTTTAGCGAAAGAACCAAGAAGGGCCACGTAATGATGAGAATATGAAGAGGAAAGGTAACGGCGGTGGTTGCGAGGGGGAGATTAAGGGGTCGCGGGGCGAGCGAGGAAATCTGGATCTTTAGTCGCTAAACGCCAGGGCTGCGATGTTCATGCTGCTGCTGCTGCCACTTGTGCCTCTTGTGCCACTTGTGCAGACGAAGAGCTGCACGCTATCAACCTACACACGGTGTATCTCAAGTTCGACACCCACGAGTGGGGGGTGTGCGGCTTCGTGGACCTCAGCGACTCGCGCATCCAGCGCCAGCACCGGCTCAGCTTCGCCCAGGTTCGGGCGGGATTCACGTCGGGTGAGCGCACAACTCTCACTCACACACACCTCTCACTCACACACACACAGCTCTCACACACCTCACCTGTGACACGCAAACACACCTCACCTCTCACACACCTCACCTGTGACACGCACACACACCTCACCTCTCACACACACACACCTGTCACATACACTCACCTCACTTCCCTCACACGCACACCTCTCACACACACAGCAGGGTATCCGGTGGTGGGAGTCAATAATTTTCGCGGGACGTCGTGACCGAAAAAACGATTTTTCCCGATTTTCTCCACCACGCGGCGGCCGTGAAGGAGCGAAGGACAAGTTCGAGCACGAGGAGGTGGTGGGCGTCGACTTCGACCTGGACTCCATGGTGACCTTCGTGCGCCAGCACGCCGCCTTCTTTGCGAGCTCCACCAAGCTGGTGGTGGTGAAGACGCTGCAGGCGCACTTCCCCATCGCGCGGCTCCTCTGCGAGTTCGACGCGGGCGAGGACGAGGCCTTGGGGCTGCAGTGCCACAGGGAAGGCGGCGATGGTGGAGATGGTGGAGATGGCGGAGATGGCGGCGATGGTGGAGATGGCGGCGATGGTGGAGATGGTGGAGATGGTGGAGGCGATGGTGGAGGCGGTGGCGATGGTGGAGGCGGTGATGGCAGCGGCGATGGTGGCTTTGGCGGCGGTGATGGTGGCGATGGCGGCGGTGATGGTGGCGATGGTGGAGGTGGTGATGGCGATGGCGGCGGTGATGGTGGCTTTGGCGGCGGTGATGGTGGCGATGGCGGCGGTGATGGTGGCGATGGCGGAGGCGGTGGCGATGGTGGTGGCAGCGGTGATGGTGGCTTTGGCGGCGGTGATGGTGGCGGTGATGGTGGCGGTGATGGTGGCGATGGCGGCGGTGATGGTGGCGTTGGCGGCGGCGATGGCGGAGGTGGTGGCGGTGATGGGTGTTGATAGTGGCAGCTGCGTTGGCGGCGATGGTGGTGATGGTAGCAATGGCACTTCACACTCGGGCACCTATCTTGCTTGACATTGGGACATGATTAAGTAGGTAGAAAAACGAGGCAATCACCTTTGGTGGGGAAATAAATGTTTACAAAATACGGTGCAGTAAAAATAGTCTGCCGTAAACACCGTGCTTCACAAGCTCGCAGAGAGAAAAGCAATAACTCTAAAGCACCCAGCCTTGCCGGGGCCATGCCGAGCCAGCCTGGCACCAGGTTGTTTTTCCACTGCAAAAGCCGAGCCATGCTGCCGACGTAAGACAAAATAAATTAGTCAATAACCCCGCCCCTGACCCTGCTTGCCCACCCCACCACCCCCCCCCCCACCACACCCTTCCCCCAAGCCAGATTAAAATGCGAGGCCAGTGGTTTGGTTCTGGCTAAGCATTGGCTAACAGTGCAAAAAACCCACATTGGGAGGGCCACTCGCTGGCGCGGCTCGGATGTTTCAGTGGAAAAACCCTCTTTGAAAACCGCTTCCTGTAGATCTCATGCGCTGGTTGCACGAGAAGAGGGGGGCCCACATTCTTCGGTCTTGCTGAAGCCTTGGATGTAGGCCGTCGCATGTGTCACGTTACCGTAATCACAATACAGGCTGCAATTTACAATTTCTTTTACAAAATGTATGACCTGTAATCTAATCGGTTAAGTTACACTTTAGAAAAAAAATTTGTCCTTACATTTTCAGTTTTTGATGAATGTTTATATTTTTTAAGATTGTGTTTAAAATCTGCGTCTGGTGCACTTTTATTCCACTCGGTCAGACAGTGTGGCTTTCCTGTCACCTCTGTGCAATGCATGAGAGGCGGTATAAATCACAAGTGAAGGTGATGACGATGACAATTGTATAACCAATGGGCCAACAGAAAGACGAAGACAATTCTGTTATGGAAACACAAGAGAAACAAAATTTGTGAACCGAGGCCTTAGGTAAAGCGTCCATCGTCCTACAGCGAACAAATAAAAACTTAACGGCGTTTTCTCAGTGGGAGGTCGCTCATTCTCCTCTGCTGTCTCCAGGGTCTGGAGTGCCCTTCCCTTAGCCGTCAATGCCATCAACTCCCTGCCCTGCAAGTCCAGGCTCAACACTTCCCTTTTTTTTCCTGGGCCCATGACTGCCTCTCATCCGCTCTACACCACTCTTTGTATTTAGATGCTATATAAATCCAACCCGTATCATTTATGACAATGCACGCTCATAACTTAACCCACACGATATACGAAGACCAATTTTATTAATACACTGTATGTACGTATAAAAAATACTGTTATGACACAATTCCGTAGATACGTCACTTAAAGAGAGGGGGCTTAAACAGAACAGCGGCGAGTATGCGTATAGGAAGGTGCTGAGGCACGTGACCTGCCCATCGACCAGAGGTCGCAAACGGGTTTTGATTCCGTACCCGTACCCGGCCGCACCAGGGTCGCAAACGGCTACCCGCACCCGGCCGGGTACGGGTAGCTGGGTATCGGGTAGGGTACGGGTATCGGGTACCCGGTTGCGACCTCTGCCATCGACTAACCGTGGTGAACCCGTTTCCGCTGCCGGGTGGACGGAGGCACTGGAGGAATCAAAGAAACTCGCACCATTGTTTCAACTGCTGCGTCGGTAGATCGAATCGAACCGCCGACCTCTCAAGTCCGTTGTGCCGACTGACTCTCCTCACCCACACTTCTCTCACCACACGACAGGTCACAGCCACTTATTTTTCAGCTTGTTCCCTCACACTGCTCGACTCGAATTCCCTCTTTCCCATAATCTGTTTCCCCAAGTTCTCACGACGACCTTGCTCAATTCAGAAAAACGTCAGCTTATCATTACAGTCTTTAATAGTGCCATTTGTTGCTGTTCGTTTGACCTGATGGGCCTTTGGGCCAGTGCTCTGCAATTGTAAAAAAAACTAATATATACATTTTTTTTTTAAAACCTGTTACCATGGCAGGATCCAATACGTGTGGCAGGCGGTCAAAATCGTCAAATGATTTTTTTGCGATGCGCAAAAGCGGCGGTGAACCCCAGTGGGTGCTCTGAGAGCGGCGGGAGGCACAGAGCGCCGTGATTGGCCGCCTGGAAGGAGTGGCCGAAGCCAACGAGGCCCGAGCCCGACGCGTCCCCGCCGGCCCAACCGAGGTGCTCCGTTTCCGCGCCTTCGCTGCAATTTGCCGAGTGCACCGCGGCGAGCAGGTCCACGCATCGCTCGGGAAACCAGCCGCGCTGGGGCGCCAGCCCTGCGCACGCGCACAGCAGAGAGCAAGATTCCCACCCCGCCCCCCTGTAACCTTCAACATGGTGAGAGCACCTATATGAAGGCCAGGAATGCACATTAAACTTTTATAAAAAATTTTATATATTCAGGGATATTAAAAAAATTGCAGTCGTTTCAAAGTAGGGGGTGATGTTTCTATGTGGTTTCATTCGATTGGGTAAATCACAACTGATTTTTTTTATTTGCCAAATATTTGACTATAATAAACTTTTAAACCAAACGATGTATTTTATGTTACCAGGCAAAGCCACACTGAGCTATATAGAACTCTTTTTTTCAAGAGAGATCTGGCCACAAATGATAGCTGAACGACGTCGCTTATCGTGTGAAAATGTATAGCAGCCAAATACTCTAAAACACATGTTGATTCTAAATGTGGTGGGGAAAAACCGGACGACCCAGAGAAAAAATACACGCGACCACGGGCAGAACATGCAAATTCCAAATATACAGGCGTCAGGGTCAGGATTGAACGCACGATCTCCTGCATGCCAGGCGAGGGAGATAATATTTCGCCACCATCGCGTCCAATCCTGAAAGCCAGCACCATGCCCGGCTGCATTTGATTCCCTAGTGCTGATGTTTACTTCGTTTAACACATAGGCTTTCGCAACCAATATCATCCATAACAGAGGTTTACTAATCACACCAGGTACTCAATTTAAGGCCGAGTTGATCGGGAGGCGGCCCAGAACCAGTTCATATAATCACCACTGATGTTATCCAGTGGTGAGCAGGAACCAAACTCAGGTTGCCGAGCTCATAGTGCAGTGCGGTAACAAGGGAAGCTAACCATCACACACGCATGCTAATTAAAAAGACAGATTTGTCCTGTTCCTCAATGGGGTGGCAGTGGAGGGCTTGGTGGGGGGGGGGGGCGATGGGAGGAAAGGTTGGGAAGCGGAACTCCTTATATTGAAAAAGAGAAATGGTAAAAAATGTAATATACAAGTTCAGGCCCAGTTTGGTGCAGTAACTTTTGCGTTGCTTACTGCAGACCAGACGGCCGAGTTTAGGAATCTAACCCAGGCCCCCTTATGTCTGCGAGGCGCAAGTGTAACCAACTGCGACGCCACCTTGCCGCCAATATAACCACACGAAATGACGACCGGAATAAACCGGATCGGTATTGAGGAGCTGGCGGAGGATCGACAGCGACAGAGGAAGTGTGACTGCTGCGTCAGTAACCGCACTCGGTCCAGTGATGATAACCTGACCCGACTTCTCACAAGGAGGCTTTTTGCCATACCTACAACATGCGTTAGAGATCGAAGCCCTCCAACCTCCTGCATGGGGTTATTTGTACTGAGTGCGTGCTTGCGTTTAGCTTACCTCCCTGATTTTCGGCGTGACTTATTTTTTCCCCATACATCCAGTGTCTAAAACAAAGCAACAACGCAAAAAATAAGATTACAAGCAAAACGAATGACTTAACCGTATTGATGATACACGAATGAGACCCACCAATAGTCAACAATGTTGAAACTCCCCCCCCAAAAAACACAAATACTGCCTTTAAAATGTTCATGCATTTACACATCTCCAAAACTGGCAAGATGCTTATCTCTTTAGAATTAGTTTGAGCAAATGTTGGGGGGAGGAGGTGGCTCTGTTTTCAGGCTCCGTGACCGTGGAACTCTGCAGTTAATCGCGTCAAGAGGTTTTGCCCACACAGTGGCTACTTTTAAATCAAGGCTTCGGGCCTATTTCTATAAATTCGTTTTCTGATTTTATTTTGGCATTCTTATTATTTAAGTCTTTTAAATAATTTGTCCTTCTCTTTGCGTGCTCATCATTTCACGAGTGTTTTTTTGCAACACTTGTTCAAAATATTCGGTTTTATCTTAAATTGTGTGACGTGGCTTTGAACCTTGCGGTACGAGGCACTCGTAAATAAACAACAACAATAATTATCATTACATAGCCCAAGTCACGTAAACCAATTCTGCCGTCACACCGTCGCAAACGCAAGACATGTTCCGCACCTCCGATTAGCCCAGTCGGCTACGAAACTTCTACATATTAAACTAAAACAAATTGGCGACCGAACGTTTTGCCCGCGTCTGTTGTTGTTGTTGCTGCTGCTGTTTTGCGGGGTGCTCACGGCATCGTCTTGCTCACGTCGACCGCTTCCCCCGGCGCGACGGCAATGCGTGGCTCCCCCGTGAAGGGCGCGGCGAGGCACACGACGGGACCCTCGGCCAGGGGGCACGCCGAGGCCGTGTACCCCTCCAGCACCCGGTACCGAACCTGCGACGACGTAACCCCACACACCTCAGTGCCGCTGACCCTCGAACGAGGTCAAGCGTGCCGAGGGGGGGGCGCAAAGGCAAAGATCACCCCCCCCCCCAGCATTGCGTCTCGTGGCCACCTCGCGGCCATGATGCCCACAATGAAGATCACAAGGCTCATGTGTATGCTATTAAAAGCAGTCACTTTGCGAGTCGTTCGATCAATATCTTAAGATTCCACCAAGAGTCTCGAACAAAGAACTAAGTTACGTCCTCAATAAAGACGACAGTGTCCAGGCCTCTGCGCTAGAGAGCGAGGACAGGAACTGAAAACACCTTAAAAACACAGATCCTTGGCCTACTGTTTAGACCAGGGGGTCGGTAACCAAAATAACAAAGAGACATATTTTTTTCAAACTCGGTAAAGAATATTTCAAGTGTCGCAACGCATGTGAATACCAGACGGTGGTCATTAATACATAACGTCACGAAGCGGTCCTTAATGAGCCGCATGCGGCTCTGGAGCTGCAGGTTGCCGAACCCTGACAGTGGCAGCACCAAACACTCTGGTTGAGCGATTCCAAACATTTCACTAATCCAATTGTTGGCAGGCCTGAGTGCGCAAAGCAGCTGGCAACACGGAGAGAAACGGCGTAAAGATAGAAGCCACGGGCTTTGAACGAACCTGACGTTCCACCACCAACGCACAAAATCTAAACTATTATTTTTTGAAATGTGACTTTCACGTCCACTTCGTGTGAACTTACGCAGCTCAACGTCCTCTCCTCCTTTTGAGCCGCGTGCTCCTCCTGTGGGAGAGAAGTTACACTCCACGTTGGATCCGGCTCGCGGATTCAAATTCAGTCCGATGAGTGGGAGCGATTTTTGTTTGCCATCCGGGTCGTGGCTCATGGGTTTTTTTTTACTTGGAAATGACGATAGTATTTTGGACCAAGCAATGATGACATCCATGCCCACACATTTGGTATTGACAGTCAAGGCAATGAAACGTTGGCTGACCGTTGCCCTAAACGTTATTTAATTTAACGACGATAATTCTCAGATATTTGTCTTTTACAATTTTAACACACTGCTTATGACGACAGCAGTAAACATTTTATTACCGACAGAACTATGCGAGGGACAAGGGTTACCACGGTGGCGTAGCGGTGAGCCCACCGCCCTACTAAACCAGCCACCTGAGTTCGACTCTCAGCCATGGCTAACATCAAGTGAGATCTGAACTGGTCCTAGGACACCCCTAGGTCAGCTCATCCTGAGGTGAGTATGCAAACGTCACTGCCGGGTCGACGAAGGTTGCTGGTTGTGGCGCCGTCCACACAACTGCCCCCTTCGTGCGCAATGCCGGCTTTCATGGGCGCTCGCTAACAGCACTTGCCCCAACAGCTGATAAAGCATACTCGGGGTGGGGGAGACCTTTGTGTCGTGTGTGTGTGAGTGCACGTGTGTGTGCGTGTGTGTGGGTGTGTGCGTGTGTGTGTGAGCGCACGTGTGTGTGCGCCTACAGTCTGTTAAGGTTATACGGGGGATATTTGTCTTTGTGCGTGTGTGTGTGGGTGCGTGTGCGTGTGTGTGTGTGCGTGCATGTGTGTGCGTGTGTGCGTGTGTGTGGGTGTGTGCGTGTGTGTGTGAGCGCACGTGTGTGTGCGCCTACAGTCTGTTAAGATTATACGGGGGATATTTGTCTTTGTGCGTGCGTGTGTGTGTGGGTGCGTGTGCGTGTGTGTGTGAGTGCACGTGTGTGTGCGCCTACAGTCTGTTAAGGTTATACGGGGGATATTTGTCTTTGTGTGTGTGTGGGTGCGTGTGCGTGTGTGTGTGTGCGTGCATGTGTGTGCGTGTGTGTGGGTGTGTGCGTGTGTGTGTGAGCGCACGTGTGTGTGCGCCTACAGTCTGTTAAGATTATACGGGGGATATTTGTCTTTGTGCGTGCGTGTGGGTGTGTGCGTGTGGGTGTGTGCGTGGGTGTGTGCGTGGGTGTGTGCGTGCGTGTGGATGTGTGCGTGCGTGTGGGTGTGTGCGTGCGCGTGTGTGTGTGCGCGTGTGTGTGCGTGTGTGTGTGCGTGTGTGTGCGTGTGCGCGTGTGTGTGCGTGCGTGTGCGTGTGTGCGTGTGTGCGTGCGTGTGTGCGCGCGTACGTTGACGCAGTAGGGGTCGGCGCCCGCTGCCGTGGGCCAGCGCAGCCCGTCCACGCGCAACCTCGTGGGCGGCAGCTCCTGCTGGAGATTCCTCCAGGCGGAGCCGAGGTCAAAGGGGAAGCGGAGAAGTCGGTCGCGGCGGCCGCCCGCGAACCGCTCGGCCGCCTGGGCACCACGGGGGGGGGGGGGGGGGGGGGGCGGGAGACAGAGAAGATTAAAGGGAAGAAAGCGACTAAAAAATTTAAGCGTGCGTGCGCGGGGGGGGGGGGGGGCGTTAGTCCTCGGAGTTATCAAATTAGCAGTACGGAAGGGCAAAACACTTTTCACATTCGCAAATACTCTCGTACCTATTATTGCTCAGGCTTCTCTAAGTTTCGGGCAGTAGCCCTTTGATCGACAAGGTTAACTCGAGGGCCAGAGTCCCCAGGAGTAAGCACGACTCCACGCCGTGGTTTCCTTCACACTGGACCGTCTCCACGAGAGTTATGGCACTTGGACCCTTTGAACCTCCTCCCATTAGAGAGACACTTTGGGTTGTGATGCAACACTGGCGAGACGGTTCTCAAAGCCTGGCGGATCACTCATTGCTGTTAAAGGCCGTCAATAAGATGCAGGGTAACTCTCAGCCAGGGTCACGTGGCCTTACGCCAACCTGCGAACCCACAGCCTCTGTCGCAATGAGACCGTGACTGAAAATAGTCATTAAACCGAATTTCAGTTTGCACTCGGTTGTACTGTAGATTACAATTTAACGTTACCTTCGCTTCAATCTTGGCCTCGATAAACGTGCGGTTTCTCAACAGTCCATTGAGCTGCGCGAATCAAACATAAAAAAACACCATCGTCATCGTCATCATCATCGTTATTATCATCAGTCCACTCCCACAATTTGAGGACCGACTTTTAAAATCAGCAGAAGATTCCAAACAAGCCGCAAGTGCCTTGGACATGGGTATTGAGATCGCTCGAGACAATGTTATGTTTTGTATTGTACAGCACTTGTATGCTCCTCACGTTTACCAACCTGCAGTGATTAGCGTGATGAAGTATGGTCAAATACTCCCCCCCCCCCCCCCCCCCCGATGACCTGCATGACGAGGGAAGGCCCTCATCGGACTGATATTAAACTAAACAATTGTTTTTCTTTTACCAGGTAAGGCCCACTGAGCTATGTAGCTTTTTCAGAAGCGGTTTGGCCACAAATGACAGCTCAACGAAGTGGCTTATCGGGTGGAAATTTATAGCAGCCAAATACTCGAATAAACACATTGATTCTAAATGTGGAGAGAAAAACCGGAGGACCTGGAGAAAAAGCTAATCGACCACAGGGAGAACATGCAAACTCCATATATACAGTCAAAATCAGGATAAAATCCACGACCTCCTGTGTACCAGGCGAGGGAGTAAACATCTAGCGTTATCCGCGGGCCCGCTAGAAATTTTCACTGCTCGCCCCTCCCGACGTCAGCGCCACCGTGCCGTCGTGACGACCGACCTGATTGACCCCCAAGAGGACCATGAAAGGGATGGCGGTGAGCGTCACCACGAAGGAGATGAGCGTGGCGAGGAAGGCCGGCACGCCGAAGGGGTAACGCGCCACGGCCTCAACGGCCAACGTCGAATTTGAGCCACCCGCCGCAGGCACCAAGAAAACCTGGGGGTGGAGTTTGCGGACAGGGATCGGGGGGAAGGCGGCACAAGCGTGCCATGCGTGAGCGGGACCGGTAACTCTTCTTCTTCCTTCTTGTATGGCGAGGAGGAGTTGATCGGCAATGTTCGTATGTTCCGATCTGAGGTTTTGCGAGTGAAACGCTGAATGAATGGCTTCTGTAGTAGCATGATGAAGAATTATTGGGAAAGCTGCCAGCGAACCACCGAAGTGGTCAGTGGCACTCTACTCGTAACAACAAAAATACCACAGCATTATAAACACGAAGGTCCTTAAAACATCCATGAATGAGCCTCGATCATCTCGAGCAGATGGGTCCCTACTTGGGATGTTTTTTGTCCAATTTGTCCGTTGAGTATATTTGCATATTCTGGGAAAGAAAATGATGGGCGTATGGACAGCTCCGAGGCTCCCTTAATACACTGGGCTTGATGGCTTGTTGACAAAGCCCCCAGGTGTGTGGATGGGAACCTCGCGCGTAACTGGGCATCCGGCAGTGTGAAGGTGAAGCTTCTCATTTGTGCTCTTTCATAACGGATACGAGATGAGTAACAACCACCAATAAACGTCTACGTCGTGAACCCAGCTGCCGGTTTCCTGGCACGCCGAGCATGAATCCCGCACGCGCCCTCGGAGATCCCTCGCAGTGGACGCGGGTTCACACAGAGACCCAGAGACTCGCACAGAGACCCAGAGACTCACACAGAGACCCAGAGTCTCACAATAGACACGAGTTCACACAGAGACCCAGGGACTCGCACAGAGACCCACAGACTCACCCAGAGACCCAGAGACTCACACAGAGACCCAGAGTCTCACAATAGTCACGGGTTCACACAGAGACCCAGAGACTCACACAGAGACCCACAGACTCACCCAGAGACCCAGAGACTCACTCAGAGACCCAGAGACTCACAGTAGACAGGAGTTCACAGAGAGACCCAGACTCACACAGAGACACAGAGACTCACACAGATATCTATTGACAATCACAGAGACCCATAAAAACCCAGTGTACACGAGTTCACACAGAGACCCATAGAGTCACACAAATACCGATAGACACACAGAGACCCATATACTTACAGAGAGACCCTTAGACTCACAGTGGACATGAGTTCACAAAGAGACCTACAAACTCACACAGAGACCCATAGGCTCACAAAGAGACCCATAAAACTCCCAGTGTACATGAGTTCACACAGAGACCCATAGAGTTACACAAAGACCAATAGACACACAGAGACCCATATACTTACAAAGAGACCCTTAGACTCACAGTGGACATGAGTTCACAAAGAGACCCACAAACTCACACAGAGACCCATAGGCTCACAAAGAGACCCATAAAACTCACAGTGGACATGAGTTCACATAGAGACCCATCGACCCACGATGTGCTTCACTGTTCCCTTTGCCCTACATTATGGAGAAGGTGACTGCACCTGCTGTGGCCAGTCTGGATACGATGTAAGGTAGCCCACTGCTGGGGGGGCAGTGAACTCTCTGAAGGTCGAACGTCCTCGTGTCACTCGGGGGTCTCTTAAAATAGACGACAACCCACAGTGGCTTTTGCTCACCGGCGCCAGGAACTCCTGGTAGAGCGTGCTGCCGAGAAGGCACAGAGAGTGGAGGCCGGCGGTCGGCGTGAGCAGCAGGAAGGCCACGAAGGAGGCGCGGTTACGCAGCCCGACGCACGCGTTGATCCACGGGCAGTGGTGGTCCATCTTCAGCACGCACCTGCGGGCACGAGAGAACGTGGTCCACCGTAAGGCTGCTCGCCCAGGAGGTGACGTTGCACACCGAGGGAGCCGAGGAGCCAATGCCAGAGAGAGCAGTGGGGTCCCGGCTCCGAATAGAATTATCTCGCAGTTTTATTGGACCTCCTCTTGTAAATTATCGCTCATGATTATTATTTAATATCAATCCGATCGTTCCCCAAATTTTTATCGTGAATGTGCCATCGATATGATGCCACGATAAGAAAAATAGACTCACACGGAAGGGCCTGTGGGAGCGGATATCTGAGAACTACTTTTGAGATCCCTTCAAGTAACTGCAATGCACATTATAACGGCAGCACATTCCTCAGCCGCCATGCTACAAAGTAACGTTTTTGTTGTTGCAGGCAGTCACACAAAAGTTGTTCTAATTCTCAGGACAAGAATATATACTAATTAAGCATACAACCAAAATGAATATGACGGCGGTTTTTTTTGTCGGTGCCAACTCAGCGCTCTGACCTCATGCACCACCCAGGCACCTCTCATGCCACAGAATCTTAAATGTCTGCTTTCCAGAAGACAGATTACTATTGATCTCATCTGGTGGTGACAGTGTGAAATTAACCGTAAACTACACGCAAACTGTCCACATGGCTGGGGTGTTGACAGCGCAGCTGCTCACTTTCTCTGTAAAAGTGAGCAGAGATTAAAATCATTTAAATCTAAACTTAAATATACACAAACAAAACAAATATCCCCTATATAGTCTTAACAAACTGTTGGGGCAAGCGCTGTTAGCGAGCATCTATGAAGGCCAGCACGGCACACAAGGGGGTGGGGGGTGGCCAGCACCACGCCCGACTGCCTTTGTCTCCCTAGCAACGATGTTACACACTGCACCAGAGACTCATTTGAGGCCGAGTCGACCTAGGGGAGGCGCAGGACCGGAATTGAACTCGGGTTGCTGTGTTCGTAGCGCAACTCACTAACCACTCCACCACTAAATTTCGATTTAAAGCTTTCGTGACTGCAGGGATTATTCATCTTCTTGGTTCTTTCGGTAAAGTCACGTAGAAGGGAAATAATAAAATAATATAAATAAAACATAATAAAATAATTCTCACGACGTTTCGGCCAGACAAACCTGGTCTTCACCTGAGGACGGCTGCTTGCGTTGTGGCCGAAACGTCGTGAGAATTATTTTATAATGTTTTATATTTGTATTATTTTATTATTTCCCTTCTACGTGACTTTACCAAAAGAACCAAGAAGTTCACTCCACCACTTCTACACACACCCACACACACCCACACACACCCGGGCCACTGCTGGAATGCTCACCTCTGACATTGCCGGCAGTGGTGAGACCGGAGTGGTTTGAAGGATTGGCATTTCTCACAGTACGGCAGAAGGCGAGCCTCCTCGGATCGCTCCTGTTGGAGAGAGAGAGGGAGAGACTCGGTTAACATCCAATTCAAGCGTCCCATTCCACCCACATTCAGCGTCAACTCAAAAGAAAGCAAGGACACTCACAGTTTACCGGCATTGACAGGCCTACATCAGACTGGATTGACAGAAGGGCTGTACATTATTACGAACCTCTTACCAAATACAGAGGTCGTTGGGTCAATCTCTCGGCACGGCAGTTAAAAACAATGGAAGAGTTTCTAAACGCTCCCTGCCTCTGTCAATCAGGCAGCGTGAGCGGGCACACTGCAGTCAGTCGACTGGCAGGTCGTGTGTGGTGGGGTCAAGTGTGGATACTCACACCTCTTATTTGGGGTGCCACGGTGGCGAGATGTTAACTACCTTGCCTGGTATTCATGAGGTCGTGGGTTCGATCCCGACCCGGACACCTGTATATCTGGAGTTTGCATGTCTCTCTCTCCCCGTGGTCGCGTGGATTTTTCTCTGGGCCCTCCGATTTTTCCCCTCCACATTTATAATCAGCATGCATTTGGAGTATTTGGCTGCAATACATTTCCATGTGATAAGCCCACTTCGTTAAGCTATCATTTGTGATGGCCAGGTCACTTTTGAAAAACACCTCTAGATAAGCTCAGTGGGCCTTGATTAAAAAAATAATAGTTTCTCAAACATCGGGCCAGCGTGGAAGAAGTAAAGCCAAAGAACACTCCAAGAGGGGGCAGATCTAGAGGGCCTCCTCGTAGCAGAGAGCCGTTACGCCAGAAGTGAGTGAGCGAGCGAGCCGAGCGGCTGAACTTGCGCGCACGTTTTTTTTTTAAGCTTTCGCAAGCCACCCTGACCGTCCGGGTGCGCGTGCAAGTTCACTCACGGGGCGCCATCCGAGGGACACGAACCCAGCGCCGGCGAACACCGCGTGCAGGTACGGCGTGAGCAGCGTGGGCACCCACAGCAGCAGGAACGCCAGGTGGACGATGGCGCCGCCACCACCGTCGGCGCTCCGATGCACGGGCCAGGCCCAGAGCAGCGTGGCGAACAGCGTCACGAGGCCGCACAGCACCAGGCCCGACAGCACCAGCCACGGCCCCCAGTGGCACAGCCGGCGCCACGGCACGCCGCCCGCCATTCGCGGCCGAGGCGTCCCGCCACCGCGGCGCTGGCACGCGGGCGCTGGCACGCGGTGACAAGTCCGTGTCAGCGATGGGGAAGGGAGGAGGGCCGGGCGGCTCGTAGGTGAGAGTGCCGAGCTGCCACGACTACGATCATGGGTTGGAATCCAGGCTTCAGCCGCCTCTTATTCAACCGGGTTCTCGAGTGCAGCGAGTGGATGGTCTCAGCTCATTTACCAAGGACTGCTAAAAACAAACATCATATTAAGTTTAGTTTTTGCACTGAAATTGGCATGAATTCCAGGTCTGAGGATGAAAATATATCGGTTTGACTGCCATTCGACAAACGTTGCCCTCGTGTGTACAGCTGGAGGACAGCAGAGGTCACTTTAAGAGACCTCGGAAGTGCTTCTCTGATATCTACTTCTGCAGGTCATTTTCTGTCGCAAATGCTGCACTGCTCTAAGTGAGATCCGAACGGATGCTTCTTATCTAATGACACGATGCTTTGAGTAGAATCGGTATACAATTGTGGGGGGGGGAAATCAGATTCAAGAAAATATCAATGATGTGCGAAATGTATTCAGTACGTGTCAAGGACCGACTTAGTGTGAGTGATATTTGATCTCTGAAAATGTGGCAGAGATGAGCCTGGATAACGCTTGTAGGGGGTGACCAACATGCACCTACAGGAGCTTAAGTTTGCATTCATTTCAGATCAGTCATGGACACACACAAAACAAACCCCACTGCCGAGTAAAAGGCAAACAAAGGTGGTTACTGCATCGCGCGCTTTCAGATGCGCTTCTGTGGCCGTCTGGAATGCGCTTCCTTCCGATATTAGAAAGCCACTGCTTAGTTTGTTGTCCTTCCCTTGCACCTCCGATTAGCACGGTTGGCTACGTACGGTGCGAAAGAAGTTCAACGTACACACATTCAAACACAAATGATGAAATATTTGGTGAATATTTTGAACAATGTGTAAGTAGATTCCACTTTTCGATACACGAAGCACATTGCAGTATATATACAACTCGTGTATAATATAGAGTTGTAAATGCCATTCGACTGTGAATACTGTTCAGTCCTTTACACACATTTCGCACAGACAATTACACACACACACACAACAATAGTGCAAACAGCAATCAAATATTCACCATCTATCCACTGCTGGATGAATACCCCCCATATCCGTCATTGTACATATGACCAAACGCTAATTTGTACTACACTTAGATTACTTTATAAAATAAAATACTTTCCAGGCTCGTGTCAATCCACTGCTGGATATGAATGCACCTCGTCCCACGCCTCGTTGGGGCATAATGGACACATCATCCATGACTCTGACACACACACACAGCGTGGTGAAGTATGACCCGTAGCATTTGCAGCTACTTTTGCAGCGAGTATCATCCGGCACAAGCCTCTCTCGTGGTTCCACCTCTTCACTCGCCCAACCCACGATGACAAGCGGCAGGGTGATGCGTGCTCCACGCAGCTCACGGAGTGGGGAAGCCTTTGTCCGGCAGAGGATTGAAGATGGCCAGTGCACTCGCGTCTACATCGCGCCAGTGCCAGGCTAGGTGCACACCCGAGACCAGCCTTACATAAGCACCCGCTTGCGAGCAACCGATTAATAAACCAATTAATCAACACGTGTTCCAACAGCAACGATATCATAAGCAGCAACGGTAATCATCCACCACGACTGCTAGTAATGTTATCATAGCGCCCGTGCCAGGCTAGGTGCACAGTCGAGGCCACGTGACCACACACACACACACGCACCTCCGATTAGCACGCTTGGCTAACCTAGGGTGCGAAAGATGTTCACCATACAGTACACACACGAGCACGTGTTTGTTGAGCTGCGGCAGTGACGAACCCACGACCCGGCGTCGATGTGGCGAGTGTTAGTTATCGACAGACACGTGGTACCTGCTGCTGCTGCTGCTCTTTGTTCGTTATCAGCTGTTGCTGCTGATGCTGCTGCCGCTACGGCTGTTCGTGCGCTCGTAAAAAAAAGACTCTTCGGCAAACACGAAGTGGGGGGAGGCGCGACCTCGCCACGTCACGGGTGACACGGAAACACCTACAGGGCCCTGATGGGATTCAGTGGGCCAGGCTGAATAAACACACACACAGGTGACATTCTGGGTGACACGGAGACACCTACAGGGCCCTGATGGGATTCTGTGGGCCAGGCTGAATAAACACACACACAGGTGACATTCTGGGTGACACGGAGACACCTACAGGGCCCTGATGGGATTCAGTGGGCCAGGCTGAATAAACACACACACAGGTGACATCGTGGGTGACACGGAGACACCTACAGGGCCCTGATGGGATTCAGTGGGCCAGGCTGAATAAACACACACACAGGTGACATTCTGGGTGACACGGAGACACCTACAGGGCCCTGATGGGATTCAGTGGGCCAGGCTGAATAAACACACACACAGGTGACATTCTGGGTGACACGGAGACACCTACAGGGCCCTGATGGGATTCAGTGGGCCAGGCTAAATAAACACACACACAGGTGACATTGTGGGTGACACAGAGACACCTACAGGGCCCTGATGGGATTCAGTGGGCCAGGCTGAATAAACACACACAGGTGACATGGTGGGTGACATGGATACACCTACAGGGCCCTGATGGGATTCAGTGGGCCAGGCTGAATAAACACATACATGTGACATGGTGGGTGACATGGAGACACCTACAGGGTCCTGATTGGATTCAGTGGGCCAGGCTGAATAAACACACACACAGGTGACATCGTGGGTGACACGGGGACACCTACAGGGCCCTGATGGGATTCAGTGGGCCAGGCTACATAAACACACACACAGGTGACATCGTGGGTGACACGGAGACACCTACAGGGCCCTGACGGGATTCAGTGGGCCAGGCTGAATAAACACACACACAGGTGACATTGTGGGTGACACGGAGACACCTACAGGGCCCTGATGGGATTCAGTGGGCCAGGCTGAATAAACACACACACGGGTGACATGGTGGGTGACATGGAGACACCTACAGGGCCCTGACGGGATTCAGTGGGCCAGGCTGAATAAACACACACACAGGTGACATCGTGGGTGACACGGAGACACCTACAGGGCCCTGACGGGATTCAGTGGGCCAGGCTGAATAAACACACACACAGGTGACATCGTGGGTGACACGGAGACACCTACAGGGCCCTGATGGGATTCAGTGGGCCAGGATGAATAAACACACACACAGGTGACATGGTGGGTGACATGGAGACACCTACAGGGCCCTGATGGGATTCAGTGGGCCAGGCTGAATAAACACACACACAGGTGACATTGTGGGTGACACGGAGACACCTACAGGGCCCTAATGAATTTCAGTGGGCCTGGCTGAATAAACACACACACAGGTGACATTGTGGGTGACACGTAGACACCTACAGGGTCCTGATGGGATTCAGTGGGCCAGGATGAATAAACACACACACAGGTGACATCGTGGGTGACACGGAGACACCTACAGGGCCCTGATGGGATTCAATGGACCAGGCTGAATAAACACACACACAGGTGACATTGTGGGTGACACGGAGACACCTACAGGGCCCTAATGGAATTCAGTGGGCCTGGCTGAATAAACACACACACAGGTGACATTGTGGGTGACACGGAGACACCTACAGGGCCCTGACGGGATTCAGTGGGCCAGGCTGAATAAACACACACACAAGTGACATTGTGGGTAACACGTAGACACCTACAGGGCCCTGATGGGATTCAGTGGGCCAGGATGAATAAACACACACACAGGTGACATGGTGGGTGACACGGAGACACCTACAGGGCCCTGATGGGATTCTGTGGGCAAGGCTGAATAAACACACACACGGGTGACCTTGTGGGTGACACGGAGACACCTACAGGGCCCTGATGGGATTCAGTGGGCCAGGCTGAATAAACACACACACAGGTGACATTGTGGGCTGAGTGAGAATTGATATTAAATCGCATTCGGGTGACTCCGTTGGCTCTTAAGTGATACATATCATGCTCTTAGGGTTCAGTGAGACTGGTTAAGCTTGCCTGTAATTAGTTAATACACATGCAGAGGTATACAGCACAGTGGCGTCACCATTGACACATCCACGGCTCTTAGTGGTACACGTTTTATCGACCCCAATAAGGATGATGGGCTGAGTTAGCCTTCCAAACAGGACTTGAACTCGCAACCTTCCAGACTGCGAGACGTTCGCTCTTCCGTCGAGCCAACTTGCCGGATATCGAGTGGCAAATTGATTTTGCAAACACGGAGCTATGAACACATTATACAATGTATATAGCATGTACACAGCATACAATTCGTTGTCCTTTCCACACACCTCCGATCAGCACGGTTGGCTACGTACGGTGCGAAAGCAGCTCAAAATATATGCATACATATTATGTCCAACATATGCACATCCATAATACAGGTTTTTTTTTCCCCACGTAAACTTATGCGATCTAACCCAAAAAAACCTGTATTATGGATATTGGTCGCGAAAGTCTACGTATTAAACTAACATTTGCACAAGTACGTACATACAGGTATTAATATATACACACACACACGTATTCGGTGATGTGCACCTATTAATAAGCACAATGGTGCACAATGTGTGCATCAACCAGTGCAGAAAAATCGTTATAGCCACGTGTGCTTGTGACGTTTTGGCGTTGCTTGGGTACGGAAAGGCTGTGGCCCGAATGCTTTCAGCACACCCAAGGAATCCCACGGGTGCCATAATCTGGGCCCCCTTGAGCCTTTGTGCGATTTCTGATGATAAAACCCAACTAATTACTCCGTGTACAGTACAGCACTCCATGGTTACTGGTTCATGTTCATAGCACCCACCTAATGCAGGTATGAGATGATGGGTGTGGTGTCGAGACACCTGTGATTTACTCCTGGGGTTAGCGACCTACGGTGAGATCACGTGTGGTTCACACCCACCTGTAGGTCAGCGAAGTTGCTCGTGATGGGGAGCAGTCGAGAGAGGCGGTGGATACGGAGCTTTGTTAAAGAGACGTTTCTAAGCGACCTTATTTCCCCGCGCTTAGGGATTCTATGGCATTCCTGTGTTCTTCCATCAGCTCCCAAGCAGGGCTTTGTTGAAGTCTGCTGAAAAGACCGGGAGACTCGGTGAAGCTCCCTGGGGTAAAATAAATTTAAAATTAATTCCCCATTGGCCATTGCCCCAGCTCTCTTCCTCATTACAAATTCAAGTCTAGGGCCAACCGGTTTGTCACCTTGGTGCAGAAAAATGCTGACAAACCAGAGTTTATCAACACAATAAAGAAAAAAAAACCAGTATTTTACTTGTACACAACAAAAAACCACGCAAACCCAAAAATACTGTAATGTGACATTTTATTTGTGATGTAGAGTGAAAATATATACATGTTATTGCAATGTAGTAATCAAATACATACAAAGCAACGCTAAGATTTTAGTAATTTCCAGTCGCATGTATTGCCTGGACAACACTCGTTCCTGTTAAATGTAATAAAATACGCCCTTCATGATGTTATTCCTGTAAATACAAAACGTTTGATTGGAATGTGACATTTCTCCAGTCTGCGCATTACGAAATAAGCAGTAAAACATACAAATTAGTGGATAAATACAAAGTGTACAAGCATCATGTCCATTGTGCACTAATTGCAGTACATTTCAGCTTATCATTTGTCCATTCTTTCATCTCACGAGTAAACACTATCACGACTCGTTGGTTCTTTCGGTAAAGTCACGTAGGTTCCTAGGTTCCTACGTGACTTTACCGAAAGAACCAAAGAGTCGTGATCCCTGCAGTCACAACTTAAAATCTAGATTGAACTCACTATCACACTAACTCTTTTGAGTTTTCAAAACTAGACCGTTCATAATTCTTACACGTGGTCGGTCACCGCCATGTCGTCGCTTCCGAATCGCCAACCGTTGCTTTTAAATTCTCAAAAACATTCATGTGAGAATTTAATGTGTTGAATGGAATGTAGAATTACTTATCTATTAAACCACAATTTAGTGCGTGTGAATGCGTCTAAACTACTCACAGGATACATTTTGCCACTGGTTAACTTATCATTATTTCTGAGCGTTTTTACCAAATTCGCAAAGTCAATTTGTCATCTGTTGCTGCAAGGTTATTGTCAAGCCTAACGCAGCTATAACGAACAGCAATGCCATGAAGATGACAAAATATATTAAGCCTTTTAACTGACTTGCTGGTAGGTTTTATGCAGCTCTGCCATTAATATTTTTGATTTAAAAAAATATACATTAAAATAAATGTTAATTTAATTCCAAAAAACTCTCCAACACCTTTTCATTTCCTTTACAATGTGTCCGCCATGCAACTTAAGACCGTGTAGAAGTTACATGCCATCTAAAGTTGCTTTAATAAAAAAAACTTCCCTGGAATGGCATAACCCATTCAGTTCCATTACTGTGCTTGTTGGAGACAATACTAAACGTCTATTGAGATTCCTGTATTAATCATTTTACAAAATCCCTAGATGCATTATATCCAACGTTAGACACGTTGAATCCACAGTAAAGTTCTACCATGAATCTTCATGCAATTGTGCAAAAATATACTACCAATGTCACACCGAGCAGAATAATTATTTAAGTGGTTTAACATAAATGTTATTAAAAACGTACTTAACTCTGAGATCAAATGGAATGTTAAAGTGTATATGAATAATGATTCCAAATTTGAACAGCTCCAAAAGACACTCGGGAAATTAAATTGCCTTTTTATCTGAAACTACATACCATATTGCCTTCCTTGTGGGATAGCTTATTCTCATATAAACAGTTGAGGATGCATTCAGAATATTTTTTTATGTCATTATTTAAGTATGCATGATTATGAGCCCAGAAGAAGTATGCCAAACTTAACATTTAAAAACGCTGGCTTGTTATACTTTCAATCGGAATAGTGAATCTGAACGGCAAGGTTAATGTTTGAGCAATAAAACTTTTATTAAGGAGTTACCATTCCAAAAAAATATGGGTCAGAGACAATTGCTTCCCCAACAAGAGAAATGTGGTTGGAGCCTGAATATACCTCGATAAATCTACGCTTAAAAATTATATGGTACGATTACATTCCAAACACTTGTTTTGTCTGTTAGCCAAAATACCCTTTTTACCCATTTGTAAATAAGAAAGCAACTCAATTATGGTGCATTAAATCGCACACGATGAAAATAAATCGGCAGTACAGCCTTCCAACCCGAGTTCGGGTTTTACTGCGTGTTGTTCCGCATTCGTGTCCAACGTTTTGTTCCACATACTGGGACCTTTTCAGTTCAGCACTTCAGCGAAACATTTGACATCGTGCCAAACAAAACTCGGTAACAACCCGAAAACGGATTTGTAGCTGTACAGCAAAGCCATGAAGACCAAACAAAGTAAATCTACAGTATTCATACCTCACTCGGTGTAAACAAAACACACATGCCGTGCTGGTAGAAGTTTGGGGATATTTTACACAATGCCTAACGCGGGAAAATGAGTGCGCTATACAAGTACATTATACAGCCACCATCAAAAAGATCTCGGCTGAAGTGCAATATGGGTACAAATAAAAAAATGTTAATCGTTAAAAAAAGAAGTACTTGTGGAAAGTTGCACGATTTCAAAACGTCAAAACCTCCCGGTGAGAAGAGCACGTGTGTATCTGAATCAAGTACTGGTACAACAAGCCTTGGCAGCCACAGATGTCTTCTTGCCAAATCATTCCCAACTCCAAACTCTTTACTCGGAAGCAAAACGTGAATTTCCCTATTATGCATCCAAGCGTTTAACTGTTATCGTCCACAGATCCCAATGCAAGCGATGATGTCAATATTCGGTAGACAAACACACGAATGGTAAGTTCTAAATTAAAACAGCCACCACAAACAGAGCAGACAAAATGTATTGTACGCCAGAAACATTTACTACATTACACACTAGGAATGGTTGTTTTAAATATTAAAATGGAATGTACATTGTTAACGGAAAATATGAATGTTCAAGTTTTGGTATGAAATCGCAATGAGGTAACGTTGACACACGATGACTGTTGATGGCTTGGATGGATTTGTGTTAAAAAAAGATTGGGTGATGTACACTCCTCCGCTAATTGAGTGTCCGTGTTACACGTCTACTCAATGACGGTGTCAAACTGTAGCTCAAGACACCTTACTGACTCTTATTAATTAAAGTGTCAAAACAAGCGTCAAATACCAAACCTACACAAATGAAAGTCCGCTGTTGCTATCTTTTATCGCTGAGATACAGCAACAAGAATGTCGATGTTGCCCGTTTCCACAAAATATAATTGACCATGTAATTAGCTTGACACGGCTTTTAGGTTTTATAGCTACAATGACCTCAATTCTGGGTCAATTTGTCCAAGGCATTTAATGATAACTGTGTGCAACAATCATTAACTTCACCGTCCACGCGGCTACACACACACACACAAATACAGCATCGTTCTCCTACCACAACGGTCATTCTTCACATTTCAGTCATGGCATGCAGTTGGCCCTTATCATACACAGAGGATGCCACAACGAGATCCCATTCATGTCCACTGCTGACTCCGAGGCACCCAGCTGAAATCAGTCCTTGAACGAAAATGCAGTTCTACTCCACAGTGTAAACTCTATTCCCTCACATTTAAGCAAACTTGCTTGCCGGTAAGTAAAATAGGTGCGCCTAATCATCGTACGGGTGAACAAAGCTCGCTCTGGCAAGCGAGGTGGGCGGCCAGGAGACGGGTGGCACTGGCTCATCTCTTGCGCACCACCCCTTGACATCACAGGAGCAGCAGACACATCATATCTGTAAACTCACCAAGTGTATAAGTGCTGCCACATGAAAGCCCATTTATTACATTTCATGACAACTCGGCTCGCACCTCGATGCAAAAAGCCAAATTGATCACGCAAACAATTCCTCTATGCAGCATTGAGCCAATGTGAGCACACGTCTTCCCACCGGCTACTATTACCGAGGGTGTATCCCTGACCAGCAGGACACAAACATTTTAAGTAAAGCCATCGGTCTACACTACATGCAAGAAAATATAGCCAACCATAGAAAACATATCCAACTGTGTGTCCATAGCTAGTGGTGCTGGTGTTGAATCGCATTTAGCCGTTGTGTTTTGAATGAGACTGCGTCATTTATAGCTGGTGAATACCCGTCAACGTACTCTGCTGCGTTTCACATTATATACATGACAAATTATCTGTACGCTGGTCAATAGGGATAATTCAGTATGGAGAACCAAAACCTTGAACATTTTACTTGGGCCATGGTGAATGCAAGCTACAAAATATAACACAATTTAAAAAAATACCCAGTCTGATCGAATAAAAGATCTGGTGGGAGGGTTAACGAGTCCGGCACAATGAGTGCAAACGCCCTTTGAGAGGCACTCGCCTCTGCTCGTGTGTACATAACATCTGTAATACAATAATACGCAATATTCCCTACTCCCTGTGTCCAGCTGCGGGGCTCTGCGCGTGTGTGCCGCTCTGCCCGATACCGCGCCACATCCTCGCCGGTAGCGCGTAGGCTTGCCAACCGCCGCTGCCTCTGCCGCACCGGCTTCAGCAGGACACGCGGGGCGCGGGAGCTGCCGGGCCCCCGCTCGTCGACAGGTACTTGTGCACAATGTGGTCGGCGTAGCCCTCTTCCTCGGGCGTCAGATGGGTCGGCGGCGAGCCTGCGCACACACACACACACGCTGTTAGCGAGCAGCGCCTATACAGTGCTGACACGGCACGCGAGGGGGTGGGTGGCCAGCACCTCGCCCGGTCGCCTTTGTCTCCCCAGTGTTGATGTTTACACACTGTACTAGGTACTCATTTGAGGCCGAGTCGACCTCGGGGAGGCCCAGGACCGATTCAGAAAATCGTCACTGGTGTTGGCCGTGAGCGGGAATCGAACTCGGGTCGTTGGGTCTGTCGCAAAGCGTGCCAACTGCTGCACTGCCGCTCCCCACTCACCAGCACACCCTCCCACTATTTCACAAACGTGCGATGCGTGGAGCACTTAAAATATTTTTTCAGAATTTGAATCTATATTTATCCTGGAGGAATCCAATGAGCTATAAAGGTCTTTTTCGCAATGTCCAATAGGGGCGGGTCAGAAAGTTACAACAAAAACGATAAAAAAACAATCGGAGTGCAAAGTATAGGAAAGGTAAGCAAATCACTCTAAATAAACTAAAACGAAACTATTTTTTATTTTACTTGGATGCGCCCTCAGCATGCAGCATGTTTCTGTAATCGTGCGACGCGAGCGTGTCACGACTTGCCTTGCTGCTGCACGTAGCGCAGGAACGAACGCCTACCCGGCATATCTTCTCCTTCTACCTGCAGAGCGGGGGCGACGGTTAGGGCACGGGTAAGCTCACAGCGACGTTGCTCTCCTGTCCCCATATGCCCCGTGATGTGACGTGCGATTGCTCAACATTCTCTACTGAGTGGAGGCATGTTTGCGTGCAGTGTGAGCCAATTAACACTAAAGATGCCACGTAGTTTCTTCCAATTACATAATAATTTTAGTACATTTGCGTTCGGGGGTAGGTGTACGTGCATAATTATATGATCGTATGTGCATGCATGTGTGTCTCTGTGGGTTTGTGTGTGTGTGTACATATGCAAGCGTTAAGATACCATGATGCTGTTGGGCTGCCCTGAGTTGTGCGGATCCACATCCTTATCTTCAGCCAATCGCTCGCCGCAGCTGTTCAGCACTTCCCTGCACCAGAGTTAATTTTACAACAATGCACACCGACAACGAAGTAAAGCATCACGACGACAAAAAGACAAGCGGGAGCACTTACTGAAGAGCAAGCGAGCCGGGCTGCCCGTACGTCGTCGCATTCCCCCGAGCGTCTCCCTGCTGCTCGTCATCCGAGAGGCCAGAGGGCGCTCGCTCCACCGAGGTCACCAGCGACAGCCAGTCGTCGTCCCGGGGCGGCCGCGTGCCACTCTCCTCCCTCTTCCGCCACCGCTTGCGCGAGCCGCTCACTTGCGGCGCTGGCCTCTCTCCCGATGGCGGCGGCGGCGGGGAGTGGGACAGACGGTCGTGGCGCAGGCAGGCCGACGGAGTGGCCAGGGAGCCGGACACCGGGTAAGGCAGCTGCTCGGACAACGGGTCGGACGCGGAAGCCGAGCCCGGGGACGGAGGACTTGTTGGCGGACGGAGAGCGCCGAGCGGAGAGCGGACCGACGTCGGGGCGGGAAGCCTGCCACGATGACGGCGCAGAAAGCGGGCGGGACGGGGAGCCAGAGCGCAAGCGGGCGACGGGAGCGCTGCGGATGGACGCGTGCCCGTCGTCCGACGCGCCCAGTTCGCTGGACGAGCTGTGGCAGCGATGAGTCGCGTCGGCCAAACGTCTCAGCCGAGCACACTGCTCCTCCAAGTGGCTTCGCTCTGGCGAAAGTGAGGGCGCAGTAGATAAAAGGCAAAGGTGATTTAATAATACAATTATAAAAAATAGATACTTAATGTTCAGTTTGTTGTAAAGTGGGACAATATTTGAGACAATCGAATTATCCTTTGTCGTGCCACGCCCGATACCTGCAAGAAGGTGGCCGAAAAGACGCAGCGGAGGCTTTAAGGAGCAGAGTAAGGTGGGAGGCAGAAGAAAGCAGAGCAAGCAGTAGAGAGAAGGGAAGGCGTCCGGAATGGCTCAAGCAGGAACCAGAGGACCAGCCAACACTTCAGAGAGAAGAAAAAGGACAAAACAGCCAAGATTTACGCCAGAACCATCAACCATAAAGTGATAAAAGGGAACCTTTGCATGCAAAGCGACCATACTAACACGAGCCACTTGGGTGTTTTTCCACTGCAGAAGGCGAGCCGTGTCACTGACGTCACGCGCAGTGAACGACTCGAGATGCAAGCAGAAGGCACGGTGGCACTGCGTCCTCCGCGTGTACGGAATGACATCACACGGACTAAATGCATAATTATCACTGGCCCCTGCCCTTGCTTGGCCGAGCAAGAATCGGATGTCTTGCGAGGCCAGCGTATCAGAGTTTGGTTCTGGTTACGTCAACTAGCCAGTAGAAAAGCACCCGCAAGGGGAAGGCCTTGCGCTGGCCCGGCTCGGGTGTGTCAGTGCAGTGGAAAAGGGGTGAGAAAGGCGACGGAGACGAGGCCCGCGTGCATCACGCGCGTACCGCTGTCGTCCTCGCTGGCCGTGGCGCGCGCGCCGCTGCCCAGGCCGTGCGAACCGACGCGCGCCGCGTACTCCACGTCCGAGAGGAGCTCGGCGACGGACAGCGGCAGCGACGGCGGGTCCGGGCGCCGGCTCAGCTCGGCCAAGCGCTGGCCCACGCGCTCGCTCAGGCTGAGGTAGTCCCTGGGGAACAGAGCGGAGCCAAGGCGACGCGCGTCAGCGGCGGTTGTGTTTTGAACCACGTGTGGTGGTGGTGGTGGTGTACGTAATCAGCTGCTGTGGAGGTGGGAGGAAGGTGTGGGGGAGGTGCTGTCTCAAGCAGGGATAAGTGTGGATAACCTCTCTATTTCACGATGCTAGATTGCAGACGCAGGGTAACGCGCACTGCACTTTGAGCATGACACCGACAGCAATTTCATTCAGACGCTGTCGCCTCGACAGACCTGGTTTCACCTGAGGACGGCTGCTTGCGTTGTAGCCGAAACGTCGTGAGAATTATTTTATTATGTTTTATTTTTATTATTTTATTACTTCCCTTCTACGTGACTTTACCGAAAGAACCAAGACGAGCAATTGGGGATACATTTTATGCCAGAAGTTTGAAAATTGTTAGTGATGTGAACAATTAAGGTGCCATATTTTAAGACTATCAAGTCATTATTGAATTCACAAAGAATTAAAATACAAGTGTCTCAAGACCATACACATAGTAACCACGTAAAAAAAAACAATAATAAAACATCAGAAACATTAGTTGGGCAAGTCATGTTGCAGCGCGACAGCAGGCACAAGCCGCTGTCTCAAACACCACAGCCCTCTCACGAATAAATGCCTGGACTCTAATGTGCACACATCTTACAACAGACACATAGTAACAACGACTCGCATTTACTCCCCTACCTGTGCAGTGTCTTCATCTCGAGCTGCAGAAGGTCGCGCTCTTTCTCAACCGTGTGCAGGCACTCGGTGAGAAGCCCCCGCTCCTCGGCCCAGCGCCGCACTCCGGCCTCCAGGGCCGCGTGCGCCCGCTCGCTATCGCGCAGGCGCTGCACTCCGGAGCCTGCCGACGAGAGCCGGTCCGCGCGGGAGCGAGACGAGCCATCCTCGCTCTCGTCCGGGTCCTCCAGGGCCGCCCCCCGCCGCGACTCGTGGACCCTCAGCGCCGCCTCCAGGGCCCGGTTCCTTTCGACGAGCGCCGCTCTCTCGCTCCTCCACTCCGCCTCTGCGTCACCGCTCCCGTTCGGATTTGACAGCCGTGACGACGGTTTCAAGGCCTCGAGCTCGGCGCGCTGCTGCGCGACGATCGTCTCCAACCTGCTCTTGTCCCTCGCCAAGTCGTGCATCTCCTCCTTCCAGTCGCTCGCGTAGCTGTCGTCCGAGATTTGCCGGATGGCTTTTGAACGCTCGAGGTCAGCCTGCAAGCTTTCCAGCTCTCTTCTCTGCTTGGACACCAGCTCTTCCATGAACTGCTTTTCGCTTTCCAATCGGACGTTCTCCTCGGCCACTTGCATTTCACTCGGAGGCGTGCTCCTGCCCGCCTCGCCTCGCTGAAGCCGAATTCGCACGCCCTTCAGCTCCTCCCTCAGCCGCATTGCCGAACTCTCCAGTTTGCGCTTATCCTCAAACGACCGTGCCCTCTCTTCGGTCAGAATCTTCACGTCCTTCTTCAACAGATCCACCTCCTGCTGCGCCAGCTCCTTCTCGGCCTTCTTCACGCTGAAGCTCATCTCCAGGCGCCGTGTCTCGCTCCTCAGGCCCTCAAGGAGGTCCAAAAAGGTCTGGCGGTCCTGCATGTTCTGCCTCCTCTCGCTCTCCAGCGCCTTGGCGTGCGCACGAAGGTCCTCAAACCTGTGAAGCAATGCCTTGAGCTCCTCGAGGTAGGCCCTGTTCAGCTTTTCCGTCTTCGCTAAATGGACCCTGACGCTCCGCAAGTCCTGCTCCAGTCTCAGAGTCTTCCTCAGCAACTCCGCGTGCTCGCCCTGCATGGCTTGCAGGATCTGGTCCTTCTCCACCACCACGTGGCCCAGAGCCTTATTCTCCGTGTCCAGTGAAGTCAACTTTTGCGCGAGGTAATTGCGGGAGTCCTCGAGCCGTTCCACGTCGCTTTTGTTCCGCAAAAGCTCGCACCTCATCAGGCTCAGCTCGTCTTCCTTCGTCCTTTCCACCTCGTCGACGCGCTTCTTCACCATGTACAGCAACTCCTCCCTCTCCCTCCTCAATTCCTTGACCTGCTCCACAAGGCTCGTCACGAGCGTGTCGCCTGCAACAATGCCGCTGTCGTCGGCCCTCTCCTGTGTAACGTCGCCCCTCTTGCTCATGCTCAGCGGCCGCAACCCTCGCCCTTCAAACACACGGCCCAATCGGAGTTCGTCCGCATGATTCTCAGACGTGGAATGCTGCTGCCCCCCGTCACCGCGCTGGAGCTGCACCTTCACGTTCGCCCCTTCCAGTGACATCACCGATTTCTTAAGCCTGTCCACCGTCTCTTCCAGCTCCGAGATCCTCAGCAGCTTCTTGTCCCCGAGGCTCCGCCGCGGCCTCACCGGGCGGCCCTCGTCCTCGGCATCGTCCGCGGCTTCGTCGCTCTCGCCGACGCTCCCGCTCCCGCTCCCGCTCCCGAAGCCCCTGAGCTTCTGCACTTCCTGCACGAGCAGCAGCTCTCGCAGCTGCGACTTCTCCAACTCGTGGCGGAGGAACGTGCCCAGCAGGCCGATGCGCTCCAGCGCTGCCCACAGATCGTCCGTCGCCTCGCCCCCTTCGGCGCCGGCGGCCTCCAGGGGTCCGCGGTCCCCCGCCACCTCCACTGCCGCCACCGAGTCGCCGCTCAGTTGACGCGCAGTCGCACTCCTCCGAGGAGGTGGCGGCGCCGCCGCGGGACGAAGGGCGCGACGATGTCTTGACGCCGCCCTCGGCCACCCCGGAGAGATCGTCTGTGAGCAGACACAGGCTCATCCTGTCTACGAGCCGGCTCACGTTATCCGAAACGCTGAAGCTCTGAGCCGTGCTCTCGCCCGGTATTTTGTCCGCCTCTGTGGTCTTGCCCGCCTTCAAAAACAAAAAACAACACGCAACAGTAAAGACGTGCTCACTCATTGTCAAGGCATTTTCTTTACTCCAGATAAAATGTCTTCCATATTAAGTTAAAATATACAAATGCTTTAGGTTACACTTGTTTTAATACAATCTACAACCGAACCTGTTGCTTTCAATGTAATTATATATTACTGAACATAAAGGAGAACTTTTGTACATGGCAATATGGGAACCAATATCGCAGATCCTATTATCTGCAGGGTTGTCTGGAATGACAGTAATCTTACCCACTTGCTAAATATTGCGGACAACCCTGTGGATAATGGGATAAATTTGCCTCACGACTCCTCTTATCAGCAGCACTTTAAAGATAAGTTTCTGTAATCTCCGGGCGAGCAGAGATGGCGTGTACAGAGACGTACTTATAATGACACAGACAGACGTGGAGACAGACACACAGTACATTAATCTCTCTCAACTCGTGTACTGTACGTGTTACTTGTCCCTCTCAGTTTCTCCGTCTGTCTTTATGTGCACGTCTCCGTGTTTGTCTCCGTCTCCCCGTTTCTGTGCATGTTCGTGTCTCAGAGTAGGTCTGCCGTCTCTTTGTGCCTCCCCATCTTTGTTTTTGTCGTCGTTTTGTGTGCGACGCTTTGTTTGTCTGTCTTTCAGTCTCCGAGTATGTGGGTCCCCCTGTCCTTATGTCTCCGTGTCTATGTGTGTCTGTATTGTCTCGTGATCACAACGAGAGTCAGCTGTGCACTTGCTTTATTCAAGGCACATTTTCAAATCATGGATAATCAGCTGATAGAGTAATGTGTCGCACAACTTCTCTTATCCATGAAAAACTCACGAGAATTAGGAAGCTGCTTTGCTATGCATTATGGGTAGGAATAGGGGCGAGGGAAAATAGGATCATAATAATAATAACAGTTTCTAGGAACCTTACAGCTGCAGCAGATAATAGGGGTCAGGAGTAATAGCACCACATACAATAAGAGTTATGTTATTTAAATCGCGTGTGTAAGAATAGATTACTTATTTGTGCAGATTGTAGGTAAATTATATGCAAAATGTTACCCGATGAAAAGAAATAGGTGGAACAACACGATGCAGAGACAACACAATAGACAAAAAGTGGAAGGAGCGAGGGGAAAGAAACGAATTCGTTGGTAGGACAATGCAAAACTCTCCATCTAAATGATGAAGATCACAAACGGTGAACATCAACTCCCAGTTACGACGATCATACTCGGTAAACTGGCCAGGTGGCTCAGCGGTCGAACAAGCGGCTTGCAGTTGGAAATTCGTGGGTCGACTCGACCCATCGCCCTTTCGGGGTCGATAAAATTAGTACCACTGTCGGGAATTCAACAGTGGTTGTCGTATGCATACTCACCCCCGCCATATGAATGTGGAGTTGCCACTGCTGGCTCAGGGCTGTGCAAAGGCACCGAACGCGCGAGCAAGGAAATAACGTTTTGATGCCTTCCACCAAAAACACAGAAGAGTTGCCCCTGTATCATTTTACGCCTAGGGTGGGCCGCACGAGTAAAGCGCGGGGCCTTACCGAGGGCAGCAGGGTGCTGCTGAACGCAGGCTGCTGCTGGCTCCTCCTGTGCCCAGGGACGCTCTGGGGACTGTCGTCGTTCAGGCCCTCGCTCAATAACTCGCCGATCTCCACTTGCACCTGTGCCCCCGTTCACAAAACACACGAACCTTCACGAGCCGAACTACGCAGAAACACCGCAGGAACAATTCTTCCATTCCCCAAATCGCATTGCGACATCGACTGCTGGGAGCGCGCACCGATTTGCGCTCGACACCGAAATGCAGCAGCAGAATTAGAATGTGCCTTGGAGAGAATTCCAACAGCTGAAGCCAGGAATAACGGCCATCTGTGCAACGTAATCTCCAGTGTCATTTGCGAATAGTTTGTTCAACTTATAGCACCGTACTTACATCTGCAGGCATAAATAAATTAACACATGTGACAAGCCTTCATACATTTAAATGTAGTTGAGCTATGTTCGAAGTCATTTGTGAACCCACTGCTGGATAACAGCTTCTCCACATCATGTGGACTTATGATGGGGGTTAATTGACCATACTTCACCACGCTGGTCAGTGTGAATAGGTAGCAGATGTGAGAGCATGTCGATATAGTACAAAAATGCATGTTTCTGCACTGCCCTCTGTCGTCAACCACATAACCCTACATCACGATGACAACTTGTTTGTGCAAGACGGTCACCAATCCAATGACTATCCAGGCTCACCCTGCTTATCTTACAATCTCCGATGAGATCGGGCACATTCCAGGTGACTTGCTCGCAGCCTTCTATCCATTAAGTTCTACCCATTACTGTTGTCCAGACAAAAAATGTAAATTAGTTGTTGCACACTGTGGAATAAACAACAGCATGACCTGAAAGTTGAAGGACATGATAGGACATTGTGAAGAATGAATGGATACAGACACAAATGCTTGCATGCAGGTGTGAAGGGGCTACCAGGGAGATGTGATGGAGGGTTTGTTCCCGGAGCTCCTCAAAGGACCTCAGCTGATGCTGCAGAGTCTACGCACAGCAACGCACACCAACACCGTCACAGTGTTTAGAGACACACCGATTCTACAGCAGACACACAGCACTGCAGATGATGTCGTGTATGGAAGTAACAATACTACTGACCTTAGTTCTCAGGCGAGGTAGTTAACATCTCGCCATGGTAGCGAGATGTTAACCCGACGGGTATACAGGAGGTCGTGGAATTCCATTCCGACCATGACGCTTGCATATTTTGAGTTTGCATCTCTCTCTTCCCGTGGTCGCGTGAATATTTATCCGGGTCCTTAGGTTTTTCACTCCACATTTAAAATCAACGTCACGCATTTAGAGTATTTGGCTGCTATAAATGTCCACGTAATAATCCACTTTGTGGAGCTATCATTTGTGCCCCGGTCACTTCTGAAAAAGAGCTATACAGCTCAGTGGGCCTTAACTGCTAAATAAAAAGAGTTCAGTAGTTTAGTTTCAATAAATAGGCAATAGTGATTCCATGCAACGGCAATGTGTGTGTGCAAATGTACCCATCAGTGCGTTGCGTCACACAACTGTACGAGGTAAACTACTTGCCTATTGCACATAAAACATTTATTGTATCCAAAAGGAATTAACATAAAACCATCGGTGGACATGTGATGCAAACCAAGGCATAGTTGCATGCAATGTATGTATCTATTGGCTAAGGAGACAAGGAGTCTGGGTGCTACTAGGGGTTTATTGTTGTACCAAAGTACACATGATGACCATTGTACCTCGAGATACAAGTTAGAAGGTCGTTCAGAATATTCGAAGCCTAATATTGAAGCAAATACAACAGACCATTGGGCTTTTTACAGTCCATGCTGAGTCCACTCAAACAACCAGGGTGAAATATTCTACGTTGCTTTGTTCCTTATTTATGTTCAAGCTATCAAGAGTTAAACCATAAATGGATGGTGAAAATTTTAAAAAAACGTCGTGGCCGCCTCAATTTTTTAGCGCTTGAGAATGCCGAATTGAAGGGTTTTATTTTACGAACACACATCGAGAATGCGCCATCATCTTTTTTGATGAGGTGCAATTGTCAACAATAGCCATATCAGACATTAGTACGTCTAATCAGCATAATAATTGGTTCACTGCAGCTCAAACACTTAGTCCTACAAGGCTTGCGGTGAATTTTGTAGATAGCCATGTACTAAGCATTTGAAGGCCTGAAAACCAGAATCAGTAAGTTTGCCTACAATGTGTTCAGGGAGGCAGTTCCATAGCCGGACAGCAGAATGAAGGGAGCTTTTGTCCAGGGAGCAATGTTCTGGCAACTGGGGGGGGAGGGGAAGGGCATTACAAGATGTGCTACAGAATGATGTCGTAGCAGGAAGACTCTTGAAGTTGAGTTTGGCTAAGGGCGGCCTGGGACTGCGATGAAGAGAACATGAAAGCTATATTCTTAGGTTTTTTCGGTAAAGTCACGTATGTTACTTTACCGAAAAAACCTAAGAATATGAATCCTTGCAGTCACGAAAGCTTCAAATCTAGAACATGAAAGCTGTGCGAGACGTGGTTTTTGGAAGACAGCCATGGCACGGTTCGCCGACACCTCGTGGACAGAATATTACTTGATCATTTGGGAATTAACAAATTGCGTGTGCATGTTGCGTCCCCCCGTGCTGTGCCTGATATGTTCTCCTGACAATATGGACCTGATGAAAGCAAGCTGGAACAAGTTGAAGAGGCATATTATTAACAGTGATGAGAACTGGATTTATGTGGTTATTATTGGTGTTTAAAAATACAAGTCTCCCTTCCAAGTACTAACAGGCATAAATGTAGAAAAATCACACAGGCTCTCTTCCAAGGACTAAGATCAATAAAGATTGAACGCATTTAAGGCGTTTGGTCCCAAAATACTAAGCTTGCACCTCTGATTAGCATGGTTGGCTACGTACGGTGCGAAACAAGCAAAAGGAGATCACTGCCCAGAAACAATACAGATTTGGGATAAACTGGGGTGAAATGGGGTGTCCTGGACAATGTGGCTCCCACACAGCAGAGCTGACGGAGGGAACTGCATCGAGACGGTAAGGGAGAAGCACTTACTGTGATGGTGCACTGTGAGCGAGCCTGCTGGTCCAAAAGCGTCTCCAGAGGTGAATCTGAAATAACACAATGAAAATAACTCTCTGGTTCTTTCGGTAAAGTCACGTAGATAGAAAATTAATAGATCACAATGTTTCCATCGCAACACAAGCGACCGTCTTCAGGCGAGAGAGAAAAAGCCAGCATCGAAAAGTCGCGATCTATTCATTTCTATCTACACGTGTTTACAGAAAGAACCCAAGAGTATGGATGCCTGCAGTCACGAAAGCTTCAAATCAACACAATGAAAGCCAAAACTGATACTACTGTACTCGTGCCAAATTAGTAACCGCTTTGTGGATGTAGACTAATCAGCTTTGGATTAACTGGAAAAAATATATTCTTGCACGCACAATTCTACGTGCATATCTTGAGCATAATAATCTATTTGGTGGGACAATTCACCCTCTTGCAATTCAAAGAACTGTCATGATTCAGTGTAATTGTTTGAGTCAATCTATTATTTAATTTATCACAGGTGTTGCTAATGACCAGTGGGGTCATGTTAAGCCACGACAACACAAGATGGACAAACTGTCAGGAATGAGGGTCGCCACGGTGGTGAGATGTTAACGACCTCGCCTGATATGCAAGATAGTCGTGGGTTCGACCCTGTCGCCTCTATATTTGGAGTTTGCATGATCTCCCATTGGTCACGTGGATTTTTCACTGCGTTTTCCCCACCGCATTTAGAAACACGCATTGAAAGTATTTGTCTGATATAAATTTCCACATTATAAGCCACTTTATCGAGTAATCACTTGTGGCTAGGTCGCTTCTGAAAAAAAAGCTGTACAGCTCAGTGGGCTTTACCTTGCAAAAGTAAACAAATCAAAAAGTACCTGGGTCCCAGTCTCGATCGATGACGGGCGTGCTCATGACGTGCGCCTCTCCGACTGCTGCTCTCGGAATACCATCCTGCGTAGAGACGACAACGTTCGCTCTGGATCACATTATGCAGCGGCTCCAAAAGCCCTCCCAAGTGGCACTACTTTCGTGTTTACGATATTCCCTATGCCGAAGACACAGCAAGGAAAGTTTTACAACAACGACAGCTCCAGTATTCAGCTTCCTTTCTTCATTATTGTAGAACAAGGCGTTTATTATTGCCAAGGGGCTATGTTTTGTGATGTGTTGCACTTTGTAATGTTCCACAGTTGTGGGAACTGGTACCAGAGTGGGGGAAAAACAAAGGTCCCACTCATTGATTCTATTTATTGAAACGTTTGTCCTTCAAGTTAACCTGCATACTACACTGCAGAAAATTGGACAAAGACATAGAATAGTTTTATTAAGTTTCCCTGTACAAACAATGCACCGAATGTATCTGCAAGGCTTGGTTACACAACTGTACTTATACACTTTCCTATGAAAGCAGCATCACTTTGAGCAGCAAACCCTTTTCTTACAGAGGTCAGTTATTCATAACAGACCCTTCTGTCTACACAAACATGTGATGCTGCCACAAAGTCAAGCTGCAAGGCAAAGCCCTGAAAACTGGGCTGCAAGCAGTTTGAAAATGAAATGGTCAGCATGTTTCTCTGCAGCATGAAAATACAGCTTCAACATTTATCTAAGGCATGTATAACAAGTCAGGTTGAAATTGATAATGTTCACAACTCATTAATTATTTATTTCGCACCTTTGATCAGCACTACTGGCTACGTACGGTGCGAAAGAAGTTCAACATAAATACATACGTACAAATGGAGTGCATATCATCATCATCAATCAAAACCAATTGACATGCTGGATGAAGACCTTCCCAAGCCATCGCATCCCCATGGTCCCACAATGCAACAATCAATCGAGCACCTGCACACGAGTTCATCTCATTGCTCCATCCCCTTGGTGGGTGGCGTTCTCGAGGACACATTTCATCCGCTTGCTGCCACTACATTGTCATTTTTGACTAACAGCCAATGCACATGCTTAGCGCTTCATAATAATGCTAAAAAATAGGGCTCACCTTTAGCACACTATTGCCATTCCGTGTGCTGGCTTTTTTCTCAACAGCATGGAGGTGGTAATACAAGTAGCTTGCAGTGACGGATAAATATCGTTTGCGAGCCATTTTAAAGTGGTAGTCCTCATGGGACCATGGGCCGTATTTAATTGTCATGGGCCATATCTAGCCCACATGTCACAGGTTCTCTCCCTACCCAGTTTTACGGTTAAAGTTTGGACCATAACACAAAGATAGGGATAGCACTTTGAAAATGGAGAAATTGTGGTTCTCTGTAACAAAAACAAGCCCTAGGTGCAAAAAAGCAAAGTTGTTTTTAGATGGTGGAATTTTCAGATGTCACATGTATAGAAATAAATATGGCCCTTCAAAGCATGAATTCGTGCATCTAAGAATCAATAATTTATAATATATACATTAATTATATGATAATGCATATTTAGGCAAAATGAAATTCATGATAAAGACCAAACACGTTTAAACTAATGTGATAGACGGTACAAATGAGGACATAAAACAAAACGAATGTGTTCTTGAATTCAATCACTACCCCAATTCACAATCATTAATAACAATGGAGAGGGGGTGAAGTTTATAATGGGGAAATATATATAGTAAAAATTAATTATGACCTGTAATAAAATTGGTTGTAAAGCTATTGCACAAATATACTAAATGCTCAACAACTGCTGCATGCAGCACAGTATTCAGGGCAGCTTAACCCACACAAGGTCAAAAGACACCAAAATCCTGAAAGGAATGCATCGCAAACTCATGGTAGTGATGCCCATGAGTTGATTTTGCTTCAATAAGAACTTGAATACATGGTGGATATGTGACTGCAACAGACCTGAAAAAAACTATTAAGCAGCGCAGTATATGGACTGCCTGAACACACACGTTTTGTAGATACCCCTAAGTATTTCTAATTTCTATTTATCCTGGAAGCAACTGATTAACTCATAGCGTGAAGATGATCTTAATGGTGCATTTTTGGGATTTCATATCAGTTAGGGTTATTGATACTGTACTTTATTGCCACCGTGATTGCCACAGTGGCGAGATGTTATCTCCCTCGCCTGGTATGCAGGAGGTCGAGGGTTCAATTCTGACCCTGACAATGTCTGTATATCTGGAGCTTCCACGTTCTCCCGGTGGTCGCGTAGATTTTCTCCGGGTCCTCCGGTTTTTCCCTCCACATTTAGAAACATGCCTTTAGAGTATTTGGCTGCTATACATTTCCACGTAATTAGCCACTTCGTTGAGCTATCAATTATGGCCAGGTCGCTTCTAAAAAGATCTATACAGCTCAGTGGGCCTTACCTGGTCAAATAAAAAGTTCAGTTTTATAGTTTGCAGCTAAAATAAGCCATCGTACCAAGTCACAACTCGTCACACAACATGGGTTGATGGAGCAGTCGCTCCAACACGCAGGGAATCATCCCACAATTAGATGTCAACTTGCTTAGGAGGCGCCGTCTCACTAGCGCAGCAATGTAACGCAGTTGTTTTTTGTACGTTCACCGTAATTAGTGTACGTTTAACTTCTTTACCAACATACGTAGCCAACCGTGCTCATCGGAGGAGCGAATGGATAATGAATGGCGTGCAATCCCCACGGTATCTTAACGTCACCTAGATATTCACCTTTGCACACTCTCTAGTATTCATTAACTATTGATTTGGAACTTGCAGATGACAGTGAGGCAGCAGTTGCAGAGCTGTGCTCTGTCCAGGGCAGGTCATGGCGCTCTCAAAAAACGCAAACATGCAGTTTGTAAAAGGCAGTTTTTTTGCATTTCTCATCATACTTGAACTACTTTTAGCTCCATTGGAACCTTCATTTGCCAGTAATGAGGTTCCAATGGTGTAAATGCTTTACCCGAGCTCTCATACTCTGATGGTGCATTGTCCTTGAGTTGTGCGCCTTTTGACGTCATCTGGTCCAACAGCATGTGAGACTGGGCTCTAAAGAAAGCTGTCTCGGGTGTGGACCAATCAATTTCAAGGACAGTGCATACATTATCAGAGTTATGTTTTTTTTTGCATTTCGACTGCAAGTATTGTGGTCAATGCAAACATGACTCCTTGTAAAAAAGGTGTCAGTTTTGTTGCCAGATAAAAGGGTAAAAAAACAATTATCACTACTTTTAGCTTTCAAGTAATAAATAGAACGATGCACAAAAACATTTACAATAAATAGTTGTATGATGGTATGATGGTAATTGCTGGCTGACATCCTCAGAACCAAGACAACTCCCTGGCTGAAGGGGCAAAGCATAAACCGGATCAAAAACTTGACTGTGAAGGTCAAACTTCAACTCACAAATGTCTAATATTTACACACAGATCACCAAGTGAGTCAGATTCATGGCGTCATAATCAACTTAAGGCAGTAGTCTCATAAAAGCACGTTTCAAGCAGAGCTCTAAATCTAGATCTAAATGGTGTGTCGACGCAGGCAAGAGTGCGCGAAGCTGTTATTTTTGCATCTAGCCCATGTAATGGCAACGCGCCTGTTGCATATCCAAACTACAACCATTCTATGCGCATATCTTAACTGCTGTCACCTATGCAAAGTACCTGTACTCGACTGCCTGAAGCAGGGCGTGGTGGGTGGCACCCATCTGTATGGTCACAACGGTGCAGGACACTGAAAATGGGAACTGGACTCGTAGCAGCAATATTCAAGCAACACAATGTCGCATCTATAGTCATTAAGACTGTTTACATTAAAACTGAAGAGGCCAAGACATTTGTGTCGTTGTTTGACTTGAAATTAATCCGGAAAATGTATATTGTTATCACAATTTAACATTTTAAGAACTAACATTTTATAAATAAAAATGCAATTGTTTTGGCATATGCTTTGGAGCATTTCCTATCGACAACAGAACTTGAGCAAGATCTGGATAAGAATACATTGCTTAAACTGCATAGTCCAGACTGACATGGCTGGGCAGTGTTACCACTACATGCACAAGGCTGTATCAAATCTAATCACTTATTTAGTGTTTACATGCTGGGTGAACACCAATGAGTACACGTATCTAATTTGAAGGAGCACTCATTGATGCTAGCTTTACACGGAGGATTAAATTACTCAATCTCTATCTTAGTGGCGAATTGCGTTTGCTAGAATTACACATACACGAAAACTAGACAATTTGCTTATGCATGAATGTATAACAATTATATTAAAACACCTGATTCAGACATTGTGTATGACAGAAATGAGGATGGCAAGATGGGTCTCTAGGAACACAAGAGTGGATGTATGTTGAAATTATTTGGCACCGTATGTAGCCGTGGTAATCGGAGGCGCGGAGGAAGGATAACAAACTAAACCCAAAAAGCATTTCTAAAGAAATTAGTTTTCAATTCAGATTTAAGAGTGCATAGCTATAATGACTTCCGAATATCGGAAGAGCATTCCAGACGGCCGCAGAAGCGCATCTGATCGAGTGCGATACAGTGACCGTCTTTGTTCAGGATCAGTCAGAAATGAAGAGACGAGGCACGGGGCAAGTGTGATGGAATTCATCTCGGACGAGAAGAGAGAACGTTGATTCAGACGGTTGGGATAAGTTGTAGGAAGAGAGGAAAACCACAATGGAAATAGAAAATGGAAGCACCAGGGCAGAGACTGAGCGGCAAGGCCTAGAAAGAGGTGGTTTTAAGTGGTCATCCGAAAATGAAGGACTTCAATGGATGTGGAGATGGCCCAAGACACGAATAATTGGAGACAGAAGAGCAAGAGATGAAGTGGCTAACATGTTACGCTGTGGCACTGTGAATTGTGTCACAAGCAGTCACCATTACACAACACAACATGTTTTTAAAACCAGTCTCCCACATAACAGGAAAACGCGTTTGGAACTTTGTAAGCTCAATATCTTTGTTGGCAAACAATACATCTAGCAAAGAATTAAGGGCGAGGGACAGTCTCTCAAGGTGAATGGACGCACCATTACAGATACTGTACCGGTTTCACCGCTCATGTTGACGAACTGATGCGTTTTTTTACAACACTAAGTCTACAACCGACTGTAGTAGCACATTGTAAATTTACATGAAAACACATGACGATATTGCTTGCTCCTTTAGCAAACCCTTTTGTTTCATGTTCATCACTTAACAAGCCTGCGGCACACTTCCAAAACACAATGTTTATCCCTCGTATAAATAATGAAACATAACTTAGCCATTGTCATTATTTCAATTCTTTTCTTCACAGCATGTTTGGCCTTGTCGGTTTTTGTTCGTGACAAATATATAATTTACAAGGACAAATATATCTCATTTAAACAACTGCTCTATACAATTGAGATTGTGAATAGCCTGGAATACAGGTGCACGAATTCATGGTTGAATAAGTTTAGACAATAATGATAAAAGTGGATCATCACCATTCAATCTTGTAATATATTTGACATTACATTTTAACAAAGCGTTAACACGTATCCAATTGTTGCCAACGCAATATATTCCATTCAAACATTTGACAATGTACTTGCCAATAGCAGACCAGCTTAGACGTAAACACATATTGCTAAATATTGTAGTGCGTTATATTACTCACACATTTTAACCACACACTACTGTCAAAACGTGGCATATCTACAAGAAGAGCAAACACAATGGAGTCTTGTTAACTTTGATCAAAGATAAAAAGGTGCAGAGTGGGTACTTTGGGGGAGAAATGAGCGACAAAAGTTGGCACCACGTGTGGCACGTTTAACCTGACAATGTTAAGCAAAATATATTTGGCGGAGCCTTCGTGTGGGCAAACGCGCGGTTGTTCTGTAACATTTAAACGTGTCGCGGTCCGCCAGTGTTAGGATGAGACTTAAGCCGCAGCAGTCACCTCGTGTGGATCAGCGTGAGAAGACGGGCTGTTCCTCGGCTGCAGGATCTCCCAGTGTTGTAACAGTACCGGGTGTTATTAGGATTTAGGAAAGACGCTTTGGTTCTTTCGGTAAAGTCGCGTAGAAAGAAAATAAATGAAATAATAGAATACGACGTTTCGATTGCAACACAAGCAACCGTAATCAGGTAGAACTAAATTTGAGAGACAACACAGAGAGAGACACAACATAGACACAACAGAGACCCAATGCCTCTGTGTTGAGGCCTTAAATAGAGAGGGGGGGGGGGGCAGAGAGAGAGAGGTGGGTCTGCTGGGGCAGCTGCCTGAAACAACCAAAGAGTAGTAATATGTTTTTACCCTTTCAACTGGTACAAAAATACGACCAAAGAGTAATTCCTGCAGTCACGAAAGCTTCAAATAACATTTAGGAGAGAGTTTGTGTATTCTTTGGTTCTTTCGGTTAAGTCACGTCTAAAGATAAAATAATAAATTAAAATAATAGCATATTACGACGTTTCGATTGCAACACAAGCAATCATCATCAGGCATAAAAGAAATAGCAACAAAAATCTAACTAGAAAACTATAGACAGACATACAAGCAGACAGACATCACAAGGACACACAGAGAGAGGACACGTATCAGCACAAAGAGAGGGGTCGTTTCTGTGACGGTCCCTTAAATAGTTTGTGTAGTTTTGCAATTCCACCGTTTAAGGAGCGCGGACAAGTGGTCTCCACTATTATGGTACATTAGTTTGGGTCGCATGGCCAGTCACACTTTGTCTTTAATGCATCTCTACGAGTGTCTATGTATCTCTCGGTGTCTCTATGGGTTTAGCATATGGTCCTTAGTTTGGGTTGCACTGGCACAAACGCACTACTACTGCGGTTTGTCTTTAATGCTCTATTCATGAAGGGGATGTGCGTATCGGCCTACCATCAACCGCACCAGAAAATTATACTTTACCTTTTAAATTTCGATTTAAAGCTTTCGTGACTGCAGGGATTCATCTTCTTGGTTCTTTCGGTAAAGAACCAAGAAGATGTATACTTTACCTATTTCTGTAACACGGATAACAAACAAAAAACCGAACAAAAACTGTAAATTTGTATACGTATTAGTGGAACGGTGGCGCAGTGGAGAGTGTACTGAACCCAGCAGCGGCAACATGTTCACTACCTCGCCTAGTTAGCAGGAGGTCGTGGGGTCAATCCTGAACCCTGATGCCTGCTGCTGTATATTTGGAGTTTGCGTGTCTCTCTTCCCGTGGTCGTGTGTATTTTTCTCCGGGTCCCCCGGCTTTTCCTTCCACATTTTAGAATCAACGTCACGCCTGTTTAGAGTATTTGGCCGCTATACATGTCCACACGATGATCCACTTCGTTGAGCGATCATTTCTGATAGCCAGGTCGCTTTTGAAAAAGAGTGCTACATAGCTCAGTGGGCCTTACCTGGTAAAATAAAACAAAGTTTAGTTTAAGTTTAGATTCGCCGCTGCGGTCCTGCCCCGTCACCCTCTCTTCACCAACACGGATCGACCGGCGTGGTGAAATATGGTCAAACAATCCACATGATTGAGATGGCGTGGGGAGGACTTCATGCAGTAATAGACTAACAAAGGACTAAAGTATTAGGTCACACACAGTACATAAACTAAAACGATATTGGTCGGCTCAACCGAGCATCTAGTGAAGATAAACTGCGCTGTTGGTCCTGAACCAGTGGTGCCTAAATTTCGATTTAAAGCTTTCGTGACTGCAGGGATTCATCCTCTTGGTTCTTTCGGTAAAGTCACGTAGAAGGGAAATAATAAAATAATAAAAATTAAACATAATAAAATACAATTCTCACGACGTTTCGGCCACAATGCAAGCAGCCGTCCTCAGGTGAAGAACAGGGCTGTCGGAAAGACAGCGTCCCAATGAACACCACCAAGCTTGGCAGCGTATATTTAAGCTGGGTTAGAGGAGGAGAGCGCCTTGACAAAGGAGTTTACAATATCAACAGATGAATTTAGCATATTTATGTAAAAATGCAGATATGGGATTAGTCACTACTTGTGAAATGTGTAGGTGGTGGGGGGGGTCTCACAGTCATTATGCTCGTGGTGCCTATTCTATACTTGTGTTTGATACATGACTACAATGGAAACCCATCCATTCAACGATCCTTCAAGGGGACGATCCTCATTACCAGCGTGTAAATACGAGCGGGTTAAGATTCAAGGCCCAGGAAGGGAATCAAACCTGGTTATTTTACCTTCCATGCGCGTTAACCACACAGCCACATACACATTTATAACCAACAACAAGTTCACGAAGCGGCCGGCGAAGAAAGTCGTAAAGTTCGCCAATGCAAGTTCACCTCGGATTAGCGCGGTTGGTAACGTACGGTGCGAAAGAGGTTCAACGTTCAGTACTGTACAGACATCGCGGCGTTTTAATCTGTGCACTTTGCTACCTCGCTACGCAAACTTCAGAAACATGTTCCTTCACGGACAACACAAACCCCACATGACCATGACAGTGCCCAACAGGAGCAGAGAAAGAGAGATGTTTGGATGACACAGAAAGAGGAACACGGAGGGAGGTTGAGCGTGAAGCTTCTCAGCGTGGAGGTCCCCGCCGACGAAGGCGCGCGGTTCCGGGCAGGGCATTCTAGCCCAGCGCCGGTCGGGCGAAGGCCGCACGAATCAACTTTTGCAAAATCCACAACAAAGCGACACGTTCTAACCATCGAACAAGCAACAACAACAACAGCAACACGTACAAACTTTTAACCGGTCGTCGTCACCTTCGCAACAGATTTCCTTCCACGCGAATGTGCACGGGACGATGGGGACCAGCCCCTTTCCGGCCGTTGGTGTTAAATTATAACTCCTCTTCCTCTTCCGGAAGAACGAGGAGGCGTTGTCGTTTTTTTTTTAACCGCCTCGTTCTCTTTTGTCTTCCGGAAGATCTCGATTTCAACTCGAAACTCACCCTCCCCTCCTCCCCTCCAAACCCCCTCCCCTCCAACCCCTCCCTCCAACCCCCTCCCTCCAACCCCCTCCCCTCCAACCCCCTCCCCTCCAACCCCCTCCCCTCCAACCCCCTCCCCTCCAACCCCCTCCCTCCAACCCCCTCCCCTCCAACCCCCTCCCCTCCAACCCCCTCCCCTCCAACCCCCTCCCCTCCAACCCCCTCCCTCCAACCCCCTCCCCTCCAACCCCCTCCCCTCCAGCCCCCTCCCCTCCAACCCCCTCCCTCCAAACCCCCTCCCCTCCAACCCCCTCCCTCCAACCCCCTCCCTCCAACCCCCTCCCCTCCAGCCCCCTCCCCTCCACCCCCTCCCTCCAACCCCCTCCCCTCCAACCCCCTCCCCTCCAACCCCCTCCCTCCAACCCCCTCCTCCAACCCCCTCCAACCCCCTCCCCTCCAACCCCCTCCCCTCCAACCCCCTCCCTCCAACCCCCTCCCCTCCAACCCCCTCCCCTCCAGCCCCCTCCCCTCCAACCCCCTCCCTCCAACCCCCTCCCCTCCAACCCCCTCCCTCCAACCCCCTCCCCTCCAGCCCCTCCCCTCCAACCCCCTCCCTCCAACCCCCTCCCCTCCAACCCCCTCCCTCCAACCCCCTCCCCTCCAACCCCCTCCCCTCCAGCCCCCTCCCCTCCAACCCCCTCCCCTCCAACCCCCTCCCCTCCAACCCCCTCCCTCCAACCCCCTCCCCTCCAACCCCCTCCCTCCAACCCCCTCCCCTCCAACCCCCTCCCCTCCAACCCCCTCCCCTCCACCCCTCCCTCCAACCCCCTCCCCTCCAACCCCCTCCCCTCCACCCCCTCCCCTCCAACCCCCTCCCCTCCAGCCCCCTCCCCTCCACCCCCTCCCTCCCCCTCCCCTCCACCCCCTCCCCTCCACCCCCTCCCCTCCAACCCCCTCCCCTCCAACCCCCTCCCCTCCAACCCCTCCCCTCCAACCCCCTCCCCTCCAACCCCTCCCCTCCAGCCCCCTCCCTCCAACCCCCTCCCCTCCAACCCCCCTCCCCTCCAACCCCTCCCCTCCAAGCCCCCTCCCCTCCAACCCCCTCCCCTCCAACCCCCTCCCTCCAACCCCCTCCCCTCCAACCCCCTCCCCTCCAACCCCCCTCCCCTCCAACCCCCTCCCCTCCACCCCCTCCCCTCCACCCCCTCCCCTCCAACCCCCTCCCCTCCAGCCCCCTCCCCTCCAGCCCCCTCCCCTCCAACCCCCTCCCCTCCAACCTCCCCTCAACCCCATCCCCAACCCCCTCCCCTCCAACCCCCTCCCCTCCAACCACCCCTCCCCTCCAACCCCCTCCCCTCCAGGCCCCCTCCCCTCCAACCCCCTCCCTCCAACCCCCTCCCCTCCAGCCCCCTCCCCTCCAACCCCCTCCCCTCCAACCCCCTCCCCTCCAAGCCCCCTCCCTCCAGCCCCCTCCCCTCCACCCCCCTCCCCTCCAACCCCCTCCCCTCCAACCCCCTCCCCTCCAACCCCCTCCCCTCCTAACCCCCTCCCCTCCACCCCCCCCTCCAACCCCCTCCCCTCCAGCCCCCTCCCCTCCAACCCCCCTCCCCTCCAACCCCCTCCCCTCCAACCCCCTCCCCTCCAACCCCCTCCCCTCCAACCCCCTCCCCTCCAACCCCCTCCCCTCCAGCCCCCTCCCCTCCAACCCCCTCCCCTCCAACCCCCTCCCCTCCAGCCCCCTCCCCTCCAACCCCCCTCCCCTCCAGCCCCCTCCCTCCAACCCCCTCCCCTCCAGCCCCCTCCCCTCCAGCCCCCTCCCCTCCAACCCCCTCCCCTCCAACCCCTCCCCTCCAACCCCCTCCCCTCCAGCCCCTCCCCTCCAACCCCCTCCCCTCCAACCCCCTCCCCTCCAAGCCCCCTCCCTCCAACCCCCTCCCCTCCAACCCCCTCCATCCAACCCCCTCCCCTCCACCCCCTCCCTCCACCCCCTCCCCTCCAGCCCCCTCCCCTCCAGCCCCCTCCCCTCCAACCCCCTCCATCCACCCCCTCCCCTCCAACCCCTCCCATCCAACCCCCTCCCCTCCACCCCCCTCCCCTCCAACCCCCTCCCCTCCAACCCCCTCCCTCCAAACCCCCCTCCCCTCCAGCCCCTCCCTCCAACCCCCTCCCCTCCAGCCCCCTCCCCTCCAACCCCCCTCCAACCCCCTCCCCTCCAACCCCCTCCCCTCCAACCCCCCTCCCCTCCACCCCCTCCAACCCCCTCCCCTCCAACCCCCTCCCTCCAACCCCCTCCAACCCCCTCCCTCCAACCCCCTCCCCTCCAAGCCCCCTCCCTCCACCCCCTCCCCTCCAACCCCCTCGCCCTCCAAACCCCTCCCTCCAACCCCCTCCCTCCAACCCCCTCCCCTCCAACCCCTCCCTCCACCCCCTCCCCTCCAACCCCCCCTCCCTCCAACCCCCTCCCTCCAACCCCTCCCTCCAACCCCCTCCCCTCCACCCCCTCCCCTCCAACCCCCCTCCCTCCAACCCCCTCACCTCCAACCCCCTCCCCTCCAACCCCCTCCCCTCCACCCCCTCTCCCTCCAACCCCCTCCCTCCAACCCCCCTCCCCTCCAACCCCCTCCCTCCAACCCCCTCCCCTCCAACCCCCTCCCCTCCAACCCCCTCCCCTCCAACCCCCTCCCCTCCAACCCCCTCCCCTCCAACCCCTCCCCTCCAACCCCCTCCCCCTCCAACCCCCTCCCCTCCACCCCCTCCCCTCCAACCCCCTCCCCTCCAGACCCCCTCCCCTCCAACCCCCTCCCTCCAGCCCCCTCCCCTCCAACCCCCTCCCCTCCAACCCCCTCCCCTCCACCCCCTCCCCTCCAGCCCCCTCCCCTCCAACCCCCTCCCCTCCAACCCCCTCCCCTCCAACCCCCTCCCCTCCAGCCCCCTCCCCTCCAACCCCCTCCCCTCCACCCCCTCCCCCCAACCCCCCCTCCCCTCCAACCCCCTCCCCTCCACCCCCTCCCCTCCACCCTCCCCTCCACCCCTCCCCTCCAACCCCCTCCCCTCCAACCCCTCCCCTCCAACCCCTCCCCTCCAACCCCCTCCCCTCCAACCCCCTCCCCTCCAACCCCCCTCCCCTCCAGCCCCCTCCCCTCCCAACCCCTCCCCTCCAGCCCCCTCCCCTCCAACCCCCTCCCTCCAACCCCCTCCCCTCCAACCCCCTCCCCTCCAACCCCCCTCCCCCTCCAACCCCCTCCCCTCCACCCCCCTCCCCTCCAACCCCTCCCCTCCAGCCCCCTCCCCTCCAACCCCTCCCCTCCACCCCTCCCTCCACCCCCTCCCCTCCACCCCCTCCCCTCCAACCCCTCCCCTCACCCCTCCCCTCCAGCCGCCCTCCCCTCCAACCCCCTCCCCCTCCAACCCCCTCCCCTCCAACCCCCTCCCCTCCAACCCCCTCCCCTCCAGCCCCCTCCCCTCCACCCCTCCCCTCCACCCCCTCCCCTCCAAGCCCCCCTCCCTCACCCCAACCCCCTCCCCTCCACCCCCTCCCTCCAACCCCCTCCCCTCCAACCCCCTCCCCTCCAGCCCCCCCTCCCCTCCAACCCCTCCCAACCCCTCCCCTCCAACCCCCTCCCCTCCAGCCCCCTCCCCTCCAGCCCCCTCCCCTCCAACCCCCTCCCCTCCAACCCCCTCCCCTCCACCCCCTCCCCTCCAGCCCCCTCCCCTCCAGCCCCCTCCCCTCCAACCCCCTCCATCCAACCCCCTCCCCTCCAACCCCCTCCATCCAACCCCCTCCCCTCCAACCCCCCTCCCCTCCAACCCCCTCCCCTCCAACCCCCCTCCCCTCCAACCCCCTCCCCTCCAGCCCCCTCCCCTCCAACCCCCCTCCCCTCCAGCCCCCTCCCCTCCAACCCCCTCCATCCAACCCCCTCCCCTCCAACCCCCTCCATCCAACCCCCCTCCCTCCACTTCCCCATCCCTCCATCCCCCCTCCCTGCTTCACCCTCCCTCTACCCCCCTCCCTCCAACCCCTCCCTCTCCCCCCCCCTCCCTCCAGCCCCCTCCCTCCATTCCCCTCGCTCCTCCCCCTTCCCCCTTCAACTGGAAGTGGTTACGAGGTCTTCCGATTTTATTGTTCCAGTTTTATTGACGCGTCTTCCGGCAGAGGGAGCCTGGGTCTCGTCTTCCGGAAGAGGAAGAAGCTTTCGTCTTTCGCAATAATAATTCGAGAGAGGATTTCGTCTTCCGGAAGTTGCTCCCTGGCCGCCTGGGCCTCATCTTCCGGAAGTGGAATTCGTCTTCCGGAAGATGCTCCCTTGCCGCCTGGGCCTCATCTTCCGGAATTGGAATTCATCTTTCGGAAGATGCTCCCTGGCCGCCTGGGCCTCGTCTTCCGGAAGTAGAATACGACTTCCGGAAGTTGCCCTCTGACCCCTGGGCTTTATGTTAAAGGCAGCAGCGGCGGCGGCGAGAGAGCTTGACGGTCCGCCCGCGTTGCGTTGTTTCCCCTCCTCGCTGTGGTGGTGGTGGTGCCTCTGCCGCTCCTTCCCCGGGTTATTTCGAAGGTGAGGCTCGCGTCTCGCGTCTCGACGATCCCGTGTCAAGAGCCGTCGGTCGCGAACGCCTTTGAAGGATCAACTTTTGTTGTTGTTGCGAGGCTCCGACACGATTTTCATTCTTCACGACTATAATTCTGAGAATCGTAACAACAACCACTACTGCATATAGGCGGCGGCATTTGTTCTCAAAACCGCGGAACCTTTTCACGGGATACTGCTGAGTTGTAGCTTATTGCCGCGCTTGTGCGAGCAGGAGACCACTTAAACCTTCCACGGCTAAGCCACTGCTGTCTTGTCTGATGTCACCGCTGCTTACAACTTGGGCTGCGAGGTAAGCGATTGGCAGTTAAAGTAGTGGATTCCTAAATCCATCGGTGCGGTGATAGAGCGTCATCTCATGTTTACGATGTGTCCGCTGCTGCATGAAGCCTCCTTCGTTCAAGTTGTCGTCCTTTCACGTTCTCGCGATGCCAAAACCCATGAATATCGTGCGCGCACGACTTATTTTGTGACTTTCTGCCACTGTTTAGTCGTTCATAATACAGTTTTTTGGGGTTAGATCGCGTAAATATAAATGTGTCGTTAAACCCGCCACCACCCGACACCGCCAATTGGTTCGGTTTGTCACGTAAACAAAACATGCCAATTTTCTACTAGTACAGCATACGGATGTGTCGAAGAGCAAAGCCACAACATTTGCAATCGAGTAGGACGTTTCGCCAATAATGAATTACAACCAGCATCAGACAGCCAGGTCTGTGGAGAAATCCTCCTGTTTCGATGTGATGGCGTTCTTTGTGAGCCCTTCACGTGCAAAGGGAGGGTGGGGTGATTAATGAGATGCATATTAATTGCAATGGATATCCATTACCGGTTGGGTTATTTATGGTAACGTGCATTACACCATTGTGCAAGCCCACTTTTTAGTCAGCCCTAAGCGTGACATTGTTTCCTAGGGCCAAGTTACGGGGTTGGCTTCACGGTTTAAATTGTCCCCAAATTTGAAATCGTCCGGCATGTTACAGGACAGTCCTCGGGTTACGAACCCAATTCGTTCACGAGACCCATTGCTAAGTCGGAACACAACAATGCACCGTATTTAAATGCCCATATCGGGCGGTGTAATGAATTGTGTTACGGTTCGATGAAAAGGAAAGCATTGTTACATTCATAATTAAGAATAAATATTGTACACTTGCATGTACCACTGGAAAAAAATACTGAATAGTAAATAAAAGAAAAAAAGTAACTAAAATAGAAAACTTACTTTCACTTACCTTGATTCCTGATGCGAGCTTGTAGTCGGAAGGAAGGCAATGAGTCACCACCATTGCACACACAAAGACAACCACCATTAAATTTCGATTTAAAGCTTTCGTGACTGCAGGGATTCATCTTGTTGGTTCTTTCGGTAAAGTCACGTAGAAGGGAAGTAATACAATAATTTATTATTAAACATTTATTAATTTATTATGTTTTATTTTTATTATTTTATTACTTCACAACCACCATTCGCCACTAAGTGGCGGTGACGTCACCACGACGCTTGTGCCAGGCTATGTGCACATAGAGGCCACGTGAAGTGTCGAACGCCCGCTGGCATGAGGTCACGGGGCAGACCCAGGTGCCACGGGTCGACTAAGATTACTGGCCGATGCACCACCTGTGCCTCTACTGTGCCAACTTGCTGTGCTTTAGCCACCCGGCGATCCACTCGTTGTGAGTGTTGCTCCTCTGGCATTCGGTTGTTGTTGGAGAGCGATTGCCTCCAACTGCCCAGTAGCGTCCCTCACGAGCCTCCTCCACAGAGGTCGATCTTGACATCGCTGGTACCAGTCATCGGCAAGTCCACTCAGCTCCCATGCACACACACCCACCTACTCACTCCCAGCTCGAGGCCGACTCTTTGCATTTTGTGGAGGATCGCTCCTCTGAACAAAATAGTTCTGCGGTTCATTTTGCAATTGCGAGTTCGCGTTTTAAGGCAAGTCGAGGACTGCTTCTACTCGATCGGAGAAACACAGCCGCAGTGCCACCTACTGCGAAGCTACTGCAATATCGCTCCCATGCAGATGATGAAACGGCATCTTGGTGATAGCATTATGCTATAATAAGTTGCGAATAGAACCAAATTAGACACCTATAACAAGGCATCAAGTGTGCATTAACCACACATACATGTGGGGAAACGTGCAAACAAATATGCTTTGATAATGTATGCATTGTCCTTGAAAACTAATATATGCTAATTTTCTATTTATATTAAAACAGTTGCAGAGGACAGGCCCTAAGGGCCAAAGGTCAAGTGATGAGCACTGAAAGTTGTAACCAATACGAGTTAACACGTCTGTTGATTTTCCATCTGTGCAGGGTTTGCGAAACGCATGGCCACACTGATGCAGATCTACCAGTGTTCCAAGTGCCTGGAGCAGTTTCACGATGTGGACCTGGCCCTCACGCACGACTGTCCACTGCTGGAGGCGGAGACCAGCGTCCCTGACCCACCCAGCTCGCCTCCCGTTGCCAGCTCTCCCAGCCAGAACGATAGCAAGGACACTGATATCAACGATTTGACATTACAGTGCAGGACACATTCTCCAGGTGATTTTGCCATAGATGCATTTTGTGAATTTGTTATGAAGAAATATAAGCGGTGAGAGATTTCCTATTTAATCAACAGCTTATAGTAAAATAAATCTTGTCAATCTCGAGTAAAACCTGCAAAGTACAACCACTTGATTGCTATTTTACCCTGACATTCTGTCGTAAAAACGTTTGGCAATTCCAGAGAAATTTGCTTGTTTAAAAACGAACTTGTTTCGTCAACCCATTACTCCTCTCACGTTTTGTTCTATCCATTCTGTGCGTAGCTCACAAATGGGGCGAGGAGACCACCCAGCTGCTCATTGCGCTCTACAAGGAACGGCAACATCAGTTCACGTGCGGAAAGCACAAGAAGAAGAACCTGTGGAACGAAATATCCAGCGGCCTCCAGGCCAAGGGCCACATGTTCACGCAGTGGCAGTGCGAACACCGGTGGAAGATGCTACTCAAGGTCTACAGCAAAGTCGTTGACCAGCACAAGTTCGGCAATAGTCAGACGGAATGCACCTTCTTCAATGAGCTCGATGAGATGTACGGGCCAGACGCAGAGATCCACCCCGTGGCCACGCGCAGCTCGCTCATCATGAACCGGCCCTTAATGGTGCAAGTGGTGCTGTCGGAGCAGGGCGACCACCAGCTGAGCGAGGAGGTCCCGTCGTCGCAACCGGAGGTGCTCGAGTGGCCCGTTGCATCGGCCACCGCGGTGGAGGAGGAGGTCCAGGTCAGAGCGAGGAAGAGGCGCAGGGTGATGTGGAACAGTGGTGTGCCCCAGTGGGTCAAGGACTTAAAGAAGGAAAGCTTCGACTTAGAGTTGCAGAAGATTGAGGATGCACGCCAGATGCACGAGGAGGAGATGGGCGTGCTCTCGGAGTTGCTGGGCATTCTCAAATCGCGTGTTAAAGGCAAACTTTCCGACGATTTGGTCGCTTCTGCAACGCTCTGAGGTGTTCCCCGTGCATCGATGCACGGAGAGAAATTTGATGTGGGCTATGAAACAGATGCAAAAAAAATTCTCAGATGCAGATGAGCATAATTAACTTGTCATTAATAGGTTTTGCGCCTTGTATACAGCTTGCATTGTAAAGTGCCCTGGAAAGGGCGCTATATAAATACTAAATAGAATAAAGGTAGCGTGTTTAAAAACTACTTTGTTTTCACACAGGTGCATTGTGCATTTTTTTATACTTAAGTTTTGTTTCCAGTGTTTTAGTCATTCAAACACTGAAATATAATTTACAATATGGCAGAGTTTAGCTTTGAATTGCTGACATGTGTTTTACTCAGATTAAGAACATTGCTATTTTGTAACCTTTCTTTTTGGTGATGTTACTCAAACCGGTATTGACAAGGCTTGTACCAAAGCAGGATCAACAGGCCTCTTACCCATTGAGCTATTGTGCTGGTTATTGTTCATCGCCTATTTCATGTCCAAATAAACACGATAAGTATATAAAATGAATGTTGCAAATGTATTTTTTGGTGGGAACGTGGCAGTGATATTCAGGCACTGGTCATTTTCAAAATGAGTATAGGTACCATTTTAAACTACTCTTTAGTAATAATAAACTTGCACTTATATTTAGAGTATGCGTGTCCCTGCAATCGGTCACTTTGTTATTCAAGAAAATGTAGCCTGCAAATAATACCCGACACGTTCTGTGAATTCAAACTTGCCAAAAACAACTTGCCATAATGTAAAATAATAAAAGGGCTTGATTATGAATTTCAAAGCGTTTCTGGGTATACATCATCAGGCAGGATTCACTGGTATATGATGGCCTCGAAAATGCCGCCACGCGTGGTCCTACGATGGAACAATCCACCCTGCAATTCTGCTAAATCGAATTTAAGAGAGTTGAAAAATACAACACAATCGTGTAGCTATCATTGTTTATTATACCAAATACGTAACTTTACCTTTTAACATTGAAGGCTAAACATAAATATAAAATAAAACGGTACAATCTGTATTCACATATGTACATAATTTTTATTTCTATCAAATTACAAAATTGCAGTTTTTTTTGTACTTAATATTTTTCAAACGAAATGCGACTAAGTACTTGTACATATAACAACAAGCATGTACAGATCATATGCAAGGCCATGTGTAACAGAACGTGAGTGTCAATAGGATGTTGAACCGCAATGAGATGATCCAGTGTGGCTTTAAATAACCTGGTCTAACTTGCCAACATTTCTCAACCGCAACCTTTTGTCCCCACATCCCATGGTTTCCATTGCTGCCAATCTACGTGCATGTGCAGTGTAACGCATTCCCGTTGAACAGATGATTGGGAAATGTAGGTGTACCAGCTGTGGCGAATGGCGAGGGTTCATATTCAATATCGATGCATATTAAAATGTCAGAGTTGCATACATTGTTGAAAAAGTAAACGCTGAAAGCGAATGGTCGGGCATGCAAAGGGTATTCCATTGTGCAATGAGTTGAACGACGTTCTAATCGTAAACTCCCATTATCAGTTGCAGTTTAAGCGTGCTTGCAAAACAATTATGTTTTTGAACTCATGCACCGATTGATTACGTGCAGCAATAAAAAAAAAGACAGACGAGACATCTTAAATGGTCACCCCACGTTCCAAGCAGGTAAATGACAATAATTGTGTGTTTGGCCTAATTGCTTAACCTGGAATAATCGAGACTTGACTAAGTTGCAATACAAAGCAGATTGTCAAAGTGACTTATTAATGTGCTTTATTGGTTAACAGACTTTACCAGCCAGCAAATTTCCCCATCTATAGAGAATTAAGTACTTTTTTGCATGAATATAAAAAAGACCCCTGACCTAAAATAACGGCAATACATGCACAATTATAAGAAACGGGTGAAATTGACCCAATAAAGCCAACATTTATTTCATACAAATTCAAGACTTAAGCATTCTTGTTGTTGAGAGTAGAATTGCATCTTTTCTTCGGTGGTTCGACAATGATAAGACACTTTTAACGGAGGTTGAATACGCGTACCACTCGAAATTTGATAATTTTTACGATTAAATAATGTGTTCTTTTTTTATATTGTGGTGTCATTAAAATTTGGTGCACCAAGTGCCTCGAACGGATGCAGGGGATTTACGTGAACTCGTGACGGACAAGATGAGTCAACCGAACACAATCGATTCTCACGCGCAAGAGCGCAAGAATCGATTTTAACTTCTAAATCGACGCATCACTGCATGCCTCAGTAAATATGGCAACACTCAAAAGATATGAAACAATGTTAAATTACGGCCCTGAATTTCATAACATCTTGTGTATGTGACATTAACAACATATCTTTGGCAACTTCAAAATAAACATGATCAGGTACAAACAAAAAACCCTCGTTCACCTGCTTTGACTGGCAAGTGCTGTTAGCGAGCACCTATTTTGGCCAGTAAAAAAATTTCTGATGGTAAAAGCACGGCCCCACCGCAGCACTGGAGTTGTTTGATGTGCCAGGTACTAAAAACAGGCGAGGATGACCTCAGGTATCTCTTGCCAGGCAGAGAAACCACATTTCCTGTTATGAACAGAACTTCCCAACTGAACTTGGGTAGCTGGGCCTATGGGGGCAGTGTTCTAACCAACATACCATCTCTTTCATCAGGCACGACACATTCATACATACTCACACATAGACAAAGATCCCTCGTATAGCAGTATAAGCAAGTGCTGTTGGTGAGTATAAAGATCGGCGTACAAAGAGATGGTGTGGCTAGTACCATGCCTAGCCACCTTTGTCTTCCCAATGCTGATGTTTACACACTGCGCCAGCTAATCATCTAAGGTGGTGTTGACCTCGGGGAGGCCCTGGATCAGCTCAGATATCACTGCCCATCGATGTCAGCCGTGGACAGGAATTTGAACTCAGGGGATTATATTTGTGGGACAGTGCGCTAACCTGTGCACCACCGTTTCCCATACACACAAACAGGCACACTCGCGTACGTATGTGCAAGAAGATTCATATACACCATTGTACAATAACGTGCCCAAGTCTCCTGTATACGAATGAAGAATCTGCTATAAAATGTGACTGGGACACTTAAACATTTTGCTTTCAAATGGAAAGCTGTGCGCAGATTGACACAGACAGGTTTAACGTACAGAGCGTTCAAACAGGAGACTGGCGAGTCAATTACGAGTCAAAATCTACACCTGAGATGGGGCACACACCACACGTGCCACTTGACATAAAACATTTATGTACAACGCCTTTGACCCAACCAGGGGTTAAACGACAGAGTTGCTCCCCGCCACTCCCCAACACGGAGGCCGTTCGCGCAATGCACGCAGTCGCTGAACACGAAGCCACAAACTACGCGCAGGATGAGAAACTACTCGCCCAGTATAAGGTGCAGAGGTTGGGTCCAGCATTGGCCTGTGCTTGGAATCGTTTGAACAAATATTGGCCCAACGTTTCACGTTTATAGAGCTCTGGTTTGATTCGTTCTGAATAAGTCGTAAACCTGTTCTGTTAGTCATACATTGAGGATTATACAATCCTGCTGACCGCAATAAATGGGGTTTACGAGATCTTCAACCCCAAGGTTAGGAAACAATGCGCTACCAGATGCTAGCCACCGGTTTAATCCGACTATTTTGGAAGTGGTAACAGCTGCTTTGTGTAAAAAAGTAGGGTTGCGACGATATGGCGATATTATATGGGTCACGATAATCGTATCGTACGTTCTAAAACATACCGTGCTATTGTTAATTTTATTTTTCTATAATATATTTTACTTTTATTGCAATCGTTTTCTCTGAAATAACAAAACAGCTGAAAAAAAAGAATTTCTAAATGACTAGCTATTACCCATTAAACTTGAGGTTTGCTAAATGTTTCCAGAGTAACTGAGGACATGGTGATTATATGACCTCGATTTTTGGAATTAATCCAATTACACAAGTATTTCTGTTATAACTGACAGCATGTATATTATACGCATACATACTGTAAAGCTGCAATAACTCGAAGATTTATTTACAGGCTTATGTTGAGCGAACTGCAGTTGAACTATTAAGTCATCTTTATTCGTACCGTAAATTCAGCAAAGCACACAAATAGTACAAAAGTGAATTACAAATGGAAAGGGGAAACCGAGATCGCAACAATCGTCATATCGTCAAAACGAATATTGTTTCGTATCGGACCCTGAAAAATGATATCGCAGCAACCCTCGTTACAAAGTGAACCGGCGTGCACGGTTTATAACGGACAGCAGCTGAGGTGCTCCAGTCTTGGGGAGGGGGGGTAAATATGCGATCGGTCGACTGCCCTGAAATATTCTGAGCCCTGAGACAAAGAAGGAAAACGAGGAATGATGCCCTGAACCATGAAGCTTACCACAAGCACAAGGGAGGAGACGCTCAATAAATCATACGAGTGGGACTGTGACGACACATCGAGGGAAAGAATCTAAACCGTCAGCAATTATGCGAATTTGCACCTCACAACAATACAACTTGGATATGTAAAGCGTCTTCATGCAACCGTGTCTCAGATTTTAAATGCATGCTGTATTTATCGCCCCAACCGTACAGCTACATCACTGTGCACAGATTTCTTGAATGTGCCTCGTAACCAATGCAAGCATTGACAGTTTCAAATATTGCTGCCCCATCAATGCACACCGACTCCTCAACCCTGAAAGTCAAGCGCTCTGCGAGAATGCTGTATCGTGAATCCGGACCTTTCGGTCATCTGCTCATTGCGCATTTTAAATTGCACCTACATTTTCAAACACGTGGCAATAATATTGTTTGCAACCTCCTTGGGCTATACAGTCCAATCCTACACAGAGCTGTGATAGCACCGAAGTGATGCAAGGCTTATTCGGGTACCCTACGTGGACCAAATTCCTGTGCTGAAGTTGTCCCTGAGTAAAAACAATTACAGTTTATGGTCTCATCTGACAAAGAGGTTAAAAAATATAATAATATATGACAGTAATAACGAACAAGTTCCCGTGCTGAATATTGAAAGCAATAGCTCCACACTTTTAAGTTGGCTTGCGTATAATACGCTCCTGTGTATAACACACATAAATGTTTCCCATTTCTGATAAAATAAAAAAAAACTAATGTATGGCACCCACATGTGTATCGTACTGGGGGTAATTGTTTAGGTTACTGTTATGTGCGTCATACACTGGATGTGATGGGAATATTTATAGATTTGATACGAATCTTGAGTTTGCTATTTCACTGCTTTGGTTAATAAAGCAGGAAATGTACTTTTGCGATTGAAAACAGTGTTGAAAATAAAATACGTTTGCAGAGAGGATACTGCGAACAGGAGACGGTATTTTAAAAAGATAAATACTCGAAACCTCACGACGGCGGGTGACTTTGTTGACATTTCAGAGAGCCACTCGCCCACGCATTGGGGTAGCGAAGCCAAAACGCTGACACTGGGTATATCAAGCCTCACCATGCTTAGTTGCGCATGACTGATCCCTGCACTTTGGCCAAAAGGCCCCCCTATCTCACGAATACAACCGCGACGTCAACTCATGTCGACTCCGATTGCAGGACACGGACGTGGTCTCCGCAGAATTCTTGTGCGCACAAATTAAACGAGTATAGAATTGCATTGAAGGTACCCGGACATATGCGTTTACGGGACGCGCAGATCGCTGGTGGCAAACGCACGATGCAGCTGCCGGTCAATCGCTCCGATGGCTTTTCGAGTTTTACCCGCGTGTCGTTCGGCTTCATGTCCGACGTTTCGCTCCACGCGCCGGAAAGATTCTTTGGTTCCGAGTGACCACAGCTTTTTCAGTTCCCGAAGTGTCTCCCGGCACGTGGGGCGAAACGTCGGACATCGTTCCGAACGACACGAAAACGACATCGGAGAGCTATAGAGCGCAACCGCGAAAAAACCTACGCAGCAGCATGGCGCTCTCACGCAGCATCGGAGACGTCGCAGTTCCTCCACGGCGAGCTGGAGACGGGTGTCTAAGCGCGCTGTGTCTGGCCGGCAGAGCGTGGTCCAGCATAACCGGAGGCTCGCCCGCCTGGCCAGCGCTGCGCTCATGCCGACGCGGGCTGCAGTGAGGGCGACGAAAAAGCTGCCCAACCATCCTCCGCATCCCATGAGCTACAGCGCCATGGGGAAACGCTTCTTGCCATTGCTGCTGCGACTCTGTGGTTTATGATGCAAGTGGGATTCAGCACCTGCAAACAAGAATAATGGCGGTCATTTGTTTTCCATTATATCTGTTGTATTTGTTTAATTACCGTTTACCAATCCCAATCGACTGCCTGATCGCCGATCCCACCATTAAAGAACCTTCAGGATTTAATCTCTCCCGATTACAATGGTCCACATTGAAAATATAATCCGCACGTCTTAACAGAAGAACCGCCCACTATGACATTCACAAGTGGAAATTCAAAGAAAACCTGGCGCGCGATTGCGCAAACACCAACCAGACCACCATTGGAACCTCATTTGCCAGTAAAAATATGATAATTGTTTTTTTACCCTTCTATCTGCCAACAAAACTGACACCTAAGGAAAGCTGTCTCAGGTGTGGACCAATCAACTTCAAGGACAGTGCACATTATCAGAGTTATGTTTTTTATTTACATTATGACTGCAGGTATTGTGGTCTATGTAAACATGACTCCTTGTAAAAAAGGTGTCAGTTTTGTTGCCAGATAGAAGGGTAAAAAACCAATTACCAACCAGACCGTCGACCACACTGTGGACCAATGTGAGTGAATACTTAACCGAGGTATTGAAGCCATTACTTGAATAACTATAATATGTATATAGACTTATAAGCGATTCATGCAGCCATAAGCAAAAATATCATTATCCAGTCCAGATCAAGGTCCTTAATATGAGCAGGTGAGAGCCTACAAAAAGTAACATTTTTCCACCTCCATAAAAATCACCTCGTCAAAATCGTAGCCTTACTATCGATATCCAAGGTGGTCACAAGGGGGCCCTAAAGAGCCACGGTCTTCTTCCTTCGTACTCTTAGTTATTTCGGTAAAGTCACGTAGGTAAAAAATGAAATTAAAATTGATAAAAATGAAATAAAAATCACGACGTTTCGGAGGCAACACAAGTCTCCGTCATCAGGTGGGACCGTCACAGCTAGATTTGCTTGATGCGTGACTTTACCGAAAGAACTAAGAGTATGAATCCTTGCAGTCACGAAAGCTTCAAATCTAGAATTCTTCCTTCGTATGGCTGGTGTAGATGCAGAGCAATAACTGCAATTTCACATTCAGGTGGTCAAACCGGATAACCGCTGTGATTTCGTATTTGTGGATCGGGCGTTGCGTCACTATACATTGTTAAGGTCTGTTCTGGATGACCACAGTCGCACGCTGGAAAGCGAGGATGCACACACAGACACTGCACTCCCTGAACACTGACCCCAGCTTGGGTGGTACGCGGGGGGGTGGTCCTCATCGTCCTCCAGAGGCGAGTGGCCGAGTGCGTGCAGTGAGAACGGGTCCAGCTGGTACCCGGCGCTGCTCAGCCCGATCCCTGTCACGCGGATCTTCAGCGAGTCTGTGGGATGGGAGGCAGCGAGTGCTCACAAAGACAAAGATCCCCCATTGTTGTCTTTAACAGACTGTTGCGGCAAGTGCTGCCAGCGAGCGCCTACAACGGACCAGCATGGCACACGAGTGGGTCGGTGAGCAACGCCACGCCCAGCCCCCTGTCTCCCCAGTTCCGATGTTTACACACCGTACCAGGTACGAACTCGAGGTTGAATTGATCCAGGGGAAGCCCTGGACTGGTTCAGATATGACTCGCCATTTATGCAGGCCGCGACTGATAATTGAATCCACGTTTACGTGCTTCTTTCCTGAGCAGTGCTCTAAACACTGCACCACAGCTCCCCATAAAAAAAGAAAACCACACGATTGCACACAAACAGGCAGAGACCATATTCTTAGGTTTTTTCGGTAAAGTCACGTAGGTAAAAATTTAAAATTAAGATTAATAAAAGTAAAATAAAAATAAAATAAAAATCACGTTTCGGAGGCAACACAAGCTTCCGTCTTCAGGTGGAACCGTCACAGCACGATTGCTGTATCAAGTAAATGAGAAATTCCAAGAGATCCGACCTTGTATATATACTGGTTGAGGGGGGAGGAGCCAGGGTAGGCCCCTGGATAGGAGTTTTTTATTATTATGATAAGGTTGGTGCGGCTGAGACCATACCTGATCCCAGGGAGGCTCTTCCGGTGCGTGTGGCGCTATTGTACTCCATGGGTGTCAGCGACCTCCGTAGCTGCATGTCTGACTGCACGCGCACGCGACAGGACCGTGTTTAAACAAACCCGAACGCACGTAAGCGTAGGGGGTCCCGCGCACGAGCCGGTCATTTTCCAGCCGAAGCCGGCAGGGTTGTTGGTCTGCAGTGCGCACGGAGGGTTACCCGGAAGGTGTGCGTGGTGTTGGGCCGCGACGGATGCTCCAGCACGAGCGAGGGCCGGTCCCGGGCCGGACGGCGGCCCGTGTCGTCCGTGACGGCGCTCGACACGCGGCTAATGCTCAGACGGCCCTTGGTCTGCGCACGCCACGGTAAGATCGATCGATCGATGATGGTTCATTCATTCATATCTGTACACGCATATCCCGTTCAGCGCTATCCCGTACAGCACCGATTCGTTAGAGCTGTTTGTTCTATACACAGTATATATATATAAATAATACAATACATACGTTGCGTACAGTAAATAGAAATAATGATGAAAAGCCGTACTTGAGTTAGCGCGGTATAAGCTCTCATCCAAACGTTGCACAGTATTAGCGCCCTATTACTCTCTTCGCCCTCAGCCAATGAGCGATATCATACTCGGGTTGGCGTGGCATTCGCTCTCCGCTAATGAGAACTTTCCTCTACTGTTCAGTTCAAGTGGCGCCCACGAGGTGTTTTGTTTATCCCTCCGTGGTCTTTCTCTTACTGCTGCTTTCCTATTTTAGTGATAAATTTTGACCCATAATGACCGACAAGAGGCATGCAAGTGACAGTTTTGGAGGGGCTGCAAAAGCGACAAGGAAAAGGTGATATCTGTCTGCTTATATGTCTGTCTATAGTTTTCTGGTTAGATTTTATGTCGCTATTTCATTATACCTGATGATGATTGCTTGTGTTGCAATCGAAACGTCGTATGCTATTATTTAATTTATTATTTTATCTTTATACGTGACTTTACCGAAAGAACCAAAGAATAATTCCTGCAGTCACGAAAGCTCCAAAATTAAGAAGGAAAAGGATCATGCTGGAGGTTAAAATGCAAGTGTTACGGCAGGCTTGAGGCGGGTGAGCATCAGGTGGATGTGGACCGTGCTCTAGATCGAGCTGAGGATGAGCCACAACCTGGCCCATCTCCCCGTTCATAACTCTCATCTTGTCTCCCAGCGCTGCCAAGTTCGGGGTCGCACCATGCGCTGGTGAGTACACTACTCTTTGTTATTTTCGGAAAAGTTACGTAGGTAAAAAGGACGCTTGTGTTGCGCCCGAAACGTCGTGATTTAATTTAGTTGTTTTCATTTATTTTATTTTTTACCTACGTGACTTTACCGAAAAAAACAAAGAGTATGAATCCTTGCAATCACGAAAGCTTCAAATCTAGGTGAGTACACTGTTTATGTTATTTAAAATGCTTGTACCATTAACAGTATTTTAAAATCATGTTTATCATCTGTAGTATTGTTCCAATAACCCAATGAACCTCTAATGTGTTGGTCGTAGGTGATAAATTACAATGTCGGGAACACATCTCCATAGGGTCTATCCTACAATGACCCCGTATAGCGCCGATTCACCGCGCGCTCTCGTTTACAGGCACGCATCCCCCGCGCTAAACAGGGTATCCGTGTATAATAAGCGGATAATCTGTTTGCATGTACGTAGAGTTGAGGGGTGGTCTATTCCGGTTGCGGATTAACCGTGCGCGTCCAAGTCGTTTTACCGTGCGTACTTATTCTGCTTATTAGCAGCTCCTCACTCGTCGAGGGTCACTGGCTTGCTTCAGAAATGAAACAAAATGAAGGAATATTGCGTGAGCCCTAATTGTGACTGTTTATCAAATCTTTGGAGAGGTGAATTTGTTACATGCCCTGTAAGCTCGTACACACACACACAAGACGACACATTCTGCGGCTCCACTCCCATTTCACATATGGTAAATATTAATGTTTTGAATCCCTCATTTATATACGAATTTCGCATTCTGTGTCTGTTGCTACTACCATAACCCTGAATGATTGAATGCTGTCCGTTTGTCTGCGATCTGACCTCCGAGCCACCGATCCCCCTCCGTTGTACAATATTGCTGATGTAGGGACAGGCGTTGAGTGAGTGCGCATCCCCCTCCTGGACTCGCCTGTGAAGGGCGCGCCCCCGGCACTGTGAGCTGGCTCTCGTGGGGGTCCGGCGAGCCGATGGGGGGCAGCAGCGTGTTGCGCACAGCACTCATCTGTGGCGTCGACAGCCGCTCGGAAGCTCCCATCGCTCTGTGGTAGAAGAGATGCGCCCCCCCCCCAGTCAGCTGTTTCATGCGTGGGAGCCAACGTGCCGATGACTGGTACCAGCGGTGTCAAGATCGGCCTCTGTGGAAGAGGCTCGTGAAGGACGCTACTGGGCAGTTGGAGGCAGTCGCCCTCCAACAACAACGGAGGGCGGAGGAGCGACGCTCACAACAACGAACGGAGCGCCGGGTGACTAAAGCACAGCAAGTTGGCAAAGTAGGAGGCACAGGTGGTGCATCAGCCAGTCATCTCGGTCATCTCAGTCGACCCGTGGCACCTGGGTCTGCCCCGTGACCTCCTGCCAGCGGGCGTTCGACACTTCACGTGGCCTCAAGGTGCACATGGCCTGGCACAAGCGTCGTGGTGACGTCACCGCTGCTTAGTGGCGAATGGCGGTTGTTGTTGTTGTGTGTGTGATTGCTGTGACAGTAGTTGGGAGCGGTAAGACAACGAACCTGGTGTCCCGAGTTAGATTCCCTGTCACGGCCAACCCCAGTGATGATTATTTGAATCGGTCCTGGGTCTCGCCACGGTCGACTCAGCCTCAACTGAGTACCCAGTGTGGTGTGTCAACATTGCCACTGGGGAGACAAAGGTGGCTGGATGTGGTACTGGCTACCCACCCCTATCGTGTGCCGTGCTGGCTTTCATAGGTGCTCGCTAACTGCACTTTCACGAACAGTCTGTTCAGGCTATACGGGGGATCTTGTCTTACTGTGGCAAGTGTGAGCACTTTGAAAATGTAAGACTTGATGGTAATGATGATGATGATGCAGAAGTGTGAATGATGCATAACGAGCAGGATATGATGGCGTGTGAACGAGAGATAATTAACAGCTTATAATAATAATAAAGAACATAACAGATCATGGTGATGGAATATACATCGTTATGGTCTGTACTGAATGAATGATGGATGAAATCAGTAAGGCTATCATACATCAATGATGATGATGGATGATGAAGTGTGAACGGTGGACAATAACCTGTGTAAGATTATTATGCCAACGACCTAAAACACTGAAAGCAAAAAATATCTTTGGTTTACATAGATTTACACAGCATACTATGGAAAACTTTCACTCAATTTTTTCTTTTAAACAGACCACTGGTCACTTGTTTTTGGGGTTCTCAACTATGCAGAGAATGTACGACTCAATCCAAAGGTTACCGATCAACCGATGTTAATGATACAACCAAAAAGAATAAAAAAAAACTTAAGAATGAAAGGACAAAAATTAAACATTACACGAGAAAACATCGTAACATTCCTTTCGCTTAAACCCACGTGGTGGGCAAACCAAACGGTAAACAAATCTCACGCCTGGCCACTCCTGGACATGTGGAACGGCAGCAGCTTCCGAAAAGCTGCATTCAGCGGGACGCGACACTCCGACTGCAGGACAAGCCTCGAGGCTCATGATTACTCCCATAAACCAGCAGTCACTCAGTGGTGGCTGAACAAAACCTCAAATTCAAGCAGCTGACCTCTAAATCCCAAGCCATGACATCGCTCTTTTCTTCCTCCGTGAAAAAAAACTCAACTACGCCCTTTAAAAAGGCTCCCGGACAATTGCTTTTTCTGGTGGCAGCGGTATGTATAACTGCAGGCTGCAGTGATGTAGAGGCAATGTGGAAGAGATAAAGAGATTATTGTATAGACTTTGTGAAAGCGATAAGGGGGACCTGCAGTGTTGTGTAGACGGAGTGGAAGAGGGGTGGTTGATAGTTGTGGCTGTCAGCTAGGAACTTCCCACTGCTGAGCAAAGGCTTGCCTCATTTTCTTATTTTCCTCCCTTCTTTTCCTTACTTACTGGGTTGTTTTGAACAATTGCTGAATCCCTAATGCTTGAATCTCATGCGATGACTGTTGATGGCAATGGTTGCAGTGAGCTTAGAATGTTAGGGGCAGCAATGGTTGGATAGACGTTTGTGGAAGAGATACGGGGAATAGGGGTGGCGGCAGTGCTGCATTCACAGTAGTAGTAGGGTGGTGGCAATGGTTGTAATGAGATTAGCAGGACACTACGGACTAGCAGTGCCAAATAGAAACTGTAGATGAGGTATGGGAGACGTGGTTGCAGTGAGATGGCAGAGGAGGGGGTTAAGGTTGCGGTGGCAGTGCCCGTAGCGTCGCCGTGCTGGCAAATAATGCGAATCGCTCACAGCCTGGTGCCGCGCAGCACTTCCTGCCGATTGACGCTGGACGTCTTGGCGCGCGCGTCGAGCCTCGGGCCGGCAGCGGGGTGCGGACGTCGGCGGGCCGAGGAGAGCGCGACGCGAGAGAAGGCCGGCAGGGTGTCGTCCACGGCGGCGGCGGGACGCGGGCCGGCGCGACTGCGCGGCAGCGAGAGCACGCTGGAGGCCGGGCGGCCGCTCCACATGCGCTCCTCCAGCGCCGATGGAAGCCTGCGGGAGGCATCGGGGGAAGCGCGCCCGACCGTTGGCAGCGACCGTTGGCCGCAGGCGCGGCGGCAGGCAAACGATTCCGATAGACGCGGCAGTGCGGACGTACGGGAGTTTGTCCATGATGGGCCCGTGCCTCTGCTGCAGGGGCTTCGCCTGGATCATCATGACGCCATGCAGGTCGCCCGGTCGGCCGCTCAGGGACGTCCGGTGCAGCTGCCGCGACGGCACACGGCAAAGTGTGCGTGTCACAGAGCGAGACAGAGCCGCGTACACAAGCAGTGGACCTCTCTCCCTTGTGTGTGTACGAGCTTACAAGGCATGTAGCACATTCACCTCTCCCAAGATTGGATGAACTGTCACAATTAAGGCTCATGAGCTATTCCTTTATTGTGCTTCATTTGTGTTACCCGTCTCATATGCACAGTCTTATTTGTTTTGTCTCATTCAATTAGCCTCAAGGTAACATGTACAAGCACAGCCCCCTTTTTAAAATCCACTGCTGGATGAGTGCCTTGAGCCAGTCCGTGGGGGTTACTTGATGATGGAGCATAGTACAGCGACGCTGGTCAGCGCGGATTGACAAAGGCGGGGAGCAATAGACGTTGCAGCATGGCAGCATAGTCCCACAGGAGCCGATTACACCTCTTTTATAAATGGTCACTTATCTAAAGCTCAACCCAGCTTAGTTCAGGAGATCTGATGAGATCGGGGGTGTGTATTCCAGGTGCCTCAGTCATAGTCAAAGGAAACATTTGAATGTAATTAGCAGAATTTTAAATAACGTATTATTACGTAATTTGATACACAAGCATATGAAGATATTTTACAAGACAAATGGATGAATAACTACATGCCTAGTACTCACAGCTGCAAGAGCTGTGCATTTGTCTCCGTGGGTGTGTGCGTAATGTGTATGCATGCTCATCAATAGCATCATCAATATAATCATCATCAAATTCTGTGGTATTTATGTTTATGCAGAAACTTCGCATCAAATTCTCAGTGGGGTGTGCACAACGGTGTATTTAACGATGTACAAAGAGCTGAAAATATTTGACCATCTTACTAATGAGCAAACGCTGCCCCTTTAAGTTGACATGAACTATGGTAGGCTGAGACTTTGGGTCATGGCCCTCCTTCAGAGCAGTAAGAAAATACTGTAAAATCAAACCAGTTCATGATGACTCATTATATCTAAATATCATTTAAGTATCTTCGCAATTAAGCAAAGGGATGACACCCAACTCCAATGGCAGTGATTAGCTACAAATGTTCATTCCACATTCCCATGGCAGGTGCCTGTTTACTCGTAAGATGGCCACGGTTGAGTTCCCACAAAGCGGTACTCATTTTACTCGCCCCAGAGAAATGAGCCGAATCAACCACCTGATCGAGACAAGTGATGTGAATTGAGAGCAGCAGCCACCCGACTGCAGCTCGAATAAACACATTCCTGCGGAGGGAGCTGGTAGGGACGTTGGGTTGCTCGGTCAATGGCCAGGGTCAACGGCGGCGTGGTGTATTTCGCAAATATGGCCGACTGTGAGGGTGGGCACAAGCCGGCATGAGTAGGTTAAACGTTGAGTTTTATAAGGGCACCACGGGGTGACCAGCCCCACCCCTCCCACCCCCCACCCAGCCCCACCCTCCCCACCCAGCCCCTCTCCACCCTCCCCTTCCCACCCAGCCCCTCCCCACCCAGCCCTCCCCACCCTCCCTTCTCCACCCAGCCCCACCCCTCCCATTTTTGGATGCACGACGGACGGACACAATAATCTCCTGTGGGCTGGTGTAACCAGGAGGTTCCTACCAGTATAAACCAATTAAACTGATTGAGAGTGGCCAGTGAAAATCACTTGTCTTAGCCAAAGGGCCAGCAAATTATTGGTACCAAAGGCAGCGGTAAATATTTAGGGATCCCAGTTCTAATGAGAGAGTATTTTTGTTGGTGATTTAAATGTTGGTACAAGTCAGGTTTTAAATCGCAGGTGGAACCAACAAGTAATAGATTTGGTCTGAGCCAATGGAACATCTAGCAGCCCATCATCTCCTCAGTGGTGGTAAAATAAGTACCGGTTTATGGGAAGTCAAAAGTTGTATTTCTATGCATCGACTCACCTCTGCCACAGTAGTATGGAATTTCCATCAATAGCTCAGCCCTGGCTGTAAGCGTATGTATGCTGAACTTCTTTCACACCGTACATAGCCAACTGTGATAATCGGAAGGTGCGGAGATATGCATGGCCTGGATGCTAATTCAAGGAAGACATTTCTGACTGCTACGGGATGTGAGTCAGGGGTACAGGCACATGGGACCGCAGCCAGTGCCAGCCCCCATTTGTTAAACGTGTACACAGCTCACGATGCTGTAGGTTACTTGGGGGTGCGACGGTGGCGAGATGTTAACTACCTCGCCTGGTAGACAGGAGGTTGTGGGTTTGATGCCGATTCTGACGGCTGCATATTTGGAGTTTGCACCTTCTCCCTGGGGTCGTGTGGATTTTTCTCCGGGTCCCCCGGTTTTTCTCTCCACATTAAAAAACACACTTAAAGCTTTCGTGACTCCAGGAATTCATATTATTTGGGTCTTTCGGTAAAGTCACGTAGGTAAAGTCATGAATCTACGCGACATTACCGAAAAACCCAAAGAAGATAGAAAAAAACACGTTAATAGTATTTTGGCTGCTATACATTTCCACGCAATAAGCCACTTCGTTGAGCTATCGTTTGCGGCCAGGTCTCTTCTGAAAAAGAACTATGCAGCTCAGTGGGCCTTACCCTGTAAAATATAAAAATAGTTCAGTTTTAGTTTACCTGGGGAAGGTAGCTCCGTGTGTCCGAGCCTCGCGATGGAGGCATGGAGAGACTGTCAGCTGTGCCTGCCTGCCGCGGCAGCAAGATCCTCTGCATGGCCGGACGTTCCACGCCCGTCAGCCCCTTCTCCTCTGCACATCAAGGCATGCACACACACGCACACGTGCACACACACACACACACACGCGCACGCACACAGGAGCAGTGGATTACATAGAGCATGGCCAGAGGGGCAAGATGTCTGCCATGAGAGGTGGGTCCTATGGTGGCGAAACGTCTGGACAGCATCCAAGGACGATGCTTTTAAGAGTGTAGTGCCTATAGCTACGAGAGACTCGTGATGAAGTCGGGTTCTCACGGCTGATTGTTCTCAGCCTGGCCACCGACGACTGCACACATACCAAATTAATGTTGGTTCTACGCTTAATTAATTTAGCTAAATTAAAGCTCTTTGGATGAAATATATCAGTTTGATAGTCATGTGATGGACATTACTCTCAGTGGCAGAGCAAGTGGGAAAGTGCTGCCCCTCCTACTGTGTGGCGCAGAGATCACTTGAAGGGATCTCAGAGGTAAGCTCTGTGACATCCGCTTCCACGGGCCATTCTCTCACATGAAGAATTGTGCCGCTCCGTGAGAGATCTGAATGGATGCCGCGTCTCAGGATACAACGTTGACGGCACAAACGGGATAAAATTGTGGGAAATAATTTTCTGTACAAATTGCGTCGCGTATTTTCAGAACCAGAATATTTATTTATACTGCAGGGATCCGATGAGCTATGAAGCTCTTTTTCGCAAATATCCAGTAGGAGCGGACCAGAAACCACGAACAATATTAGGAGTGCAAAGCATAGGAAAGGTAAGCAAATCGATACAAATATTATTTTACCGGGTAAAACCTACAGAGCTATTAGCTTCTTTATCAGAAGCGACCTGGCCACAAATGATAGCTCAACGAAGTGGCTTATCGCGTGGAAATTTATAGCGGCCGAATTGACAAGCAAACAAAATTGCACACCGGCGTCCCACGACTGCTGGTCGAGCGAGTGCAGGCAGCCCAGCGCCTCGGCCCACAGCTGATCAAAGAGCTCGGTACACACGGCGTCCCGCAGGCACGCGGCGGGGGACACGGGCGGGAGGCCCCGGCGCGCTCGCCACGCGCCGCACCGGTTGCCACCGGCGTGCCGCCACTCAGGAACGTCCTCCTCTCTGCGGCGCACAAAGACGAAGGTAAACGCGTAGTCGGACTTTCGCGACCAATATTTTCTACTTTTTTTTACCAAATTAGGTTTTCAGCTAGCCTGGTATTCAATGCAAAAAAAACATCATCGTAATAAATTAAATAAGAGTGACGCACTTGGGAACAGGACAAGCAACATATTTTTAATTCAAAACAATGCTCGTGAAAAGACTTGATCATTTTTGTGAGCATACTGTTTATTATCAGAACATTGTTCAGCTATTCTTGGCAGTGAATCTCCCCAGTGACATATATTTTATGAAATATGCTTTTTAACACGTAGGCTTTCACGGCCAATATTACTCATAATAAACGTTTTTGGGTTCGATCGCGTTAAATATAAATGTGTCGTTAAACCCGGCATCCACCCGACAGACAATTAGTAAGGTTTGTCAGGTAAACAAAACGTGGTAATTAAGTTACGAGTTCAGCACACCGGTGTGTTGGAGAGTAAATCCACGCCATTTACAATTTGAGTATTGTTCAATTCTGGCTGTCGCCTGATGAGGCTGGTTGTAATTACAGGCGAAATGTCGTACCCGAATTGTAAAAATATTATGAGTTTACTCTCCAACACACCGGTGTGCTGAACTCGTAACTAATTGGCACCTTTTGTTTAAGCGACAAACCTTACTAATTGGCTGTGTCAGGTGGTGGTGGTGGTTTTAATGACACATTCATATTAACGCGATCTCACCCAAACACCTCTATTATGAACAATGATAAACATACACACATACTACAGCGACAACCAAAACAACGGGCCGCCATTGGTCACTGACGGACTACGCGTACTTTTTGGCCATGTGAAGTGTTGAAAGTCGTTCCGAGTCTGAGAAATCTCGATCTGAAAATCACAACAATCCTAAGTGAGCCTTAGTTTGGCTCTTTGGGTCGTACAATTCACATGTTGGCGGAGGGCCTTTAAGCTTGGTGGAGCCGTCAGTCCACGTGTTCTTTTACTTTAGCTCTGCCCAAATGGTCTAATCCACCGGGCGTAACCTACGTGCCCTACCACCACACCCTCAGTTTGGCGCTGCCGATTCGCGGCCTTACGGTTCATGCCTGTCGAAAGCCAGGACCTCCTCCACGGTGCCGTCCCTGCAGATCACCTCCTCCTCCGTCTCCTGCGCCACCTCTTCCCCCTCCTCGCCCTCCTCGCCACCACTGCCGCTGCCGTTGTCCCGATGCGACTGCGCTGCGGGAGACACCGCGCCCCCCCGGCTGGGCCCAGCGAGCACCCCCCGCGGCACCAGGCGGCTGCCCTGCAAGCGCAGCCTGGCACACGGCACAGGCACCGCTCGCTGGAGGTCACTGGCGCGCTGGCTGGCGCACCCAACCGGTACTCATCGGTCAGTATCTGTTAATTAACAGGAGATATCCCCCCCTTATTCCCCCCATACCCTCTACTCCCTTACTTAAGTTCTTCTTCCCCTATCTTCCCCTCCCCACATAAAAGTACAAATACCCCGCTCGCTGGAGCAGTGAGCCCAATCACCTCCCCCTCCTCAATTGGAGTACGCAATTTTGGGCTTCTGTCCGCGGAGTTTCTGTACCCCCTCCCCTACATAGCAATTCGTGCTCTGTATCGGGCTCCTCTTGAAATATAAAAATATAAAACAAACCAGGAGATGGGGAATAAACCCACCGAGAAACATGAAACGTCATTGCCTCTTTTGACCTTGAGCAAAACCTTTTAGCATTCTCTGGTCTAACTCTAGTGAGACGTGGCCATGAAGGAGGCTGTCTCTGGTGTAGGCCAATCAGTCTTAAGGAGAATGCGTACATTATCGAAGCACGTTTGTTCGCATGTTTTACCACAAGCACGTGGTGTGCTTAAGGCAGACTTGATGCCTTGTAATAACTATCTATTTGGCGTTTGACCATCTCAACACCTCCTTTATTCTTGCCGGAAAAGGTTAAAAGGCAATTTTTTCCCCATCATCTTGATACTGGAAAAAATAGGGTCTCATAAATAAAGATTGTCCTTTCTAAACATTATTTTTTCCATTGGCAGCTACCCCTAACGGCAGAGGCAAAATCAATCATTAAACGTGAAACTGAACTTACACTTGCGAACGAGCCATTGAGGGGGGCGATGTAAACACACGGGGGGGGGGGGCATTATCAGATTACGGGGCTTTTCCTGTGCTCGGCCATTCGGGATAACATTACACTACAGCGACGCCCTTTGTTTGCTTCCAAAAGGAATTCGCTTAAAAGTCTTGAGGAACACGGGTGAATAATGTAAAAGGGGAGGTTAAAAATAGCCAGAGGAGACCGCCCGTCAAAAGAAACCGATATTGCGAGCACGCCCTGGGCGGATTAGAACAGCGTGTTATGTAACAAGGCGTTACGCACAGGCCATTATCTCATCAATATTGATGACATCAGCAGTAAGAAGTGAGCTTTGCTTGCAGCCTCAGTGGATTTGGGGGGCATTGGGTTCAATGCAAGGCAGGGTTTCAGCCACACGTGGACAAAGAACAAGTGGCAGTGAGGAGTCATTGCTCTCAAGAATTTGTTGCCACCAATTTGCTTATCAACATCATTGTCGCGCTCACCGACACCTTTCAGTAATACGAATGATACTTAATGTACCTATTGACATTTGTAAATAGATGTATCATTAACACCTTATATTGTCATCACACTCATCGAGATGAAATTAACAAAACACCTGCTGAAATTATCAAGGCACATCTTCCTGCTCTGTTCCTTATCATTAATATCAATTTCGTCGACATCTTCATCAATATTAACCATCCGGTTTCCTCAACTCATTTGCGGTGTTTTATTTTACTGCTGCTGTAACTTTGGTGGCCCAGGCCACTCTTGGAAACAATACTATCTTGGTCTGTTGAGTTTTCACCCTGGTGAAACAAACAAACTTGAAATTAAAACTCCAAACACCCCGATGAAGACCACTCTGCGGGCAAGTCAACAGTCGTTATCCTACGGAGAGACTTTTCACCACCTCGGTGCTCAAGATATCCGGTGGCAGTGGTGCACAAATACCACACAACAGCTACTCGTCGGAAACTATGCACACGGCAAATTAAAAAGTGTAAATCTGAAACAAAGGGTATTCTTATCAGGCCCCCCACGGTGTCAAGTGCAGTCTCCAACTCTCCATGCCAGAAATGTCGCCTATTATATATTTTTTACTTTAAAGTTAATTGACAAACTTGTTGAGTTGTTTTTGTCATTTTAGTTGTTTGTGTCATTCAAGATAGGCAACCCTCTTGAAAACCGAGCCTTGAGACTCGGCGAGACATTCACAAGAACGTACTTGTAGGCTTCACAGTATTATTATCACTATGAACCGGAGCCACCTGGCAAATGATCACACTTGACTTCATTATTTAACAGCAGCGTCTTGGACCGCTTTACATGGCCTCGTCTCCACTGGCGATGACATTACGGTGATTCAAGATGCGGGGGGACACGTCTGGAATGACAAACGCGGTGGATGTCCTTACTCCCTGCCGCTGGGGTTGTGGCCGGTGGAGACGGAGCCGGTGGGGGGCTCCGTGCGGGCTGCCGCCGTCCCTTCCGTGGGCACCAGCTGATAGCCCTCGTCGGTGGGCTCCACCAGCTGCTTGCCCAGGATCCTGTTGGAGGGGAGGTGGCCAAGGCAGCCACAACAGTGCATCACGAACAAGGGGTGGGGGGGGGGGCGCGTAGAGGTGCATGCGCGTTAGAGCAATAGTTAAGTCCATAGGCGGAGTTTGACTTCTATATTTGGGGGGGGGTATGGGTTCGCTTTGTCCCTCACATTTTGAATCACGGGTGCATATAATTAATTTACTTAATTTTTTATTTTAATTGGAAACTACTGGAAATAAATTAAGGTGTCCAGTTTGTGCGGGGTGTGCCATCCCCCGCCCCCCGTGCCCCCCACCCCCCGCGCAAATTCCACCCATGGCTAAATAATTGTTACGATGAGGACTTTGTGTGGCTGTCTGTGAATGGGGTTTAACTCAATAGGCTTCATGCCGAGCAGAAGACACTGGTACTGGAGTGGGAAAGCCAGTAGATGAGAACAGCCTGGCTCGAAGCGCTAATTCACAAGGTATGGCTTTTTGGCTTATGGTGGTAATTTGACTAAGTTTTAAGGCACTTGCAAGTGTAGGTGGGTGGGTGAAGGTGGGGCACATAGATACACAGTACAACAATGGCTTGTTCTGCATTGCTCTCTGTTGACCACCACGTATAAAACATCCCTGAAGCAGCCTATGACTTGATGGTGTGAATGGTGATCATCCATAAAAGCACTTATATTCCAAATTCAACCCTGCTTAGCTTCAGATATCTGAAGCGATTTGGTAACAGCTGTCATTAAAAAGGTATGAGCCATTATGAAAAAATATTATTACTATGCAGCAGTGTGAACTGAGTGGTTGAAATGTTGGCAGCAAATGCCTTCTATGCTGAAAATATAAAGGATTTGCCCAAAGACGGAAAAGGCCGAGCCGATCTTCAACGGCTCAGAACAGAAGCGTTCGAAACCGTCACAACTGAAAAGTTAGCAAACACCTGGGACCCTCAAATCCCCGTGTGATGTTGTGTCCCCAACACCTATGGCTGGACACGTGGAGGATGGGAGGGAGGAGGCTCATGGTGCTCAAACTGCCATTGCGCTGCACCATGCGTCTACCCACGCACTCGAATACTGAACTACCTTCTAACTTTAGAACAGCGATTGGTGGCTGTGCACGCCTCCTCTTCCAGGAGTGGGACATTAAAGATGACACAGCAACCCCCCCCCCCCCCCCACCTTTCCCCGTTCCTTCTACTCCTTTACTTAACCCCTTTCCTATTCCGATGACGTACATGGACGTCATCTGAACGGAACCGGAAGAAAAACTTAATTAAAATAACTTGATCAGTACCGAGGCTCCCACAAGGCCATTCGGGAGGGTGTGTGGCACAAATTGGTGCCAGCTATCATAGGCTGTGGTCATTTCGCTACAGTTCTCTGCGGTGAGTACAATGTCTTTAAAAACAACGGCGCTACGGCTCTCTAAATAAATGTAATGCCGAGCCACTTGCGCGTTCCGAGATTCAGCGGTGAACGGGACCCACCCTGCAACTTGCAGTCGTCTCAGAACAGAAAAGGGTCAAGTTCTTCTTCCCTCAGCTTCCCCTCTCCCACATGAAAGTAGACATACCCCGCTCGCGGTCCCCACTCGGTGAGACAGTGAGCCCAATCGCCCCCCTTCCCTAAAGTAAGTCAGGAGCACAGCGTGCAGGACTTCTGTCCGCGAAGTTTCTGTACCCCCCCCACCGCCCCCTTAGGTTGTGGTTTGTGCTCTGTAACGGGCTTCTAATGAAATATAAAACAAAAAAAAGATCACCCAACAGTGCAGAGCCTGCGACCACCCGGACCACACAATGAACAATACAGAAAACAACTGCATTCTACCAGGCCCGCTCTCCGTATTAGCTGCGCTACGCCCGAAGCTATCATCACGCGGCTCACAACCTTAAACCTGAACGTATAGTTTACACAAACTTGCCATGTGAAAATACTTATTTACCAGGCAGGAATTTTTAATATTATACTCGATCTAAAACACGTTTTGTTAGCTTTTCTGACTGTCGTTATGGTATACCAATTGATAACACGAAGGAAAATACTTAGTTTGTCAACAGCTCTGCTCTTTACAGCTCAGCCCGACAAACTGCAGGATCAATACGGGATAAATAAGCTTTTTCTCTCGTCACCCAGCTTTCAAACTCTGCTCTTCAATTGCAGTGGCTCAAACACTTGACGATCAATAACTTATAGCAAGTAACACCAACGTTTGTATGTGTGTCTCAGGCGCTCTATTGTGAAGTGTTCATTGACACGTACACAGCCCCTTTGTCAATCCACTGAAGAATGGGGGGCCCTCCCCTCGCCGTGCTGTTTGTATGGGTTATTGGACCATACTTCACCACGCTGGTCAGTGTGGGTTGATGAAGGCAAGGAGCATATATGTGGGAGCATAAAATTAGTGTACAATGTATATTTTTCCTGCATTGCCCTCAGCTACCCACCCATGTATCGCTGAAGCCTATAACGATCTGTTTTGTGCATGGTGGCCACCCATCCAAGCATTATCCAGGCTCAATTCTGCTTGGCTTCAGAGATTGAGATATGACGTGAAATTAAATATTACGATTGTACAGTTTCCTACCACCTGTCTGAGATCATGACATACACTGCACAAGGAAATCATTCAGGCTTACGATGAATGTTTAAAATGTTCCAACGGTTCAATTTAATGGGGATTGAACCCAGACCCGGAGGCGTTCGAGGAAAGTAACCCAATACTGAGTCTGTGATGGTGGTAAGTGCTGGTACACACTCTGACTTGAAAGACACTTGAAAGGACAAATTATGCAATTATTTTCACGAGCCTTCTCATTTACAATGATTTATCATTGACCGAGCATGACTTTCAGAGAGGGAGGATGCCAACGCCTTTTAAAATCCTTTATATTAAGTTCACTTGCTTGCTTGCTTGCGCGCTTACGACCGTGCAAATCTTTCGGTCGTTTTTTAACCCACTTCCCGTGATCCAATCGAGCTGACATTTTGCACACAGACTCGTTGTGCGTGACAATGTATTTTCGTGAATTTTTTTTTCCAAAATTGTACACTTTTTAGGAATTTTTTTATTATATTTAATTACCAATTGCTTAATGGTGGCAGGCAATCATCTGACCCATAGGTGGCAGCCATCTCAAGCCAGAGGACGGGAGGACTCTAGCCGCCATGCATATAAAGGATTTATAGTGAAAAACTTTGTTTTTACGGGTTAATTTTTTCTCTTCGGGCTACCCTACCCAAAGGAAATCACTCCTCCGTGTACAATTACACTAGCAGGTGGTTTTGAAGTAGTGAGACCAGGACGTCGTTTAGAACTGTGGAGTGGACATGGCCCAGGACAGCAATGAGAGTAAGGGGAGCAGGAAGACAGACCCTACGTCTTCGTTGATGCCCTGTCTTAAGGGAACATTTTCGTCTGTCATATTCCCAAACCTTCTCTGTCCTCTTTGTTTCTACAAAACGACACTTCATTCAACTCCTCCAGCATACCAATCCTTGGCCTTCCCTCTCGCTCTTATCTCGTGGTGGAGAGATGTTAACTACCTCGTTTGGCATACAGGAGGTCGTCTGGTTCGATCACGACCCTGACGCCCGTATATTTGGAGTTAGCATGTTCTCCTGTTGGTCACTAGTCTTCCGTTTTACCCCTCCATTAAGAAAACGTGCTGCTATAAATTTCCAAGTGATAAGCCACTTCGTTGAGCTGTCATTTGTGGCCAGGTTATTTCTGAAAAATATCTATATAGCTCGATGGGCCTTACCTGGTAAAATATTGTTTTATAAAATATTTTTTGTTTGTTACTATTCTTCCTTCTAAAATGTCCCTATTCATCCAACTGTGTCCTTATATAATCCATACGATCCAGTGCGTCTCTGTTCTTATCACGGCTTCCATTATAATTCTTCCTTTGTTGATGCCATTAAAGATGCATTCATTGGTTGTCTTCTCTGTCCAGGTTAATCTCTGCACCCTTCTCCATATCCACAGGCATACCCCACATTAGGAGGATACGTGCCAGGAAGATAAAGACAATATATACATGCCAATGATTAACATGGCGACACGAATAATATTATAAATGAAAATAGGATGAAAACATTTACATGGTTTCAGAAGGATTGGCTGGAGAACTTAAGAAATTACGTCAATCAAGGCATCATAGAAGTGTACCAACAATCCTTAAGAGCATCACATAGCCTCACAAGTATAGTCTCCCTACTGGGGAATTACAGCAACAACGTAACACGATTCATAGAAATTAAACGTGACGGATTTACCTGCTCGGAGAAATGACCATTTCAGTGGTAATTTGTGCGTGTTGTATTATGTGTGCTCACCATTTACATGTGAATTGTCCAGCGTTATTCATTATAGTACAACTCTGAAGTGTGTTCATAGCTGTCCGCCAAAGACCAATATAATAAAGTACTCTGATGTGAAGTCTTTACCCAGTAAAGCTTCAATGCCTCTTCAAGACTCTCCTTCTAGGAGGGTCCCGCGTGCCAATTCTTTTATGAGACTTTTATTGAGTGCGGTTTGGGTAAACTGGAGTGCCCAGGGGGAAATAATGGGTGTGAGAGGACGCCGCAATGCGTACGACAGCGTGCGCTCGCCGCTAGCAACGACATCGGACAAATCCGACTCTTAACCGTCTCCCGGCTCCAATGGGCACGAAGTGGTGCTCACCTCCACAGGTGCCCGCAAGGCAGAAGAGGAAATTCCACATTCCCATGGTCAGGGGTATTCTATCCACCGAACGACCACTGTTGACCTTTCACCGTAACTGGTTACAAGGTGTATTAGATCCCGTAACGGTGACAGTTTAAAGTTGCTATCCGGGAAGGATTTTAATTCGGCTGCATCCAATCGCAAAACGAGCGCTTAAACCGGAGCACCTGATGACGATGATCTATGTGCTATAAAGAAGGACCATTGCTCACAATGTTGCCTGTTATATATTTTTCCTACTGACTAATGTGTTGGGTTTTTACTCCCGGCGATGGATACACGATGGCGATGAGGGTAATTGTGTATGTAACAATTAATGTAGAAAACTCAATTCTCATGCTCATAATGCATTTGTCGAATCATGCATGTGTTAATTAATTATTTTAGGTTCATAGGAATTATTCTGTATACAAAATACTACCGCGAGGCTAATGTATTAAAAGAGACAGAATAAAACGACAACAACAATACAAATGACCAGGGTGCAAACGGGATGAAAAAGATTCTAACCTTCAATCGTGACCTCAAATCATGCTTATTCATCAAACTGGAGAACCGACATAAATCATTCCAAGAAAATGTGGATCGATATAGAATTTAAATGCAACAGTATCTCAGGACAATATCCCTTTGAGCATGATGGCCATTAAAGTACCACTACACAGAGGCGCACACACACACACAGATCCTCCATATAGCCTCAACAGACTGTTGGGGAAAGTGCTGTCAGCGAGAACCTATGAAGGCCGGCACGGCACACGGGGGGCAGGTGACGAGCACCACGCCCGGTCGCCTTTGTCTCTCCCCAGTGGCGATGTTGACACACCGCACCAGGTACTCATTTGAGGCCGAGACGACCTAGGGGAGGCCCGGGACCGGTTCAAATAATCGTCACTGGTGTTGGCCGTGAGTGGGAATTGAACGCAGGTTGCCGAGTTTGTAGCACAGCGCGCTAACAGTTACACGACCGCTCCGCACAAGGCACACGCGCGCACAAAGATAAGACAAAGATCCCCCGTGTAGCCTTAACAGACTGTAGGGGCAAGTGCTGTTAGCGAGCACCTATGAAGGCCGGAACGGTACACGAGGGGGTGGGTGGCCAGCACCACGCCCGACCGCCTTTGTCTCCCCAGTGGCGATGTTTACACACCGCAACAGGTACTCATTTAAGGCTGAGTCGACCTAGGGGAGGCCCAGGACCGGTTCAGATCATCTTCACTGGTGTTAGCCGTGAGCGGGAATCGAACCCGGGTGGCCAGGTTCATAGCGCAGCGTAGCGCTAACCGCTACACTACCGCAAGCGTGTGTGTGCACACACGCAAACACGCATGCCTAAAGTCGACTTGCAAGGCACTGCATCTGTGCGCCGTGTCTCCGAAATCCTGAGCTACTCGAGGGCGGCGAGGCGAAGGGCGACAGGCACCTGAGATGTAAGAATCGTGTCTTCCACTGCATGCACTCGCCCTGCAGCGCGGGCGTCTGCGCGCTGCCCGTGCCCTCGTACAGCAGCGCGTCGATCTCACGGAACAGCTGCTGCACTCGGCGCGACGCCACCCGCTCAAACTCCTGCCGCGCGCGCACACACACACAACACCACCGTGCCAGTTAGCGCATTGCTCGTCGAGATGTGCTCACCACGACACAGTTCCTATGATTGCTTTTTCATTGCTTTCATGGCTCTATTTTGGTGATTTCGAAAAGTGTATTAGTTTAGCCGTGTTTGTTTGTTGTAGTACAGAGTTAGACTGATGTCCTTAATCTAAGTTGTCTCGTGGTTGTTGTTGTTGTTTGACTTGCATCCCACTGGTATTTTTGCACAGTGTTGGTGTACGGTGTTTTTTTCTGCAATATTTTGCTGTCTTTTCTTGGATTTTCTGTTTGCACTTAGTCACATATTCACTTTAAGATGTTTTTTGTTCATGTTATTTGTTTGTTGCAGTTGCACCCGATTCAAGAGCCGAATGGTTCACAGGGCTATACCTAATAAATGAACTTGAACTTCTACGCATGACAAAAAAAACAAAGATCACCTCCGTAAAGCCTCTAACAGGCTGCTGAGGCAACTGCTGTTAGCTAGCACCTACGAAGGCTGGCATGGTAGATGAGGGGGCGGGTGGCAATTACCACGCCCGGCTGTCTTTATCTCATCCAGTGGCGATGTTTACGAATCGTACTCGGTACTAATTTGAGGCTGAATGACTGGTTCAGATAGTCGTTACCGGTGTTGGTCGTGAGCGGCAATCGAACTTTAGTCACCAGGTGCGCTAACCACCGCACCACCACTCTCACACTAATCAATACCCGCTATTCGCCACTAAGTGATAGGGTGACGCCACCATGGTACGTGTGCCAAGCCAGGTGCCCTTTGAGGCCAAGTAAAGTGTTGAAGGCTCGCTGACAGGTCACGGGACAGACCCAGGTCCCATGAGTTGACTGACTGAGATGACTGGCAGCTGCACCAGCTGTGCCCACTACTGTGCCAACTTGCTGCATTTTAGATGCCCGGCGCTCCTTCCGTTGTTGTGAACGTTGCTTCTCTGCCCTCCGTTGTTTGAGGGCGACCAGTAGCGTCCTTCACGAGCCTCCTCTTACACTAACACTCAAGCACAGACACACACACACACGTACGTCGTCTCCCCAGGAGAAGAGGGACGACTGCTCGGTGGACGGGCAGGTGGTGTCGCTGTGGATGGCCGACCACGACTTGTCAAGCTCCGTGGGCGTCGTGTTCCCGCTTGATTCGCTGGATTCCAGCGAGGAGCTGCTGCCACGAGGAAACAAGCAAACACCTCCCCCACGTTGCCTCGCAGACTGTGGTGGTGGAAGCAAGCGCTGTCGGCGAGCACCTATTAATCCGTTCCCATTCAGATGACGTATGAACGTATGTATACGTCATCAGTTTTTATTCCGGTTCCGTTCTGATGATGTACACGTACGTGGATGTACGTCATCAGAAAGGAATTGGAAGAAAAGCTAAAATAAAATAACTTTATCGATACCCAGGCTCCCACAAGGCCATGCGGGAGGGAGTCTGGTACAGATTGGTGCAAGCTATCATAGAGTGTGGTCATGTCACTACAGTTCTCTGCGGTGAGTACAATGTCTTTTAAAACAACGGCGCTACGGCTCTCTAAATTAAATTTACGCTGACCGCTTGCGCGTTCCGAGATTCAGCGGTGGACGGGATCCACACTGCAACTTGCAGATGTCTCAGAACGGGAAAGGGTTAATAGCCATAATTTGTATTTTTCGGGTCATATATTTTGAATACTGAAGGTTTGTCTGTTACTCATTTACTATTAATAGGTCAAGTGTTCACGTGTTAATATTTAAACTGTCAATTAGGAAACATGACAAAAGGTAATTCTGATCAGGTCACATGGTGTAAAGTGCAGTCTCCAACTCGTATTGTCCCACTCTCTCTGGATTCTCTATTTATACGCTATGAAGGAGGGCCCCATTGCCCAAAACGTCACCAAATATATATTTTTTCCTCTCAAGGCCACAGGGTTATTGGCCAATGTGTTGAGTATTTTTTGAATGCCAATGTGGTGTTGCGAGTACGATGACTGGATATCCTTGATCACTCTGCACGAGATTTAAGGGTGGGCAAAGGGCACTTATGTTCAACTCGAGGGCCCCACAAAAACATTTTTTTTGTGATGAATAAAAATTGTTATGTTTCAGAATCAGAATTTGTATTTATCCTGGAAAAATAGGATGAGCTATAAAGCTCTTTTCAGAGATGTCCGTAGTTTATGTATACTCTCCTTGTAAACAATCCTACTTGGTTTTAGAAGTCAGACTTGGTATAGTTTCATTCAGTGCAACAGGCATTTACGTGAATTATACAGCACGTTAGCTGTTGCATCTCGCCATTCTCCTACAATGTCGTTCATGGTTGTCCTTATCGTTGTCCTTCCCAACACGGTTGGCTACGTACGGTGCGAAATAAGTTCAACATGCGTACGTTACAGGCACGGTCAGTGAGATGCGCAAGCGTACCGGTTGTACGCAGAGATGGCATGCTGCATGTGCTGGCTGAAGGCGAGGGGCAGGGCATTCCCAGCCGGCTCTGGCAGGGGCGGTTGGTCCACCCCACCGCGTGCCAGCCCCCGGCTACTGCAAAAAAACAACAGTGGGCGGCACTCAATTGCAATGAGTCGTGGGAGTCCGATGTGAGAAGGGCATTGGTCTGCAACACACAGACTGTGGGTTAACAGGCCCACTCGCTTTCGAGGAGATGGCTGGTAAAGGAAACCGCGACTTGTCTAAAACGATTTTTTATTTCACCAGGTAAGCCCGCACCTCAAATTAGCACGATTGGCTACGTACGGTGTGAAAGATGTTCAACATATATACCAAGGCAAGGCCCACTGAGCTGTATAACTCTTTTTCAGAAGCGACCTGGCCACAAATGATAGTTTAACAAAGTAGCTTAACATTTGGATATTTAGCGCAGACAATTACTCTAAAAGCATGTTTCTAAATGTGGAGAGAAAAACCGGGGTACCTGGACAAAAACATGCAAACTCCAAATATACAGGCGTCATGGTTGGGATTATACCTTATCCTGCTGAGACGTGCACTGGGTGTCTCTGCAACAGATTTGTGTTTGTTGTTTTGCGGTAATCGCTTAGAGTCTTGAAACAAAATATTCTAGTTTCAAAAAGTTGTGAAGCATCATCAACATTCGGTCTGCCATCATCAATCCACTGCTGAATGAAGGCCTCGCCAAGCCGTCGCAATCCCTCACGACGCAACAGGGTTCCCAGTGTGCTCGGGGTTGGGCGAACCCAGAAAATATCCCATGAGAAATTATGGTCAGTGATGGCTGCATGCCCAAACACCAAATACACACAGCATTTTCTGAGCAATGAGATGTGGCTTTCTGGCTAGGGCGACCCTAGGATTTAAAAAAAAAAGGATGCTGATGCTGCTGTCTTGGACACTTTTTCTGCTGCGCCGTGTGTGGATTCAAAAGATGCCCTCGATTCACATGCAGCCCGCGAAAACTGAGACCTGGGAAAGGTTGGCGCCGCAACTCCGTGGCTGAATTTTGGGCCAAGAAGCTGCAAATTTCCGCCGCCTGTCTCTCCGAACAAAGCGGAGATTCCTTCCTTTCCGCCCCCCCCCCCCCCCCCGAAAAGGTCGAATTTACATGCGTCATTCAGGCCTTTCACAGCCATAATTCCCAACTCACAATGCCCGCCGCGGGCCGCTTTCACTCCGCGGTGAACGACCATGCAGCTGCACCGAGCCGAGTATTAATAAATGAGAAAAAATATTCTGGCTTCCCATGAGTGAGGGATGCGCACAACTTTGTTATAATTAAGATTTTTTTTTTCTTCATCAGGCCAACATTCAAAGCATTTTTTTTTTACCTTTTAATCGTGTTTTAAGGACACGGCGGATCGTAAATGTTTTTATGATGAATTGGACAAAAGTAAAGTTCTGTATCTCGTAGCGCCGCATTCTAGGTTTGATTTAGCCTTTAGTTGAAGATGGACCGCCTGTAATCAAACACATTATTTGGTGATGCTGCAATGGTAGTGGTGCACAAGCACAATTAGCAAAACCTAACACAGCCTTAAAATAAATTAATATAATGTCCGATGTTTTGGGAAATGGCCCATCTTCATGGCACGTTTTTTTTTTACCGTGCCATGACGAAGGGCAATTGGCCAAAAGGTGACCTTTAACTTAGTGTTATATATATCACACCAACTTGCTGGGTATAGATTTAGATGGCAGTACAGTCCACGTAATGTTCAAGTTTACTATTGTGAATATTAAACGAAAACACCGTGATGCTGCATTGCCAGTGTTGCACAAGCACAAAATAGCAAATCTCACATGAGTCCATGTGCTATTGACATTTACAGGCATCATTAGTATATGTGTTGTTGACAAATGTGTTGTGTTCATTCGTTGTGTTGTACAATACCGTAATTTCGTTACCATAGGACCGACCGTGTATATTTTGTATCATATGGATTTTGTTAACTTGGTCGACATTATAGTTTTGTAAAAGATGCTGTAACCCTGTACACTTGCAATTGTATTTATCCATACATTTCTAACAAAGAAATGTATTATATCAAAACAGGTGTTGTCTGGTTTAAATAATATTTGTATGCGTACATACATGCAAGAATACTCCAATGTAATTATAACAAAGTAATAAGGTGATTAATCAAAATGGCACTTTTGCAAAAGCTTCCAAAACATTGCCGAACAACAAGGATTTAACGACAAAAATCTGCCTTGAAAAGAAAGTAAAAATATATAACACGCAATGTTTTGGGCATTGGCCCAAATAATATTTGGCATTATTATTCGTGTTGCATTGGTTTAAAAAAAAATTATGCGACGATAAGATTGTAAATTAATTGCTTTTGTGAAAATTCTGTCATTGTTATGAATGTGTTGTTTAATTACGCAGTTTGTGTAAATATGTACTCCCAAGTGATGGACCCGGTGCCGCATGCATCGATCGTGGCTTGAGAATGAATGTTGACATAGACAAGGACAAATTCATTTTCGCCGCATGCACTTTTGAACCCGTGGCTCAGTTTACCACTCAAAAGTTTAGCAACATTCATCTTAGTCAATGAAGAATGAGCATGAAGGATGTGAGCAAACCCCAAAACAATTCCACTGGTTCTGCATGTGACTTATCAACCTGAAACAGCATCACAGTCTGAATTTCCCTCCATTCATTTCAAATCGGCTTACATCTGCAATCAGCTGCAGCTTACACATTCCGCAACTGAACGAAACGCGCGCGAGCGAAACCGACCAGTAGTTAGCGTCACACAATAACATGCCAATTGTTACATTGTCCATTAAGGATAATGCATACCGCGTGATCATAACGCAATACAACGCAAGCTGTCAAGCTTAACAGCTTCTCAGTTGTGAACAACACAACCAAAATTTAGACCACCCTCAACGACTGTTGAGAGAACAAAACAAACCGCCACGTGATCTGAAATTAAATTTTCGAGATGTGAAATCGTACGATTCTGTGGCGAGCATAATAACAGGGCTGGCGCCACCTTGCAAGGGGGGCGGCAAACGAGATCAGGACGCGCGATCGAAATCGCGGCACGTTCAAGCACCAGCCCAACGAGTGCAGCACCCCCGCGTGACTGCCGTAGTCGAGCTGGTGGAACTAACCAGCGGAGCAGGCAGGACCGCAGACAAGAGACGCTGAGCTGTTGCGAGCTCATCACACCCCAGGAGCATCCTTCAATGTCCACGGACGCTCGTGGCACGCGCATGCGTGCGTCACAACAGAGGCCACTGCCGATGCTGGTGCTCTTGCCCGGGATACCCGGGGGTTACCTTGAACCCCGAGGCGTCACCTTGAACCCCGAGGCGTCACTCACCCGATCACCATCATCCACCTGCAGGGGATGGCGTGGGCACGCATGACGCGCGCGCCGCCGGGGGAAATACCCCTTGACGTTGCCGCCGCCGCCACCTCCTCTCTCCGCCACCGCCACTGCCTCTCCTCCGTCTACGCCCTTCGCAGCGAAGAAGCCTCCGCAAAGCTGCGATGCCACGCTCGGCCGCTATTCTTCGTCGGGACAATAGCAAAGCGGCAGCCACTGGTTCTTGCGTTGTTGCTTCTTATCGCTTGCTGCGTCCCGTTTTATTTATTCCAGGCTTTTGTCCTTCAAGGGATGCCCCTTGCTCTGGAGCGCGGAATCGGTTGTTTTCAGTCGCCCTTCCCACAGACGCTTCGGACGAGATGTGCGGAGCCAATTGAGCGGCAAAGGCACTTCCAACGTCGCCCCTCCGCATGCAGACGCACAGACGCTTGGTCCTTTCAGAGGCATTCACCAACCACGTGCATCATGGTGAAGCTTTCTCTGTGAACGGGCTTTATTTACATTTTTACAACTTGCATGACTATCTCTCCGAATGATTGAAAACAAATGATCAACTCTGTAATGAGGATATCATGAAATAATTTAAATGCGTTTTAGAAAATTCAGGTTGAAAATGTATTTTTCAGACTGATATTGCAATCTTTAGATAAAATTGATATTTTTATTTTTCCCTTAGTTAGCGTGTTTCAGAGACAAGCAATTGATGTTTGTCATAAAATTACATTATATCGTATCTGTCGTATAAAATCATATTATTTTTGTCCTGGGTAAATTAGTTATATTTTTATTCAATATCACATTTCTGCATCACAGCAGGGTAAGCTGAAATGTAATTATGCGTAGATGCAGAACATACATCACACTACACCACACAGAGAGATACTAAATTAAACAGAGCTTTACGTACTACAAGAGCCGAATTCATCGGTTGATCAGTCTACAGTCCTAACAGTGCACAGGTCCGCTCTTAACTGCTCAACACGTGGCTTCAACGCAGATCTACCCCAGCGTGCCGTGAGCGACGCGCGCACGGCACTACGACCACACCCACCCATTTAAAGCCTCACTTAAATAATAATAAGCACCGCAATACGCCGAGCACGGCTCCCGTGCCCGTCAAAGGCAACCTGTCGCTTGGGTGCCAGCTCCTGCTCCGATTAATCCCGTCCCGCGCGTTCTGCTTTGTGTCAAAAGTGTCGGCCTCGCGGCGAGCGCCAATTTCATACAATGCGCCCGTCACGCCACTGACTGAGGGCATTATACCGACGCACAATGGCACATTTTGCATTATTAAAATGTAATTTTAATGCGCCGAAATAATTTTCGGACACACAATCCGGTAATACGTCGGCGAGGTCGCGATGCGCGCCTCATGCCTCGGATGTCTCGTGTTGCACCGCGCATGGGAGAGAGCGTGGGCGCACAATCACTCGCCCCGCAATGTGTCCGGCGAATTATGGGGTTTATAGGCGAGGTCTGTGCGTATGGAAAGGTTTTGTACGCATTAGAAAGGGCAGGCAAGGGTGGGGGGGAAGGGAACATACATCCCAGGGGCCGCATATGGCCTACGACTTCATTTCTTCACGGTTAGTGGCCACACGTGGCTCGCCAGCCAGCACAGCCCACAACCGATATGTATCCATCACTATAAGCGTCCTAGCCGCAACACTCGGGTATCAGTGGGGAAAAATGTTTGATCTGCGTTATCACCGTGTTTAA